ACTAACCATATACATTGTGGACATAGAAACAAATATGTACGAATTAAAAATTAAACTCTAGAGCAGGGCTTCTCATAGTCCGGAACGTGGGGCATTTAAAAGAGGAGGCTCCGAATTTGTGTTTAACCCCAAAAGGGCCGGGGGCAAAATCTACCCGGTCCCCTATCTTTTGTACCAAATTTATGTAATTTCGACCACATATTATGTACTGCACAAAACGCAGAATTGTCACTTCGATGATAATGTGAATCAATCAAACACCATTTGAGACATAGATATGAAATTTCATGGACTTGTTCTTTATCAGATATGCCAATTTTCAAGTGTTTTCATCGTTACATGCCCGATATTCTAAAGGGGCGACTCCCCCCCCCCCCCTCCCCTCGGTTGAGAGAGTATCAAAATAACCCGGACTTTTTAGGGTTAAACTTTAACAGTTCCCTTTAGATCAGATATAGACGTAAAACAAGTCTCGTTATTTTTTCTCTATACAAGTGCCATTAATGTAATTTTTCGAAATAGATTTGTCTGACCATTTGCATTAGTTAATGTTTAACCAGCTTATTGCCGGAAACCGTGCTACTTTTTTCCACTGATAAACCCCACCTGTGTACCAAAACTTCCACTTCTGACTGTCTTAACTCACAAAATTAAGGTACGTGTAAAGAGTAAAGACGCGTTTGTATTATATCACAAACTTATATTTAAGGAAATAATTGATTAAGTGCACTACATTTGCCTATTGTTTTGGATCTTTTAGCTTTCATGAAACTCACTTCTGGACCGCCAAGGAAAAAGGTTTGAGAACCCCTGTTCTAGAGCATCTACATTATCCTTTTGGTGCAGTAAAATAATAATGAAAACAAATAAGGTGAATACTGGAACAGTATAAATACAAAGGACTTCAGCAAATAGATTAATTTAGACCTACCTTTTGTGCGCATGAAATATCCTCATTATTTTGTTTTAATTGGTTGTGTGAAGATATGAATACATTCTCTAAACAAAAGGAACAACATGTACAATGCAAGGTTTTATCTCTTAGACAATTAATTTTGTTTTTAGCACCTCTTTCTTTGTGCAAAGTGGATTTGATTTCTTTCATAGAATACTTTTGTAAGCCACGAATTTGAAAGAAAAGTGTTTGAGAAAAGTCGAGTGAAAATCTATAGATCTGCCAAGAGAAATCGGTCGAGGAGTACTAACAATAATTAACAATGAATAACAATCGGGTGTAATTAATACTGATCTTTTTGTTTTTCACAAACTAAGGAGGATATCTAGCTGGTCTAATGAGAGTATTTTATCACAAGGGAAATTAACCCTACGCGGAACTCTGGTTTTGTAGGTATTAGAATAGGTAGAGACACATATTTTGTAGAAATTTCAAAAAGAGAATATTGACAAAAGCAGAAATATTATAATCTTTAAATGCTTTTCTTTTGAATGTAAAATCCCATGTGAAGTTACGAGGAATCTCCGCTTGGTAATGCGGTAATATACATGATGTGATATGAGTAGCATTTTCCTTTACCCAAATTACCTAAAAATGCTTATTTTCTCATTCTTTATTTCGACATTCAGCTGTTTAAAACTACCCATCAATTGCTTGATGGACAATACAAAGTCAATTTAAGCAAGTTTTTTTCTGAAATATTATTATATAAGTTTGTATTTTGAAAATTGAATGATTTTTGTTTTTGTTTTGACGTTGAAATAATAAATGAAATGAAATGTAATTGCACTTGAATTCAATTTTAATATTCTTTTCGATAACGTTTACAATGTTTTATGACGTTTTCTATTTTCTTGGGACTTATTACTGTGCCATACAGAAAATAATCTCCAGTTGTCATTCATGCTTTCTTGTTAATGGTTTTTGTGTTCAACTAGCTAGCTGTGTTTAAAGGTTTGCGCATTCTTATTGATGATGATATGTTCATATAGCTGTGTTAGTTCAGGATTTCATGTAATAATGTTATGCTCATCTAGTTGTGTTAGTTCAGTCTTTCTCGTTCATAATATTATGCTCATCTAGTTGTGTTGGTTCAGTCTTTCTTGTTGTTGATATAATGTTCATCTAACTGGATTGCTTCAGTCGTTCTTGTTGATGATGTTATGTTTATCTGGCTGTGTTAGTTCAGTCGTTCTTGTTGATGAAGTTATGTTCATCTGGCTGTGTTAGTTCAGTCGTTCTTGTTGATGAAGTTATGTTCATCTGGCTGTGTTAGTTCAGTCGTTCTTGTTGATGATGTTATGTTCATCTAGCTGTGTTAGTTCAGTCGTTCTTGTTGATGATGTTATGTTCATCTGGCTGTGTTAGTTCAGTCGTTCTTGTTGATGATGTTATGTTCATCTAGCTGTGTTAGTTCAGTCGTTCTTGTTGATGATGTTATGTTCATCTAGCTGTGTTAGTTCAGTCGTTCTTGTTGATGATGTAATGTTCATCTAGCTGTGTTAGTTCAGTCGTTCTTGTTGATGATGTTATGTTCATCTGGCTGTGTTAGTTCAGTCGTTCTTGTTGATGATGTTATGTTCATCTAGCTGTGTTAGTTCAGTCGTTCTTGTTGATGATGTTATGTTCATCTGGCTGTGTTAGTTCAGTCGTTCTTGTTGATGATGTTATGTTCATCTAGCTGTCTTAGTTAAGGCTTTCATGTTGTTGATGTTGTGTTCATCTAGCTGTGTTAGTTCAGGCTTTCATGTTGTTGATGTTATGTTCATCTAGCTGTGTTAGTTCAGTCTTTCCTATTGATGATGTTATGTTCATCTGGCTGTGTTAGTTCAGTCTTTCTTGTTGATGGTGTAATGTTCATCTAGCTGTGTTAGTTCAGTCTTTCATGTTGTTGATGTTATGTTCATCTAGCTGTGTTAGTTCAGGCTTTCATGTTGTTGATGTTATGTTCATCTAGCTGTGTTGGTTCAGTCTTTCATGTTGTTGATGTTAAGTTCATCTAGCTGTGTTAGTTCAGGCTTTCATGTTGTTGATGTTATGTTCATCTCGCTGTGTTAGTTCAGTCTTTCATGTTGTTGATGTTATGTTCATCTAGCTGTGTTAGTTCAGGCTTTCATGTTGTTGATGTTGTGTTCATCTAGCTGTGTTAGTTCAGGCTTTCATGTTGTTGATGTTATGTTCATCTAGCTGTGTTAGTTCAGTCTTTCCTATTGATGATGTTATGTTCATCTGGCTGTGTTAGTTCAGTCTTTCTTGTTGATGGTGTAATGTTCATCTAGCTGTGTTAGTTCAGTCTTTCATGTTGTTGATGTTATGTTCATCTAGCTGTGTTAGTTCAGGCTTTCATGTTGTTGATGTTATGTTCATCTAGCTGTGTTGGTTCAGTCTTTCATGTTGTTGATGTTAAGTTCATCTAGCTGTGTTAGTTCAGGCTTTCATGTTGTTGATGTTATGTTCATCTCGCTGTGTTAGTTCAGTCTTTCATGTTGTTGATGTTATGTTCATCTAGCTGTGTTAGTTCAGGCTTTCATGTTGTTGATGTTATGTTCATCTCGCTGTGTTAGTTCAGTCTTTCATGTTGTTGATGTTATGTTCATCTCGCTGTGTTAGTTCAGTCTTTCATGTTGTTGATGTTATGTTCATCTAGCTGTGTTAGTTCAGGCTTTCATGTTGTTGATGTTATGTTCATCTAGCTGTGTTAGTTCAGGCTTTCTTGTTGATGATGTTATGTTCATCTAGCTGTGTTTGTTCAGTCTTTCATGTTGTTGGTGTAATGTTCATCTGGCTGTGTTAGTTCAGTCTTTCTTGTTGATGATGTTATGTTCATCTGGCTATGTTGCTTCAGGCTTCCTTGTTTGTGATTTATGTTCATCTAGCTGTGTTTGTTCAGTCTTTCATGTCGTTGAGGGTATGTTTATCTGGCTGTGTTAGTTCAGTCGTTCTTGTTGATGATGTAATGTTCATCTAGCTGTGTTAGTGCAGGCTTTCATGTTGTTGATGTTATGTTCATCTAGCTGTCTTAGTTCAGTCGTTCTTGTTGATGATGTAATGTTCATCTAGCTGTGTTAGTTCAGTCGTTCTTGTTGATAATGTTATGTTCATCTATAGCTGTCTTAGTTCAGTCTTTCTTGTTGTTGATGTTGTATTCATCTAGCTGTCTTAGTTCAGTCGCTCTTGTTGATGATGTAATGTTCATCTAGCTGTCTTAGTTCAGTCGTTCTTGTTGATGATGTAATGTTCATCTAGCTGTGTTTGTTCAGTCGTTTTTGTTGATAATGTTATGTTCATCTATAGCTGTGTTAGTTCAGTCTTTCTTGTTGTTGATGTTGTATTCATCTAGCTGTCTTAGTTCAGTCGCTCTTGTTGATGATGTAATGTTCATCTAGCTGTCTTAGTTCAGTCGTTCTTGTTGATGATGTAATGTTCATCTAGCTGTCTTAGTTCAGTCTTTCTTGTTGTTGATGATGTAATGTTCATCTAGCTGTCTTAGTTCAGTCTTTCTTGTTGTTGATGATGTAATGTTCATCTAGCTGTCTTAGTTCAGTCGTTCTTGTTGATGATGTCATGTTCATCTGGCTGTGTTTGTTCAGTCGTTTTTGTTGTTGATGTTATGTTCATCTAGCTGTGTTTGTTCAGTCGTTTTTGTTGTTGATGTTATGTTCATCTGGCTGTGTTTGTTCAGTCGTTTTTGTTGTTGATGTTATGTTCATCTGGCTGTGTTTTTCAGTCTTTTTTGTTCATGATGTTATGTTCATCTGACTATGTTGGCTCGGACTTTCCTGTCGATGATGTAATGTTCATCTAGCTGTGTTTGTTCAGTCGTTTTTGTTGTTGATGTTATGTTCATCTAGCTGTGTTTGTTCAGTCGTTTTTGTTGTTGATGTTATGTTCATCCGGCTGTGTTTTTCAGTCTTTTTTGTTCATGATGTTATGTTCATCTGACTATGTTGGCTCGGACTTTCCTGTCGACGATGTAATGTTCATCTAGCTGTGTTGGTTCAGTCTTTTTGTTGATGATGTTGTGTTAATCTAGCTATGTTGGTTAAGTCTTTTTGTTGTTGATGTTATGTTCATCCAGCTGTGTTAGTTCGGTCGTTCTTGATGATGACGTTGTGTTAATCTAGCTGTGTTGGTTTCGGCTTTATGTCGTTGATGGTATGTTCATCTGGCTGTGTTACTAGCTGTGTTAGTTCAGGCCTTCGTGTTAATGGCGTTATGTTCATCTAGCTGAGTTGGTTCTCGCCCCACCATAGTGACTGTTTGTCCTGATGATGTTCCGGCTACAGAAGACACCGTGTTTACCCCGAATCGCTGGATGGTACCAACTTCGTGTTGCTGACGGTACAGGGCGGAGAACTAAAATAAATAATGGGAAGATACATGTGAAGAGTTCTGTGTTTACTTTATTTTAAGCGATATTTCAATATTAGCATAGTTTTTAATTAAAGCTCATTCATAAAAAAGAAAAACAGTCAGGTTGTATTAAAGTATAATTACAACAAGTTTTGGGAAAAGGCATTTAATTTTTTTAACAATTCTTAATTTGTCCTCACCAGACACTTTATATTTCTTTTTGTTTAAACCATCATTATTATCATGATGTTTATTATTCTTGTTATCATCATTCTTATGATTTTATTGCACTGGTGTGCAATGTTATTTCGAATTCTGTGCATTCTCAAGAATCAATATTTACTGCCAGTTTTCAATTTACATGTCAGTTTTGTTATTCCTACTATTGTTATCATTATTGTTGTTGTATTTTCTTTGTATCCTCGAATGTGTGTAGATATTGTTTACGTTGCTTGTATGATATTATGTATGTCACTCGCCAGTGGAGAACGGATTTCTGTATTTGTTTAATCAGACAATAAATTATCTTGAATCCTGAATCTTGAATTGAAAAGGTACAAGGCAGTTAGCTGAGCTAAATGTAAGCTCATACTTTTATGAATGATGAGTACAAGCATCGACATGATATCTTTGTTTTAATTGTTTAAGGCTCATTCTGTAGTCATGTCATGTCTTAGTAGAAATTACAGATAGGTCATTTCATGTATTATAACTTATTAATAACGAAATACGATTATCTTGGAATGATATTTGTCATACAGAATGATTACATTATGGTCTTATTTGTCTTTATTTTGCTCCTTACTAATCTCATATATTATCATTAATGCTATTACCGTCATCATTGTTTTTGTATTATTTTTGTTATTATTATCTTTATACATTTCTTCATTTTTCAAGTAAATATTACTAAATGTGTACTAAAGAGAGAAAGAGACAGACAAGGGGAAACAGAAACAGACAGGCAGAGGGAAAATGAGAAGAGATAACATACAGAATATGCAGTAGTAAGTGAGAGAGAGAGAGAGAGAGAGAGAGAGGGGGGGAATAGAGAAAAGAGAGAGAGAGAGAGAGAGAAAGCCGAGAGAGTGGCGTATTCAGAAATGTATGGGTAAGGGAGAGAAGTCCTCCCAGGACCAAGAAGGCGCGGTATGTATACAACCCGCATGCTATATGGAGGCGGGGGTGGATGAGGGGAGGGGGAGGCCTGGGGGTTAATGACACGTTATTTTAACAAGTTTTACCTTGGGGAGGAAGAGTGTACACAGAATGGTTGTAGCACAAAAGATGATGAACCCGGAAGTGACTATATAGGTCACGTTGAGTGAGTTTATGTTGAAGAGAGAGAGGGGAACAGCAACGGCGCAACACAAGCAAGCATTGTAAATAGATATTCCAACATAGTAGCTGTCGTTTAGTCCAGGTAGGCTGACAGTCCTAGAAAGAGAAACAGAATAGATTTCAATTCATATACATAATTTATAAGCAAATACATAAACAATACAAAGAATATGGAGGAGCCAGCAGAGGCCATCGGCCTTTTAAAGGCTGGGCTCCAATGTCCGCAGATAATTATACAACGTAAAGAGAAAAGAAACAATGGGTAGTAAATAAACAAATGAGTACAGGTTAATTAAACATAAGATAGAAATTCCTTCAGTAGATAATGTTTGTATTTTCGTTTGAACAAAAAAGACAACAACGATCGCCAATGTGTGGGCGTCACTAGGAATTCAGCTATTTAAATTTGCAATTGAGATGTTTTCATGAATTCCAAAAAAAAAATAATAATAATAATATTTTTATCACTTTTTGTCTTTTTGCTGATTCGAAGTATGCAGACTGGAAACTTATTTTTGCAAAGAATTCCTGGATAGGCCTACTTCACCTTGGATGGAGGAGAGCGAATATTTTAAATAAGAATAATAATGATCATAATGATAATACAATTTTAAATAAGAATAATGATAGTAATTGGGTCTTATTTACAAGGCCGGTTAGCCACATCAGTAACAGTGCTCTTTCTGCAGGCCCTGCGATAATTATTACCCCAGCAATCACCAGGGACCCGTTTCACAAAGCCTTTTTTCAATGACAAATGGCAAAAATCAGTGACAAATCTGTAGATAACCAATCAGAAGCAAGTATTTCAGTAGCTTATAACACAAATTGTCATTTGTCACTGATGACAAGTTTTGTCAAACGCCCTCCTGGTATCATTTTACACCTGATTGGAGTGATGTGAATGCGGATCAATGTCTAATTGCCAAAATACGTTAGTGCCGGGCTGAGATTTGATCCATCAACCCTCGGATTGAGAGCCAAGTGAAAGAACCACATGACCACGATATTTCCACATCAGAAGAACATAATAATAATAATAATAATAATAATAATAGGCATTTATATAGCGCCGTTTATCTAGACAAATTTATTCCGAGGCGCTCAAATTAGTTATTACCCGGCTTTAGCCTAGCTGCCATTAAAGCACTCTAGCATTTCAAAGAATTAATTCCTGCCAGGTGGCCACTTACCTCACCAGGGCCCAGTTTCACAAAGCCTTTTTTCAGAGACAAATGACAAAAACCAGTGACATATCTGTTGATAACCAATCAGAAGCAGGGATTTCAGTAGCTTATGACCAAAACTGTCATTTGTCATTGATGACAATTTTTGTGAAACGCCCCCCTGTGTCGAGTGTGGCAAATGTAGATTAATGTCTTGTCAAGGAATATTAGTGCCGTGTCAGGGATCGAACCACGACCTTCGAACTTCAATTCAATTGCTTAAACCACTCGAAACTTCTACATACCTCGTCTGGAAAGATAGGAAAGCTCCAAATATCATGATAAAGGACTTGTATACGGCCAGGATAACGGTCCAAATTGTGTTGTACTTTGTAGAACATCGCCGATACACGTGGATATACAGTACAAAATTGTCACGGTCTTTCTGGGTCTGGAAAAAAAAACATGTTCAGCAATTATTTCATAATCAAAATAGACAATTGGTACAAATAGATTATAATCATACTTATATCATAATATAGCATACATGGCCCATATACATCTTTCTGTGTACAGTGCTTGTAACTTTACCAAGACTTGGCCAAATTTATTATCATTTTGATGATTCCAGAACCTTGCAATACACACCAATACTTAAATGCTAGATGATCAACCTTTTCTGATTGATACCACAGGGTTTCTTTCACAATGCAATCGCATGACCAGAACTGGTCTATACCTTTGAAAAATGGTAAAAACGGTAAATCACATGATAATTGACCTGCTTGGTACTTGGTACTTGGTAGGATTCCTCCAAAAGACACCGTAATGGTGTTTAAACTGGAGGTTTGTCGTCATGTGCGGCCCCCATCTTAAGTATTTCTTGTGTATGCTTGCGTATTTCATTACTTATGTTTGTATCTTTTTATTTCATTTGGACCTACCCGTGGTTGTTCGATCAGCTCATCGATGACGTGAGACGGATCAACGATCTCCCGGGTGACAAGAATGACGATGTCGATGAGTAAAAGCACGACGATAATGGCAACAAGATGCCGGTCCTTGATCACCTCCCCAAGAAAAACAAAATAAACATCTTGAATAACAAATAAAAATCAATTTTTTTACTCTCATTGATACTTCTGTCATAAAGCCGACAGCGCCCTCGGTCGGGTTGGAGTCGGTTTGTCGGATAATTCAAAGCAACAAGATGGTCGGTTATCCTCATATCCGTTCATCGAGGTGACCAAATATTTGACTATTTATTCATATATTTTATCACGTGACCACCAATTGACCAATCATGTATTTAGAAAAGTCATGAATATTCGTAGAAGGGATATAAAATTATTCATTTATTTATTTATTTATTTAATAGTCTTTTGTTTAGTAGGGTGGCTCCATCAGTAATTCAATACTGTTTTCCGTGGAGGCCCTACAACATTAATACGAAATTAACAAAATATTGAAAACAAACAATCCAAATCGAAACAAAATTAATTAAGTTACAACATTTTCGAACAAAAGAAAAGAAACAAACACAACACAACACAATGGACCTTTAAATTGTCCTTCTTTTTTACTCACTCGTTTCGCTCGATCGCAAAGTTAGAAACAAATGTATCCGTAGGTGTGTACATAGTGATGCTAATTAAATACATGTATTCTGTGATGAAGCCAGGATTGTGCCATGACTAGAAAAAAGGGTTGGAAAACTCTAATGTCGACTACATATTTGCAAATAAGAACCACAAAGTGTATATTTGAAGAGCTTAAAGAGAAAGTTGAGTTCTGGGAAGAGGTGACAAATAATTTGTGAGCGTTATCCTTGTTATTATGCAAGGGTGGAAGAACATCAGATAAAACATGTTCCCTGAAAAGCATGGCTCTTCAAATGCCTTCATATTCTAAATATGGCATGTAGCATCGTAAAAATCGGGACGGAATTTTACGCCACGTGTTCGTTTAGTCCCATATACATCCTTCTGTGTACAGTGCTTGTAACTTTACCAAGACTTTATCATTTTGATGATTACAGAACCTTACAATACACACAAATACTTATATGCTAGATGATCAACCTTTTCCGATCGATTTCACAGCGTTTCTTTCACAATGCAATCGTGTGACCAGAAGTCAACTTTATCTTTAACTCCAAAAGGAGCCAAATCCACTTTTGATGAAGATTGAGTTATTGACATCAGAACATTGTTCACTTAAGCATTTGCTTTCAACAAAATTATTTACCTAAATCTTGGGAGCAAATATGAAAAAATGCACCTTCTAATATCAATTTTCCATAGACGCCTGTACAAAATCCGGTAAACAATTTCTTTTTTCTCCGAAGTTACAAAAATGGATTAAGCTCATTTGGGAATTGAACTCTTCATTTATTGACATCGAAATGTAACATAAAAGACAACCAAGAAGATAAAAAATTAAAAACCTGACGGTCAATTCTTACATTGCTTACCTTCCTCATGGTACGTTTGTTGATGACGATGTTATACACCCTCCACATCTTGGTAAACATTGCTCCGAACGCTATAGTGAATGCGAAGGAGATGAGCCACACACGTGCCTGATAGAAACAAAAATGTCTACTTTCTATTTCACGTTTATATCATGATGTATAAAATAATAACAATAATTATAATCCATGATATGGTTTGTATGTATACTTTGTTCAATTTGCTCTGTATATGCGATGTCAGACAGAGTCCAATTATCTAGATAATTCATTGCATGTCTGTCACCAGTCTGTCACTTACGTAACTGAATTATCTAGACAACTATTATTTAGATAATTCATGTTGGATCGGGAAAATTGTGTCTGACACTGCCATATGTGTAGACTATTTTGTGTACATAACCTCTCAAGATATTATTTTTAATACTGATAAAATTGGCTTGTCTAAATATAACAAATAAATGAAGAAATATTAACAACAAAAATACTAGCCAATAAGTCTTTTCGGGACAGCAAAAAATAGTTTATTATATCGGCTGTCTATAAACGTATATGTGCGCCTCATGGACACCCAAAGAAATTTTGATAATTTTCTATGATGGTATGAGTTATAACAAATAAATTAATGAAACAATTATAAATGAATGAATAAAACAATAAACAAATGACTGAATGAAACAATAAACAAATGAATGAATTAATTAATGGATGACTTAATGAACACATGAATTGAATTAAACAAAATAATAAGTAGAATAAAATAAGTAAAATAAAGTAGAATTGTGTAAAAGCTTACCCCACATATTAAGTATTGGTTCCGGGGCTTTAAGATTCCAAGATCTAATCCGAGTAAAACCACACAGATATAAGCTATACATATGCCGCAGATGATGAGGTTGTTTAGGTTTGGGCTCGACATCTTGATATACCTAGAAATGTTGAGAGTAATGTTACGTAATTTTGAAGATCTAATCCGAGTAAAACCACACAGATATAAGCTATACATATGCCGCAGATGATGAGGTTGTTTAGGTTTGGGCTCGACATCTTGATATACCTAGAAATGTTGAGAGTAATGTAACGTAATTTTGAAGAAGAAACAAATATATATATATTACGCAAATAATTACCATTGGTGAAGGTGATGGGACAAACTATCACTTCCGAGGCGATAGTTTGTCATCGCTTGAAACCAAAAGGTGATTGTTTGCTTTATATTCCACATCGGAAACATTTCACTTCTTCCATCATTTTAGAGCAACAAATCATCAATTAGCAGCTAGCAAACGGTGTCCGATATGTACAGTGCATGTAGTACTTATGTACGTACGTATACGCAACGTATACAAGAAAGTGCGTTGCACTGTGTAGATACTACTACACAGTGCAACGAACTTTTCTCCTCCCATCAATGATGGGCGAACTATCTTTTATCACGTGATTTACTATTGACCAATCGTAGCGCAAGATTATTTGTATGTGGAACATAAATATATATATAAACCCCTCAAAAAAAAGTATGATTGATTGTGTACCTCTCTCATTATGGCGCAATCATCGCCATGTTTAGTATCATTAGATGAAGGGTTTATTTATCTTTGATATGATACCCCATTTGTCATGATTTTTCAGTCATGAAAGGTGCAGTAGATCAACATGAAAATTGAAACTTGAAAAATCCAATGCTCTTGTTCGACTGTGTATTGTCCGGGTCTTTTCAAAAGTTGCTAACCAAGGCAGGATGCTTCATAAATTTAATGAATAAACAGTTAGTTAGGAATCTTGCGTGACATGTCACCATTGTGCATCAACTTTTCTAATTCTTCTTAAAGGTACTATGTCCCTTTTGCAGCCAACCTCAAATGCTGTAGAACTTTGCAAGAATTATGAATATGTCATGTATGTCCTGTGAAATGTAAATGTTAGCAGTGTCCTCATATTTAAATTATGCAAGGAAACCTGTTTACTTGCTAGACTTCACTGTCAGACACTATTGAGTCACTGACTGGCTTTTTTTCTTCTTTGGTAATAACATACATGAAAAGAGTTGTAAAGGGTACATGAGCATTTGTCACGTCAATAACCCACTTCTTGTGATGGCCAAGATTAAACTGATTGAATCTTTGCGCAACATAAAACATATGACCATTCGGTACAATTGTCTGAGAATCAAGACTATTACTTTTGGGCTCTATAGCCCTAAAGTCGATTTGACAACTAATAGTCGTTATTTTCCCACTTGAAGACATTTTCAAGCCCCACCTTTTTTAGGGAAGTTCTAAATTAGTATTATCTTTCAAATGCAGTTGGAATTTAACTTTTTCATTTTTTGGCCTGCAAATGGGACATAGTACCTTTAACACTTGATTGACCAGATGCCCCAGTTTTGCAATTTTCTTTCAGGGGCTCATTTATTTTTAATTGGCTATTCTCACTCATGAGTGAATGGTATGATTCCAATTGCATTTTAGCAAAGATCGATTTATGTAAATTTTTATGTACGAAATAAGCTTATATCAAATATATATCAAAATATCTTAATTGAAATTAGTGTCCATTTTCTTTTTATTTGGTGAGGGTATGTATATACATGTAAATAAGAAGAGATGCTTTGAATTCTGCGACGGAGATAATTCATATCGACATAGGACAGAATTTTAAAATGATACCTTAGACATTCCAGTTTAAATGTCATTTCGCCAAAACGGCATGTTCAACTTATTATACTGCAAAGTACAAGCACTTTCTTTTTTAAATGCTTCAGAAACGCACATGTTGTCAAGACAACAACCCTTAAGTATATAAGGAAGCAACTAAGACAATGACAAATAGAGGGAGAGGGAGGGGAAAATGTATAAAGTGTGTATGTGTTTGTCTGTGTGTGTGAGAGAGAGAGAGAGAGAGAGAGAGAGAGACCGAGAGAGAGAGAGAGAGAGGGGAGAAAGAGAAAAAAGATAGAAAGAGTGTGTGTGTTTGTGAGAGAGAGAGAGAGAGAGAGAGAGAGAGAGGAAAGAGAGAGAGGGGAGAGAGAGAAAGGGAGAGGGAGGGGGAAAAGAGAGAGGGGAGAGAGGTAGAGGGAGAGAAAAGAGAGAGGGAGAGAGAGAAGAAAAAAGCGATATACAGAGAGAGAAAAAACAGAAGATGAAGAAAGAGACAGTGAATATAAAAGGAATAATGGAGAAATAGGGGGAAAAGAGAGAGAAGGAAAGAGAGAGATAGAGTATCGAGTAAATAAAATGATAATACAAGTAGATGCAGCAGTGCCAGTAATGGAATTAGTTGTGTATTCTATCATAATCCCCCCACTTTTTCTCTTTTTTCTTTCATTCTTGGTGCGTGATTAGAAAAGAAGTGTATATTTAGCGCTTTACAACAATTGCATATTATTTTTCTATCATGATTACCTCTTTTTCCTATTTCTGATGTTGAAAGTTAAGAAGAACACTGCTAAGGAAATACCGAAGGCAGCAAGCACGCCCACTGTTATAACCGTTACCTTGGAGATAGATCGCTTTACTAAGATCTCATGCGTACGGTCTTCGTCAAATGGTGGTCGACCGTCTGGAGGTTGAGAGGAAGAAAGAGAGAAAATAAATATTTGTTTCCACTTTCTTTCAGTATTTTGTCATCTTTCTCAAATCCATTGTTCTTTAACTTGTTAATAGCCCTTTATCATTAACGAACAGCATTTTAGTGATTAGTTGGCACTTCGCTGCAGGCTTAAGAATCCCCACTGGACTCAATTAAGAAGAGAATAATGTACATTTTGCTTAAAAATACTCAAATAGGTGCCACTCGGGAAAAAGCTCTTTTAAACAAGGCCAATTATGCTCCTTAATTATCCTGTAGGGTGTTGAATATGTGGATTAACAAAGAAAAAAGAAAAAATGAAAACAAAGAAAAAAAGAGTAATGTCGACGATATCGCGGCAAGACATATAACAAAACATTTACAGGGAGCCCAGGGCGTTGGCATAGGGAAAACCCTTTCAATTCTAATATACATGTTAATGTAAACATATTATTAAAGATCTTACATACAGGGAGGTACATTTTATAGTGAAGGTATTTCTGGAATGGGTTATAGATTTTCTTCTAGTTCTTCTTACGTAAAATTTTTAAATGGTTGTCATAAGCTTTAAATGTGTTTAATAGTTTTATAATCATACTCCTAGATTTCGAATGTGGAGAATTAACCGAATCTTTCTGTAGACCTGTAGGTACTGTAAGTCCCACCGCGGCACTAATGTCCTTTGGCAAGACATTGATCTACATTTGCCACTCTCCACCCAGGTGTTAAATGGGTATCCGGTAGGATGCGAAAGCTAATGTGCTTAGATTAGCAAGTGTGCGCTTGTAAAAATGACGCCTGGTTGGAACGCTCCCCAGGGAGTGGAGAATGTGCATACATTGTGTGCGGGTAAGCCTTGAATCCGATGACCGGGGTAATAGTATATATATCTGTAAGGCGCTTTGATAGGGCCCTCCTGAAAAAGCGCCATATAAGAAATAGTTATTATTATTATTATTATTATTATTATTACTGTATCAAAATAATCATCATGGCTTACTATTTCTCTCCCATATCTTCTCGGTTGGTAAGAGCCACTGGATGAGTTGACCTTGAGCTAAAGTTCCTATGACAACACGTGTCCCATCTGGGAAGAAATATACCAAGAAAGATGAAAGGCCAAATAATAATAATAATAATAATAATACGAAAACATTATATAGCGCTTGTGACATAAAAGTTTCAAAGCGCTGTACACAAATCAAGATTACTTCAAGAAGAATCAATATTACTAATGGAATTAACATAAAACCCATGTACTAGCACTATGAACATGACGGACAAAGAAAGCGGACAAAATATACAGTTCCTCATTCTACCCTCAACAATGTGAGGAACAGGTGTCACATACATATTCACCTGTTCTACACATTTTTACATAGTAGCAGTGAAGGAATGTTCCTTTGTCTACCATAGCAATTGTTGAGGGTAGAATGAGGAACTGTATATTTTGTCCACTTTCTTTGTCCGTCATATTCACAGTGTAGTTTAGTGAGATAGAATATAGTTTTACTGTAGAAGAAGCATCACATCTACTTATAGAAAGGTAACACATATACAAACGAAATATCTTTATCAGTTTTTAGTATACAGTGCGTACCAGAAAAAAGCGAAATCAGGAATTATGGCATTTCCATAATTTTATTAAACGAATTCGTTTTCACTGGCTGTGCCGTAGCAACAAACAATAAACTCCGTTTCGTTGACGATCAGGTATGCATGAAGTCTTTTGTCTTCTTTGTTGTTAGGGCAAGACAGCCAGTGGAACGGATTCGTTTAATAAAATTGTGAAAATGCATTACTTTAAACAAACAGAACTTTGTTTTTCCGGGCTCATTTTTCCTGATTAAGGTGTCATATGAAAGGGCAGAAAATGAACTTTCTAGAAATGTGATTTTTCTCTATGAAATTCAGGTACCGTTCGCCAAATGAATTTTTGGTACCCTTTCTTCAAATTGTTTTTAATAACTCATGCGTGAAATATGCATCATAGGAGTTGCATCAAATGAAAGAGGGGGATCTAAGCTTTACAAATATGGTTCATTTATTAATTATAGTTGTGATTAAGTTACAATAAAACATCGACAATTCTTGGTTGCGTTTTTTGGGGGGACGCACTGTATAACTTGTGAACTTTGTAACTTGTAAGAATACGATAATATTAACCTCTTATTTGTTCAATGATGAAAACGCCAGTCCTGTCACCATCTTCTTGGAATCCTACTGGCCCCTACATGAACAAACAGATACAGAAAATACATGTACTAGAGAAATTATTGATTATTGGCGTGTGCTCAACATAAAAACGCGTAATCATATTTTTAGAAACAAGCATTTCCCTTTTATTGCATTTTCTTCCAGTTCAAACCAACAGTTATGTTCTCCTATTTCTTTTCTTTTGCATATCAACAAAATATCAATGTAATAAGTACATACATAATGACATTATGAATTTTAAGGGCATACAGTTTTAACACACGCAATTGTCCTGAAAAGAATTGGTTTGCGCCGGATATCTCTTATAGAACAATACTATGAACTTGTATAAGACCGAAAGAGAAGAATAGAGGGGAAAATGGAAAAGAAATGAAATAATGAGAAAAGGAATTTAGAGTCAAGTGGTTGGAAACGTACTTTGACGAATTACATGATAGCTAGCGTATATAACTGATCTGCATTAATGGTACTGTATATAAAAAATGGGAAAGAAAAGAAAGTATTCTATAGAATGATGCAGAAAAAATAATCAAGTAAAAACCTAGGTATAAGTCCCGGCAAACGGGTAACGAAAACGTTAACAATTCAATTCAATTCATCAAAAATTTGTTTTCTTCACACAAAAAAAGAACGAAGCATGAAATATATATTTATAATGTTATATAAATACATGTAATATATAACAAACGATAACAATATATGCTGATTGGGGGTAGTTGATTTTTTTTGGGGGGAGGGGGTGTGACTAAACATCTACTTTGGGGTGGCGTCAATACAACATGTCTTTCACTAAATCTTTACAACATATTTATTTTGTATATCGTCTAAATTGTATAACGCTTCTCTGTAGGTAGAATACACTCGTCGTGCTCTTATCATCGTAGGTATAGTAGTATAGGAAAGGAAGGATAATGAAGGCTTCGGGTTAATAATATATAAGATAAAGTTTGTCATACCGACACACCGTGAAAGTATGATTCGAGGATATGTTCAGAATATCCTTGTAGTGTTCCTATCATCGAACGTGTACTCATTATAGGGAACGGAGAATAATGAAGGCTTCGGTTAAGTAACTTACCGACACACCGTAAAACTGCGATTCGTATAATATTCGTAGAAGATGCTCGTCGTGTTCCTATTGTCGTACGTGTAATCGTAGAATCGTATAGGGAAGGGTGAATAATGAAGGCTTCGGTTATAGATAACTTACCGACACACCGTAAAACTCCGAGTCGAGGATATGTTTGTAGAAGATCCTGGTCGTGTTTCTGTCATCGTACGTGTAATCGAGCAGGATACTATTACCCATCATCGCAAGAGACGTGTTAAGCCCGAACGCCATTGCATATATCCCATCGTGTGCATTCGCGGCCACATCGCGGCTGTTGAGGAGGATCTTCGAGCCGAGGAGTCGGGACAGCTCCTCGCGAAAGGAAGTGGCCGTCTGGGTATGTGTGAACGTGGTTTTGGGTTGGGGGGCATCGATGGAAGAGAGGGTGGGGTCGAGAAAGGTATGAGGAAAGCAACAACAAATAAATCAGTTATTTCTCTAGCTATAAGACTTAAACACAAATATTAAGACTTTCAAGAAACCATCATACCCTTTTATATTGCCAATTGAAAATAAGTTCTCCTCGTTTACCCATCGTTACAAAACTCGATAATTTTCTGTACTGTTTACTTTTTTTGCTTCCATTCACTGAAACGTTGATTATAACCTTCCATGACCTGGTATGAATAAACGTATGAATAAAGAGAGGCCTACTTGGGATACTGAATAAACACTGTCTTCTATACAAACATTTCAAGGCTCCGACTCGCAGGCCCAGGTTTAAAACCAGCTGGCTGATCTTACTTTCACATTCTTACTGTCCGAACCTCGCGAGTCTTCTCATTCTATTGTATCCCAAGTTGGCCACTCAGTATTCAAATTTGCATTTTCTTTTCTTTTTTAAAATCTTTATATATCAATTCAAAATCCAACTACCACATAAGCCTGTGAATATTGATGTGCATCCCCTCTTTCTTTTCTCTTCTTTTTTTCTGTCTTTTCCCCCTTTTACCAATATTTTGTTCCTCCATATTTGTATTATTATGTATCCTTTGAGGGTAGTCATACTATCAAGCTTTGCTTATTTTGTCAACCCTCCTGTTTGATGTTCTCGATTAGTTACACCCAGCCTTACTTTATTCTACATATATTCTTTTGTCATGTGTAAATTTGCAATATTTGTTTGTTATATATTTGTAAAAATGCAAAAGAAAAAGAAAATCAAACAGAAATAAATAAATCAAATCAAATCAAATCAAATCAATACATAATATTTCATTCAGATGAACTCTTATAAACATACAGTTTACATAAGCAAATCGTATGGCATTAAATTGAAAAACAACAAATTTAAGAACGAAAGAATGTACCAAACGAAATATACAAAAACAGATGGCTGTAAATATAGCTCATTTTCAGCTGCACTATAGTGCAGCTGGCCTCCCTTTGGGACCAGGGAGTGTTTCACAAAGATCTTAAATTGAAATTATATCTAAGTCGGACTTAACAATTATGGAAAGCCGTTAGCATCTTTGAAAAATATTTTATGAAAGTTATTTTAAAAGGCATAGAATGTTGATTCAAACCAATCATATTTTCTATTATCAAAGAGATTTTATGTTCTTGATGTGGAATTTTATTTGTTTAAAGTCTAAAATACTCTGATTTTCGCCTCTGAATGTAATTCATTTTAAGGCTACAAATGCCTCTCCGTAATTTTTAAGTCTAAATTAGCGTTAAGTTCAACTTAGGATCTTTGTGAAACATCTCCCAGAACAAAAAACAAGGCTCACTCGAGTGGTTGTAGCTGCGGTCTTCTTCCTTGCATACATACTAAAGTATACCGTGATAACGCTCTGAAGGACGGCCATCATGTCATCATCAGTGCACCCCAGTTTCTCCTCTGGTTTGTCGGAAGTTCTCCACCAATTGCTCTCCAGGAAACCTCGGAAGATAAAGATGTGTTTCGGGCCGTAAAGTTTGCGTATGAACGCCTAGAAGAATCGGAAATCAACAGGATAATTTTCATGTTAGATTTTGAATGAAGTGTGCGTGTATTTGATGTGGTGTTTTTTGTTTTAATTTCTATTATTTGTGTTGATGTCTCAGCTATATCATACAATGTTTACGGAAACCTCGGAAATGAAGATGTGTTTCGGGCCGTAAAGTTTGCGCATGTACGCCTAGAAGAATCGGAAATCAACAGGATAATTTACATGTTAGATTTTGAATGAAGTGTGCGTGTATTTGATGTGGTGTTTTTTGTTTTAATTTCTATTATTTGTGTTGATGTCTCGGCTATATCATACAATGTTTACGGAAACCTCGGAAATGAAGATGTGTTTCGGGCCGTACAGTTTGCGCATGAACGCCTAGAAGAATCAGAAATCCACAGGATAATTTACATATTATATTTTGAATGAAGTGTGCGTGTATTTGATGTGGTGTTTTTTGTTTTAATTTCTATTATTTGTGTTGATGTCTCAGCTATATCATACAATGTTTACGGAAACCTCGGAAATGAAGATGTGTTTCGGGCCGTACAGTTTGCGCATGAACGCCTAGAAGAATCGGAAATCAACAGGATAATTTTCATGTTAGATTTTGAATGAAGTGTGCGTGTATTTGATGTGGTGTTTTTTGTTTTAATTTCTATTATTTGTGTTGATGTCTCGGCTATATCATACAATGTTTACGGAAACCTCGGAAATGAAGATGTGTTTCGGGCCGTACAGTTTGCGCATGAACGCCTAGAAGAATCGGAAATCAACAGGATAATTTACATGTTAGATTTTGAATGAAGTGTGCGTGTATTTGATGTGGTGTTTTTTGTTTTAATTTCTATTATTTGTGTTGATGTCATGTCTCAGCTATATCATACAATGTTTACGGAAACCTCGGAAATGAAGATGTGTTTCGGGCCGTAAAGTTTGCGCATGAACGCCTAGAAGAATCGGAAATCAACAGGACAGTGTACATGTTAGATTTTGAAAAAAGTGTACATATATTTAAAGGCCGTCTGCGCTAGTTTGGCTAGGAGGGATTAGACCACCCAGGGAGGTCACTGACAGGTCACTATCTCATCAACTCAGCTCTCAATTAATATAAGGAAAAGAGGATCACGGGGGACCACTGGTCACCGATCAGGCATTGTTTTCTATATAGAGGGAGCAAGTAGCTACAAGTAGTACAGTTGGGCTTTAATGTGGTGTTTGTTGTTTTAATTTCTATTATTTGTGTTGATTGTCTCAGCTATGTCATACAATGTTTCCGGAATCCGTTCAGGGGTGTACATTTTACAACCTATAAACTTATCAATAAACCCCTCTACATTTTCCCGTTACTCTGTTGTTCTAGTTCTCAATCTGATCATTATTCTCTGTATTCTTTCCCAAACAATGAATATATTTGTCATTAACTTGAACAAATGTATGGAAGAAAGATTTTTTAAAAATTGTTTTTAAAATTTGTCCCTTGCACACGAGACGTTGGTTGTCTTTTGGATGTCTACATTAGTGACTTGTGTGGTTTTAACGTGTATTATAAGAGACACTATGAACATGACTGACAAAGAGAGCGGACAAAATATACAGTTCCTCAGGTAGACAATGGAACATCCCTTCACTGCTATTATGTAAAAAGGTGAATATGCATGTGACACCTGTTCTACACATTTTTACATAATAGCAGTGAAGGGATGTTCCTTTGTCTACCTGAGGAACTGTATATTTTGTCCGCTCTCTTTGTCAGACATATTCATAGTGAGAGCTGCCGAACGACTAGTAATCACACAATGAACAGGGGACGGAACGAAGTCATTGTGTTAAATTACATTGCGTCACATCGCGTTACATTGCGTTACATTGCGTTGCGTTACATTGCGTTACATTGCGTTGATTACTTGCGTCTAGATTAATTCCATTCACACTGAGCTCTATTAGCGCAGGGGGAAACGCATTCGAAATGACGCTTCGTCTTCTCTGACGCTTCGTCTCCAACGAGCAAAACGTGCTAAATTGAGAGCAACATCACGCAGAAAAATGGATTTGAGCCCACCAAACACTTTACAGCCCCTGCAACCCGAATTCTGAAGAAATATCAAATTTATTAGATACGGAAATATTATAATAATGATAATAATACGAAAAATTAATATAGCGCTTGTGACATAAAAGTTTCAAAGCGCTGTACACAAAAACATCAAATATCTTCTTCCCTATTTATGTTCTAAACAATGATAACAGTACTACCAACCGAGATTTTAGTGCATTTAGACCTTTCGGTCGAAATTACAAAAACAATAAAGTTTCGTTTATGCAGACATGACCTAAAAAATGATTGATCTAGCTTCTCCTGCTTTTCATGTCAAAATATTTGTTCAAACATGGTTTACATTGACTAAATGAACCATTCGTAACCACTAATAAACCATTCAAAGTCAAAACTGCCTTCGTGTTTGCAGCAGCATATCCGACCAAACCTTTTAAAGCCCCTCTAAAGTGTTTGGAGCCACAAATTCGCTAAAAAAAACTGATGGCAACATTTCACTAAAATTGTGTATTGATGTGGAAGAGGATGTCATATAACACTCAACTCTGCAAGGATTTTGAAAACAAATGTGTTTGAAGATGAATATTGATGAAAGAATACAAAACTTGGGGTTTTTATGTGGTACGCAGAAAACCTCAATCTTGTTTTCTTCCATCAATATTCGTCTTCAAACACATTGATTCTGAAAATCCATGCAGAAGTCAGTGTTACATGATATCCTTGTTCACGTCACTTCATTATACGATTGGAGTGAATTTGTGACATCAAATTTGTTGGGCTCCCAACACTTAAAGTGATTCGGTAACATTGCCTCAGATTCTGAAACAAAATCTTGGATTTAGCTCATGCTGCAATCATAATTATCAACCTTTAGGTCAGTCAGGAATCCCATGACTTTTACGAGCCGATCGCCTGTCTTATTATCAAAATATTTATGATTGAAAAATCGAAATTTCATTTTTCGTTTTCTTAACGGTTTTCATAACATTACAGTCTATAGGGGGAAATGAGTATATGGTAAATCCGGTCAATAAAAGATTTTTTACTTTTTTGAGGCACTTCATGATCATTTTGAAGCGCAATTTTGTAGGGCTTCAATATTACCGTATATCACACACACACACACACACACACACACTGATGACACATAGGGGCATGCATCTCAATTTTAACATTGTTAAACGATGCTTTAAAGGTACTATGTTCTTTTTGCAGCCAACATCAAATTCTGTAGAACTTTGCAGGAATTATGAATATGTCATGTATGTCTGTGAAATTTAAACGTTAGCAGTGTCCTAATATTTAAATTATGCAAGGAAACCTGTTTACTTGCCAGACTTCACTGTCAGACACTATTGAGTGACTGACTGGATTTTTTCTTCTTTGGTAATAACATACATGAAATGATCTGTAAAGGGTAGATGAGCGCTTGTTTACATCAATAACCCACTTCTTGTCATGGCCAAAATTAATCTGATTAAATCTTTGCACAGCATAAAACGTACGACCATTCGTTACAATGCTCTGAAAATCAGACTATTACTTACTGGCTCTATAGCTCTATAGTCGATTCGACAACTAATAATAGTCGTTATTTTCCCACTTAGAGACATTTTCAAGCCCCCCCCCCCCCCCTTTTTTTTTTTTTTAGGGAAGTTCTAAATTAGTATTATCTTTCAAATGCCGCTGGAATTTAACGTTTTCATTTTGTTTTGGCCTGCAAATGGGACATTTAAAGCAGTAGGTATTCATTTCCTTGTATCATTGTCACACAGAGGCAGAAGCTCCAGTTACAGCTTCATCATATTCAATAATGATGATAACAAAGCTTCTGGTTTTAAAATGCTCTCAATAATAAATCAACACTGACAGCGAAAAAACACTTCTCACGTATGATTCACTCTTTATTCCGTTTAATAAGATTTCGATTATTCGAGTTATCGAATCAGCGCATTTGTGAGAGAATGCAACGTAAACAATATAGTTCAGGGTCAAAGTTGTTTACGCTAGCAAAGTGCAGAAAGGTCAAAAGAGAAACTATTAGTTAAGCGCATCGCGCGCGATACCGGTAAAGTGCGCGCATTCCAAGTTAGCATGCGCGGCACAACAACTGAATTCGTCTCACATACTCAACAAGTTCCACTGGGGTTGGATGTTTTTCTTTTAGTTCTCCCAGATTTTAGGAACAGGAATATTCACGTAGGAACAGGAATATACACGTAGACCTATACTTTTTAGGTGTCTACACTTGAACAATTTTATTACCAAGACAACTTTTACCGTGCTGGCTCGTCGAGGATGGTTTAGCCCACACAATCGCCTGGTATAACTCTGGAAGTGATTATTCTGGATACATAAACTAAAGGGGATCTATAGATCTAGACTCTAGATCAAGTCTAGATCTACTCAATAAACTAAACCGGACTATCGCGCTCGATCAAGCCCGAACTTGACAGTGACAATGGGGAAGAAAAGAGGCGGGCAGACGACTAAACGCAAAGATCGCGAGACCAGAGCATCAACACGGAATGTTAGTGTTACCACAGGACCCAGCACGAGAGTGACAAGGCCTAGATTTAGTACTACTAGCTCTAGGCCTACTAGTAGTAGGAGAGGGAGATACACGTCAAGGTCAATGCCAAGGGCAAGGGAGTCGGTGTCGCAAGATCAGCCAGTGACCGGCCCAGGGACGGTGGAGCAGGCGCCTGCAGCCCAGGCAGCAACACCCAGTCAGTCGTCGGGACGACCCTCGGTCGTGACACAACCGGGTGAGTTTACGATAAACAACCGTCAGCTTGACATTACAGGCATTAGGCCTAGATCTAATGAAAGCATAGAGACCAATTCAGCCCTCGTCCCTACCGTATCGTTCCCTTCCATAGCAGATAGTACCAGGGCGGGATGGAGGTCTAAATTCAGACCTGGGGGATCATACGGGTAAAATACTAGGCAACCAGGGGATGACGGCTCGAGGGCAGGGATACGTTCCAATGGAACAGTGTCAATCGGGTTTTACTGTAGTTCAAACGGGACAACAACTCATGCTTAAACCAATAGTAACGGCAAGAAACAAGATCTACAATATTGAGGCGTGGACAAACGCCTGTTTGACATTTGCGAGTGTCTATTTGCAGGCACATCCAAACTTCGCACAAGAGATCCTAAAATATTGCCACCTCATACGGTCGGCATCGAGCAAATACACAGGGTACGGATGGCGGGACTATGATGTGGAGTTTCGCTCCCGTAAATTAATATCTAATAAAGATCGTGGGCTAGTATCGATGGAGAGTTGTGGCTCATGCACGTTGTAGGGGGTGGGGCGCCTAGACTAACATTAACAACAATAGGAACCCCCACGGCTAAGCCTCCAAGAGTGGGGAGGCCAGGCGGGCCCAGACCATTTCAGTCCCAATTTCCCAGAACATCGGGCACCAAAAGTCAGGCTTACTGGAGTCAACCAGCCCGCCGGCTGGGCGGCCGCCAGCTCGGAGCTCGCCAGTCCGGTCCCGGTGTATGCTATGCACTTAACTTCAGACATGGAAAATGTGAGCGTCAGCAGTGCAAATTCCTCCACAAATGCTTGGCATGCGGCAATACCGGCCTCGGGAAAGTTACCTGCCCGCGGGCCCGGGAGGCGATCACCAGCCAAACCGCATAAAGCAGATCTAGTAGGCCTAGATAGTCTAGTAATTCTTAAATACTGGGGATCAATATAACGAAGGGACATCAATGGCCAATAATAATAATGTTAACGTAAAGTCGGTACAAGATCATCAACTACACTCACTAGCTCCATCTCCCATTAAAGTAGAAAGACTAGTAGCAGAGTTAGAAAGATATCCCAATAAAAAGGCAGCGCAATTCTTAGTAACCGGTTTCACCCAGGGCTTCATATTGAATTACAACGGCCCTCGGTTGCCTGACGATCTACCAAATTTGAAATCGGCAGATCAGAATAAGGTAGCGACAAAAAAGAAAATCGATAAGGAAGTTACTTTGGGACGCTACGCAGGGCCATACGAGAAAAGACCCCTTCAAAATTTGAGAGCAAGCCCAATTGGCTTAGTCCCGAAGAAGAACCCAGGGGATTTCCGACTAATAAACCACTTATCCTATCCGAAAGGGTACCCGATTAATGATTTCATTGCCGATGACGCATGCAAAGTAGAATACAGTAGCCTAGCTATGATACTGCCGTAGATTTAGTTTCTAAGACGGGAATAGGGGCTGAGTTAGCAAAAGAAGACATAAAATCTGCATTCAGACTGCTACCCATATCAACCCAGGACTTTGAATTATTAGGAATAAAATTCGAAGAGAAGTATTACGTAGATAAGTGTTTACCAATGGGGATCCGATGCGCACCGGCATATTTCGAAAAATTCTCCTCATTTCTAGAATTCTGTGTGAGGGACAGGCTAGGAACAGATAGGATAGTTCACTACATGGACGATTTTTAGCAGTAGGGTCGGCAAATGCAGGAGGTATTAAATGTTTAGGAATAATAACCGAATTTCGCTCAGTAGGCAGTGAACTAGGTGTCCCTCTGGCTATGGAAAAATCGGAAGGGCCCTGTACAAAATTGACATATCTAGGCCTGGAGGTCGACACCAGCGTCATGCAAGTTCGGATACCTGACGGTAGGTAGCAGCCTTGAAACAGAAAATCCGCAGGGCCTTAGAACAAAAGTCTTTGGATCTGAGGATTATTCAGTCGTTAATAGGATCCTTGAATTTTGTTTGTCGAGCCGTACGGCCAGGTAGAGCGTTCCTAAGGAGGTCAATAGATCTCCTGAAAACAGAAGACGGGTCAAAGGGTTCACGGCGTTTAACGGATGGAGCCCGTGCTGACCTCGAAGTTTGGTTGTCTTTTCTGGAACAACTTAACGGGGTTACAATCATTCAGCCTAGGCAATGGTCAACTGACGACATCCACATGAAAAAAAGCACGCCGCGTTTCATGCTAGTAAAGATAAGATTCTCAAAAACAGATTAATATGGAAAATCAACAATTTTTTGCATAAGAGAGAATGGCATACACAACAGTTGCCCAATTGCCGCAATGTATAGTTTTCTCAACTTGAGACCCAAAACCCATGGCCCTTTGTTTTGCCATGCTAATGGGGCCCCATTAACCAGGTATTAATTTAGAGCAGTATTGATTAAGGTGTTGATCTTTTCAGGGGTGCAATCAGCCCATTATGGCACTCATTCATTTCGTATTGGTGCTGCCACAATTGCTGCCTTGAATGGATTACCCACAGAAAAAATAAAAGAGATGGGGCGATGGCGCAGCGGGGCCTACAGGTCTTATGTAAGACCCTAGTCATATTAGAATAGAGATATCCTCCTTCCAAAGGTTATAGCGTGGAAGGTTGTAGTTTACATTAATAAAATTGAGAGTGCTCTTCCTCATCTCTCACATGAAGCAAATTATTGTAGTTGATCATAAGTTTTCAAAAAGTCATGTATACAGTGTAAAAATAAATAAATAAATACAAAATAAAAAAATAAAAAATAAATAAATAATAAACAAATAATAAGAAACCGATTATCGTGCTTACCAAATTATAGCACGGGCACAATATGATGCTCGTTTTAACCTTAACTACAAACAAGTCGAATAGGGTGGACTATGAATAAACATATGATCGCGAAAAGAATTATGTACATGTAGGCCTATACTTCCCCGGAGAACTCTTTTGTTTTCACCACAGGTACTCGAGCCCAACGGTTGTGGCTATTGGGGGATAGCTTCGTCAGGAGAGCCGGCGAGAGGGCATCCTGGACAGGCAACCACAACCTGGGAGTAAATGCAAGCGAGGTTAAATGGTTTGGCAGAGGCGGCCTAACCCTACACGAATTTCCGAGAGCTCTCCAGGACTTACTAAGGTACAACCCAGCTCCTACCATCATGATCATTCACGTGGGTTCGAACGACCTCGGCCGCTATGGAGCCAAGCAATGTCGACAGGCATTAGATGATGCCCTCACCACAGCCCGGGAATTATTACCGAGGTGCCATATTTATGTTTCAAGCATAATACCTCGTTTGTTCTACTATGGATATGGCCGTACAGTGCATTCGCAATTAGCGATTAATAAGGTGAGGAAATCCCTGAACAAATATGGTAGAAGAAAGATCAGGCGCATGCACAATGCATCGTTCATCATGCACAACTTCATCGCGCAAGAACACCAATATTTTAACAGGGACGGGATACACCTGTCGGACAGTGGATGTGACATTTTGATACAGAGTTTCGCAACGGCGGCTCGAATGGCTGGGTTAACTTAAAACTTGAAATCTCTGAGAAAACGCCGTTTAAATATAATGACTCCCTCAAAATAATGCACGTGAGTCTTGCGACTCAACACTTTAACATTTAAGCTGAATATAATATTATTTGTCTGCGGTACGATTGTATAGCAGACAAATGTTGTTTGTATCGTTAATGAATGCATATTTATGTTGGGTCCGGGGCTGTGCCCCGATGGAATGTAATTTGCATAGGCAGCTCGTACAGGTGTGCGAGCTAATTCTGCCACGGAGACCAGGGCGTGGCATGAATTAGTGTGTAATTGAATCATTTTAGCTTGAGCTTTCAACGAGACAACTTTTATTTACAATAAAAGTGCGTTGTGTCATGTACTGTTACATGACTGCGTTTGAATAAGGTTTTCCAGAGTTTTTATGCTCGTTGAGTTTTATCTCTGGTTTTTTATCCTGGACCATGATAGGTCCGGTTTCCAGTGAAGGAAACGGTTTCCAGTGAAGGAAACGAGAAGAAATGTTTGTTAAACATTCATACTGAATAAACGGCCGGCTCTCAGTAGTCGTTGTCAGGCTATTCCACAATAATTGAAGTGTATTATTGTGTTATTTGTGTGTATTGGAAAGCAAGAGGGATGACAGACGAAATAATATGTGAGATTATAGGACAGACAGATCATTGCATAATGTATATACATGCACATGTCAATAGAACAAGGCAGAATCTGATTTGGACCATGATATGGCTCGTTGACGCTGCTATCATGGTTGTTTTGTTGTTGGTTTTGGTATGGCAGCTCGTCAAGTATACCTACATGTATATTTCTAGTTTAGGGAATAATGCCAAAGATAATAAGATAACAGTGGATTGTACAGATGAATACAAGGTGTACATGTAAATAGACGTTCGATCAAAATAGGACAGTCGACTAATGACTGAATCTTATTTGAGGCTGTGCAGCTCGACTGTACACGGGCAAACATGTTATTATTGTCTTCAACATAGTGATCGTGTTTAATTGATTTAACGTGGATTCATAGATCGTAATTGTTCATTTCAATTTTGCTCGGCAAAGTCACATAAAATGTGATAATGGTGCAGAGAATTTAAGCACCTGGCTTGGTATTAAGGTTTGGGAACCGATGGAGAAAAATAATAAAAATAAAATTGTTAGTATTTTTGATAAATGCCCTTAAAGAGATGACTATAGTTTGCTTTGTTTGAATGGGTCCAAGTGACAACAGATAACATCATTTCATTTAATTGTTCGTCCATTTATGGCAGAAAGTAACAATTTAGAAAACAAAACAGACAAAACTATTTAAGAGGCAAAAAAAAAAAAAAAAAAGAAAAAAAAAAAAAATGGTTTGTATTGGCTGTTTGGGGTTGAAAATTGTCAAGGTTGCTTATTGCTATTGATATTTATGTTAATTGTTGTTCATAACAGGGGAGAGCGGTTTGCCCAATGGCAAGGAGGGGCTCTCAGTAGGAGAGGTTGTTTAGGGGAATCCGTAATCTCAGGAAACTGGGACTTCGGTTGGATGTCTTCCTCCCGGTTGGTCACGTGACCCGGGTTCCCCTACTTAGTATCTCGTTTTTATTTAGCCTCTCCCCTCTTCCCTGTACAATAGTGCGGGTACAGATATCGCCCCTTTTTAATTTCATTGCATTTCTGTTATTTGATTGTGACATTAATTGTTGGACGGTTTGAAAGGGGGAAATTCTATCCCCAGTGGAATAAATGTTGAGAAAATGGCAAACAATTTATCCATGTTGTATTTCTTCTCACAATTCGATTATTCGAGTTATCGAATCAGCGCATTTGTGAGAGAATGCAACGTAAACAATATAGTTCAGGGTCAAAGTTGTTTACGCTAGCAAAGTGCAGAAAGGTCAAAAGAGAAACTATTAGTTAAGCGCATCGCGCGCGATACCGGTAAAGTGCGCGCATTCCAAGTTAGCATGCGCGGCACAACAACTGAATTCGTCTCACATACTCAACAAGTTCCACTGGGGTTGGATGTTTTTCTTTTCCCGCCTCCCCACCCCTTCTACTCCTTAGACAATAAGAAAGGAAGAAATAAGAAGTAGAAAGTGAAAGAGCTCAAAGAAAGGGGGAGGGAAATTTACACAGCAGAGCTCGGGGAGGATAGATTTGAGACATGTGGCCAAAAAACAAAAAGTGATGATGATTATGGTTGGTTGGTTTGGCTTGATGCATTTTAAATAAATGGTTGGTTGGTTGGGCTAGTATGCTTTTAATGAATGGATGGTTGGCTGGGCTTGTAATAATTCGTGTTATGGTTGGCTGGATGGGCTTGTATTCTTAATTGGAACAAAGTTTTGGTTGGTTGGTTGGGCTAGTGATGTTCCAATAAATGGCTGGTTGGTTGGGCCAGTAAGCTAGTAATGAATGAATGGTTAGCTGGGCTAGTATAATGATTCGTTTTAGAGATTGGCTGGATGAGCTTGTATTCTTAATTGGAACAAAGTTTTGGTTGGTTGGTTGGGCTAGTGATGTTCCAATAAATGGCTGGTTGGTTGGGCCAGTAAGCTTTTAATGAATGGATGGTTGGCTGGGCTTGTAATAATTCGTGTTATGGTTGGCTGGATGGGCTTGTATTCTTAATTGGAACAAAGTTTTGGTTGGTTGGTTGGGCTAGTGATGTTCCAATAAATGGCTGGTTGGTTGGGCCAGTAAGCTATTAATGAATGAATGGTTGGCTGGGTAGTATAATGATTCGTTTTAAAGATTGGCTGGATGGGCTTGTATTCTTAATTGGAACAAAGTTTTGGTTGGTTGGTTGGGCTAGTGATGTTCCAATAAATGGCTGGTTGGTTGGGCCAGTAAGCTATTAATGAATGAATGGTTGGCTGGGCTAGTATAATGATTCGTTTTAAAGATTGGCTGGATGGGCTTGTATTCTTAATTGGAACAAAGTTTTGGTTGGTTGGCTGGGCTAGTGATGTTCCAATAAATGGCTGGTTGGTTGGGCCAGTAAGCTTTTAATGAATGGATGGTTGGCTGGGCTTGTAATAATTCGTGTTATGGTTGGCTGGATGGGCTTGTATTCTTAATTGGAACAAAGTTTTGGTTGGTTGGTTGGGCTAGTGATGTTCCAATAAATGGCTGGTTGGTTGGGCCAGTAAGCTATTAATGAATGAATGATTGGCTGGGCTAGTATAATGATTCGTTTTAAAGATTGGCTGGATGGGCTTGTATTCTTAATTGGAACAAAGTTTTTGTTGGTTGGTTGGGCTAGTGATGTTCCAATAAATGGCTGGTTGGTTGGGCCAGTAAGCTATTAATGAATGAATGGTTGGATGGGCTAGTATAATAATTAGTTTAATGGTTGACCGGATGGGCTTGTATTCTTAATTGAAACAAAGTCTTGGTTGGGTGGTTTGGATTGAAGATTCATTTGAAAATTCGGTTTTGGCATTCTTTATTTTGAAAATATGCTGAAGGGTTGTGGCTCGTAGAGCCTTCTTGGACGCTGTAATTAAGTAGATATAAGTGCCCAGATAGATGTATCGAAGCTTATCATAACTCATCCTGCTATGAAATTATTATATGTATGTTTGGGGTTGAAAATTGTCAAGGTTGCTTATTGCTATTGATATTTATGTTAATTGTTGTTCATAACAGGGGAGAGCGGTTTGCCCAATGGCAAGGAGGGGCTCTCAGTAGGAGAGGTTGTTTAGGGGAATCCGTAATCTCAGGAAACTGGGACTTCGGTTGGATGTCTTCCTCCCGGTTGGTCACGTGACCCGGGTTCCCCTACTTAGTATCTCGTTTTTATTTAGCCTCTCCCCTCTTCCCTGTACAATAGTGCGGGTACAGATATCGCCCCTTTTTAATTTCATTGCATTTCTGTTATTTGATTGTGACATTAATTGTTGGACGGTTTGAAAGGGGGAAATTCTATCCCCAGTGGAATAAATGTTGAGAAAATGGCAAACAATTTATCCATGTTGTATTTCTTCTCACAAATGTCACTTTTAATATATGCAGTCAGAACAATAACCTACCGCATTTTGCGGTTACCATACACCATAATTGAGATATAACATGATGGCGAGATGAATACTGAATCGTATACGATTCCATAATTGTAATTATGAGCTGACTCATAATAGAATAATATATATATAAATGTATATATATATATATGCGTACCTGGCATAAAACTTTTCTAGCCGTGTCCTCCGAGAAACTAGCGATGATAATTCTTGAGTCTTTTACCTGCAGAAGACAGCAAGAGAAAGAGGGCATTACAAAACATTGGCAAATAAAAAAAGAGCATGAAAAGAAAGAAGACACTGATAGAGGATGAGGGAGAAAGAATGACACGTGAAATTAAAGATGGCAGAGAGTAAGTAATAAAGAGAGAGAGGGAGATAAAGAAAGAGAGAAATAGAGAGAGAGAGAGAGAAAACCGTATCAGCATGACAGGGACAAATAAATGGCAGATAAAATGAAAGACGACAGCAAGCAAGTAAGAGAAAGAGTGAGAGAGAGAGAGAGGGAGAGAGAGAGAGAGAGAGAGAGAGAGGATGAAAGACGACAGAGAGCAAGCGAGAGAGAGAGGGGGAGGGGGAGGGAGAGATAGAGAGAAAGCAGACACAAACTGTATTTGCATGACTTGGACAAATAAATGGCAGATAGAATGAAAGACGACAGAGAGCAAGCAAGTAAGAGAAATAGAGAGAGAAAGAGAAAGAGAGAGAGAGAGAGAGGGGGAGAGGGAGAGAGAAAATGAAATACGACAGAGAGCAAGCGAGAGAGAGAGAGAGAGGGAGGGGGAGGGAGAGTTAGAGAAAGCAGACACAAACTGTATTTGCATGGCATGGACAAATAAATGGCAGGTAGAATGAAAGACGACAGAGAGCTTGAGAAATAGAGAGAGAAAAGGGGAAAGAGAGAGAGAGGGAGAGAGAAAATGAAATACGACAGAGAGCAAGCGAGAGAGAGAGAGGGGGAGGGGGAGGGAGAGTTAGAGAAAGCAGACATAAACTGTATTTGCATGACATGGACAAATAAATGGCAGATAGAATGAAAGACGACAGAGAGCAAGCAAGTAAGAGAATGAGAGAGAGAAAGAGAGAGAGAATGAAAGACGACAAAGAGCAAGCGAGAGAGAAAGAGGGAGGGGGAGGGAGAGATGGAGAGAGCAAACACAAATCTTTTTTGTATGACAGGATAAAAATAAACTTGGAATAGATCCATGAATTGAACAGCGCTGTGTGGAGGTAAATTCATTAGAATAACATATTAATTGTATCGATCGTTAACAAAATGAAAGTAGAACTAACCCCAAAGAATAAGTGTAGGTATTTTGAAAACCGACATGAATTCCAGCATTTTGATGTACAATAAATCTTATGAACGTGTACAAGAGATATATAAATAAACATTTCTTGGCATTATCTTCTACATTATCTTCTGCAGGTGCCCATTTCATTTCTTAATTTCCAACTTTCTTTATATTTGCTATTATATTTGTTTGTTTTTAAAACATGTATATCCGATATTATCATCATCACGTTTTATATATCAATTTCTGTTAATTGTATTTAAAATGTAAATGCTCAAAATTTAAAGGCTACGAGAAAAGGAAATGAAATGCTTTATCCATTCTCTCCTTTTAATTTTCTTTTCCCCCACTCATCCATGTATATAAATTCGATTTATTTTATGTATGATGTGCAAAATATTGAAGTTTCCACTATTATTATTGTTAATTTATTCCTTGAACTAATTTGTGATCGTTTCCATATTGATGTATTTGTAATTTGTCTTTATTACTTTGAACTTTGTAATCTTTGTTTGTATCAGTCTCCCGACTGTTTTAACATGGAATTTTGACTCAATAAACCGAAATGAATGAAGGAAAAAAAATAATTAAGTAATGCCTTTTACTTTTTGTAGCGTGACATGGGCGCAGCCATTTTCTTGAAAATGTGACGTACCAGGCGGAGTTGTAGATGTATTATGCACCAAGCTTCACTGGAAAAAACTTTTTAATTAAATAACAAAACCTTTACTTTTCAATGAGAAAGTAAAAATTACATTTAGTGAAAAATATATAATTGGGTGACAATTGTAATTCATTTATTTAAAAATGCTAAAATCTATTTTATTCATACGAAACCTGCACCCCAGAACAGCACCAACTTATTTATGCAATTTGGATACTGGCAATTGGAGTACAAAGGATAATAGCAGGTAGATGACATGCCTTAACACCACAAACACCTGGGAAGGAAGCATCCATAAATTTGAATACATTTAGTTCATAAACGACCCCGCATAGTACGTCACGTTATCAAGAAGATGGCGATGCCAATGTCTTGCTGAGAAACTGTACTTTATTCTAACTGTACGCCTTTGGCATACACTAAGGTGGGGAATATCTCTCAGAACAACTAAAGTTATTATTTGGGGTTAGTTCCCCTTTAATATCGACAAACATGATCACAATCGAAAGACAGAAAGTAAAGGTTTTTAAATAAAACTGAATAAATAAATAAATAAGCAAACCTAGCGAATAAAATTCTATGCACTACATTTGCTGATGTGGTACTGTGTGGCAACATAATGAGGTATCTGACACCCATATTAGGGAATTTTAGATTTGCGTAGTGACGTCCATTCAAGGCAGTGCATTAAAAGGACGTCGATCGTAGTAATCCACTTTTTCGTTCGGCAAATCTAAAAAGTCCTTAAAGAAGTTAACGCACTACGAGAAGCGGGTTCGTTTATTCCTACATTGCATGTAATGCCCCCTTCACACGCGATGATGTTTCTTACAAGTCCTTATATGGATCGCACAAATTCACGGATCCTTACGATTTGGCCACTTTTACGACTGATTTAACAGTTGTTACGAGTTATTACAAGCTATTTACTGCAAAATTTCCCGATTTGTTACGAGTTTTCACGGATAACTACGAGCAACTTAAGCAGGGCTCCCACTTAGCCGAGTTACAGCCTCGAGTCGTGGCGAGCCCTGCTTTACGGGCATTTTAAGATCTTTTTTCGGTCGCGTGAAGCAGGCGCGGATCCAGGGGGGCAGGGGGCCAGGCCCCCCCCCCCTACACTGGCGGAAACGTGCTCCTTTAATCTATTAATTCCTTGAAATGCTAGATCGTCATAATGGTAGCCATGGCGACGCCGGGGTAATAACAGTGGAGCGCCATGAGCGTCAAAGCTGACAGACATAAGCGATATAAAAGAACCAACTTTTATCATCATGACTATTATTAAGCCAAGTAAAATTGATTAGTCCTTTCTTATCCTTTTTTTTTTCTTCATGAGAACTAGAGTGTTCTGTTTTGTATGATGCTTGATAGATATATGTACATAGAAATGTCATTATTTTAATATCAAAACAAATTCTGCAAATTTAATTTCATTTGCTCCAGGAAATGTTCTTCTCTGCTCCAAACAAATCTAAGAGGTCATACTAAAAAGCTTTACCAAAGGCGCACTCGCACAAAATTAGCTGGCCACTTTTTTTTCAAATCGAGTGGTCCAACCCTGGAACAGCTTACCTCCCTACATAGTAGGGACTTTTAGATTTGCACGACGAGAACGTGGACTGCGACGTCCATTTAAGGCACCGGCAGTGACGTCACATTGCCTTAAAAGGATGTCACACGAGCAGTCCACGTTCTCGTCGTGCAAATCTAAAAGTCCCTATTGTCTGCACCTACTGTGGCTAATTTTAAGAGAAAACTGAGAGCCCTTCCCATAGGACAACTTGGACAAGAGGGCTAATCAACCAAGTATACCAAGTAAGCAAGGTGAAACTACAATATGTCTATGGTTGCTGACCTGATTGCTTTTATTAAATGACTTTATTTTCAACAACAATTAAAAAAAAAAATCAAATATAAAAAAGAAAATGAGACTTGGCGAGAAAGTCAATTCAATTCAATTCAATTCAATTCAATTCATTAATTTTTCCTCTTTCAATCAGGGAAAAAAATACACGGGGGCTCAGGGCGAATTAGCCCCCGAAATGCCCAAAAGAGCCCCCGAAAGTCTTAAAAGAGCCCCCAAATTTTGCATAGAGTTCAATGCAAAACAAATTAAAGAGTGCTATTTTCATGTAAGCAAGCTTGAAAAGTAGCCCCCGAAATTGTTTAAGTAATTTTTTCCCTGCTTTCAATCGTTCATTTATACAATGATGGTACATTTTAACATATTCACATATTTATATACATATAGATCAATTTGCACAATACAATACATTAAAAAAATAAACATGAAATTGAAAGGGAAGGAGGGCCGACTAAAAAGCAGAGCTTGTAGGGTGTAAGCCCCCTGTAAAAGTAATGATTATGAACTATTATTTTATGAGAGAAAAACAACAATAACAATAACTGATTCAGTAATACAAAAAATCACTTTTAAACGCGAAACATTGATAAATACATACATGTTTATAAAAAGAAACAATCAAAGTTGCATAAAGTCACACTACAAATTATATTTGATTGGGGAATGCAATAGCCTAGTAACTATTCAGAGAATAAAGCATTTAAGTCTCCTTTTGAAAATTTGTATCGAATTACACTGTAAAATATCATTTGAAAGAGAATTCCACAGTTTTGGACCTGTAAAAACAAATGTCTTTTGTGCAAAAGATGTTGTATTTAATAGTAGATGAAAAGAGCTCGCCTTGCGAGTGAGGTAACTATGAATCGAATCATTTCTTACGAACATATCATTAAAAGGCAAAGGTAATTGTTTAGTGTTGAGCTTGTACATTAAAGATAAACTTGAGTTCTGGTAATGCGATTGCATTGTGAAAGAAAAGGTGTGGAATGGATCAGAAAAGTTGATCATATAGCATGTAAGTAATGGTGTGTAATGCAAGGTTCTGGAGTCATCAAAATCATCATAAATTTGGCAGAGTCTTGGTAAAGTAACAATCACTTACACAGAAAGATGTATATGGGACAACACAAATGGTGTCGGGGCTAGTACTACCCCGATTTCCTTATCTTTCTATGCTCATGACTCAGCCAGTATACATTTTCTTCCAAAATTGTTTGGCACATGACATTTATTTATGATCTTGAACATTCAGTGTAAGTTTCGTTAGATTCTGTGAGAATTCATTTTCTTTTTTTTTTACCAGAACTCAAGTTTATCTAATTAACTGTGGAGTGAGGAGGGAATACAAACTAGGGATTTACGATATATACCTTACCTTCAGTCTGCTAATCACCCCAGCTGGGTCGTAGTAAAATGACTGCCTTGATACGAGGGTGAAATTCCGGTAGTCTAACAATTCATGTAAATCCTCCATAATCTGAAGAAAAAACAGAAGAATATGACAGTTGGTAAGGAACACAAAAACACATTATACGGTTTTTATTCAAATAATTGTCTCCTTAAATAATATTTATGTAATACCCTAATAAGGGTATTATACAGTTTCCCTTTTAAATTAAAGGAACGTCTGAATTTGTAGAATACCCAACCTTTTAATTTCGATACTTTTTTTAAAAGGATTTATGACTTACTGATAAACATCTTAGGGTGTAACTGTTTCCTAATTTACATTTCACAGATGAGGATCTGTTTATGCTGATAACGAAAGCTTACGAATTTGCAGAGGAAATCGTGGAACATAAGAGACCAGATCTGTTAAACAATTATAATCTCCTCTTTACGGTAATGTTGGTGATGAAGATTATTAATTCTAACCCTCTGTTGTGCCCTTTTTGTCAGGTGGCAGCATTTTTCAAGCTTTTTTTAGTCACGAAGCTCATCTAAGAAATAAAAGGTCTCCTGCCACCCCTATCCTAAATTCATCCCAGAAGATTAATTTTGCAGTGATTTCTAATACTTGCTGTTCACGAATTCGACGTTATCCAAAAATATTTTTGATATACCTAAATTTCTCTTGCGGCATCCCCGTTGAAAAATGCTGCATGGTGTTCGCTCTCAAACTATATCTTGTTGATTTACTTCTTAAAGTTTACCCAATGTTTCAATCAAGTAGATTTATAATTCATTATAAATTTCCTTGTGAATTAATTATGATTATTAATGAATGTCTTTAGTTGTCTTAGTAGTGTGTGGAGATGTCAAGGTCGAGTGGATACGTCACCGGTCAGTGGATCTCATGGTTCGAGTCCCGTCCAGGCAGTAATGTCCTTTGGTAGGAGGTTAATCTACATTTGTCACTCTTCTCCCAGTACACGAGCTAGTGAAAGTAAATGGGCACCCGGCATATCGGAAGAAATTTCTGAACGCTTTAGAGCCTTATTATTGCGCCTCATATACACCCGAGCTTTACCTAGGTTATTATATATAGAGAAACCTGCTTTAGTGGCCACCTGTGTATAAAGGCCTCATTTTCTGTTTCCATTAATAACAGTTTCTTTCTCGTATGTACTGATGGAACCTGTACATAAAGACCGCCTGCCTATAAAGAACACTTTTCTTGTCACCCTTGAGTGGTCTTTAGAAACAGGTTTCACAGTAATACTTTGTACCAAGCACGGGAGAGTCTAGTAGCCGCTCTCTATATATTTAAAGGCATCGCTCAACTATGTTAAATCTGAGATGTATGGCCCTACCTGTTATCAATGTCTGTGATATGGTGTAATATTGGATTCCCATTTTTTTAAAAGAACGCTTCAAAATGATCAAGAAGTGCCTCAATCAAAGTAAACATCTTCGAGTGACCGGTTTTACCATACTCATTTTCCCCAATAGACTGTAGTATTATTTAAAAACCGTTAAGAAAACGAAAAATGAAATTTCGATTTCCAGTCATGAATATCTTGATAATCAGACAGGCGATCGGCTTGTTAAAGTCATGGGATTCCTGACTGACCTAAAGGTTTACAACTATGATTGCAACATGAGCTAAATTCAGAATTTTGTTTCAGAATCTGAGGCAATGTTACCGAATCACTTTAAAGACCGTCAATACTACTGGGCCAGAAGGATTAGACCACACAGCGAGGTCACTGATAGGTGGCTATCTCATTAAACTCAGCTCTCAACTAACATAAGAAAAAGAGGATCATGGGGGACCAACAGGTACCGATTGGGGAAGTTTTCTATATAGAGGGAGCAAGTAGCTACAAGTAGGACAGTGGGGCTTTAAATGAACATCTTACCCCGGCATGTGGTTCAGTAGCTTCAGTAATGGTGGAGATCTTTGACCAACCAAACCGTTCACAGATTTGAAGTTTGACCTTGTTGAGGTCAGATGAGCTTCCCATGGTCCGGATGAAGAACGGGTAGAGACGGTGATCTGAAAGCCCGATGGCAGAGTTGGCAAAACCCATCTAAAAAAATATATATATAAGATGAGTCAAAAGCTGATAATAAGCTTGGAGTGACGTCCGTATTTTTTCATTTTCTCCATTGTCCCCATTCTTTCTCCTCTTCCTCACTTTGTTATTCATCAAGCTCTTCTACCTTTTGTTCTTTTTGTAATGTCTTTCTTATTATTGTCATTTTTCCTCTTCTTCTTTTTAATCTTCTTCTCTGTGATCTACTTATACTTTCTCTTATTTTACTTTTTGTCTTTATTATAATTAACATAATTAATCTGAGTATCAGATCACGCATTACTTATATTTGGTTTGATTAATTACTATCAAGGTTGAAAATCCCATGTAAAAAATATTAAAGAGGAAAAAGTAAAGAGGAAAATAATTGTATGGGGATAATATGCATTCTACGACGCTTTCTTTCTTCTTCTTCTTCGTTGTCGTCGTCAATGTCGTTCATTTTCTATTCCTACTTCTCTCTATTATTCCTTCTCTTCCTCCTCGTCCCCCTCCTCTATGTTATATTTTTTCCTCCTTATATTCTTCTTTCTCTCTGTCATCTTTTTCTTCATCATTTCTTCTCCCTGTTCTTCCTGATCTTCCTTCTTTCCACCTCCTACTATTTTTACACTCGTTTTTCTACTTATTATGTTTGTTACCATTGATTATCCTCATACTCGAAATGATTCTCATCATCTCTCTCATTAGCTATTTGGTTCCACTAATTCGATAAGGACTGTTGCGACAAATGAAAGTATTTTGTGTAATTAATTAATTTTATGCAATAAATTACCAAAATTGACGACAAAATATTTTATAGACTTGATCGCTCAGCAATTTCAAAAATGTTATTTGAAGAAATGATTGTGTTACATCAGTCTAATATAAATAGGAATTAACTTACAAGTCATAATGATCTAAATTTTCAAATTGGTTTGACACCTATAGTATTTTCCATGTCCCAGGGGCTTAATTACATTGGCCACTTTGGCTAGAGTATGGCAATTAAAGTTTCATAACAAGATAGCAAGGGAAAATGGGAGAGAGACAGAGAGAGAGATAGAGAGAGAGAGAGGGGGGGGTGAGAGAGATAGACGGTGATAGACCTAGTAGAGAGAGGTTTTACGAGAAAGAGGGAAGGTTAGGGAGGGAGGATAAAGCTAAGAAGGAATAACTAGAGAAAAGGAAGAACATTCATGTTTTCCGCGTGATAAACACACGACATTGTTGGAAAATCTGAATCTGTGTATTTCTATACTCAACTAAGTAAAAAGCAGCACAGTACATTGTATACCAAAATTTGTCCATGTCTTCCTTGTCATCTTCACTGGCTTCGTGGGAATAATCGTACAGATGAACTTTACTCGCACACTTACACATGTCTCAAGCTTCAGGCCCTAACATACCTAGATGATCAACATTCATATACAATTATCGCTCAAGAGGCCACACAATGTGAGGGAAATTCCCTAACAAGAAACAAATAATGAAAGAATAATAACAGATTTGGGTGCGGTATTGGCAATAAAATTCTCTGAAAAGCAAGGAAACAAGGTAATTTGCCCATGATTCTTGCTTTATTTTGTTGTATTTTATTCTCCCATTTTAATTTTTTAACCGGGGGCTCGTGCCCCAGGGCCCCCTGGATACGCCACTGACAGCACCTGGGCCCCGTTTCACAAAGCCTTTTTTCAATGACAAATTACAAAAATCAGTGACAAATCTGCTGATAACCAATTTGTAGCAAGGATTTCAGTAGCTTATAACAAAAACTGTCATTTGTCACTGATAACAAGTTTTGTGAAACGCCCCCCAGAACACTAGGAACAATACTCACCTGAATGATGCCCCAAATACCAGTCACAGCCGCAAGAATCTTGGTAGTTTCAGCCTCAATGGTTCCTACGAACGCAATCATGGATGGTTTAGATAGGATCATCTCATAGAGTAGATTCAACGCACGTGCTGAAGATCCCTGTATCAATGGAGGAAATAGTATGGAGTTATAAACAGTACATGAGGGGTCGTAGTCCAGTGGTTTAATCCTTGTCTGGAAGTGCAAAGGTCCGTGGTTCGAGGCCTAGCACGGTACTTATGTCAATGAGGCCAACTACCCTCCAGGGCAACACCCTCTATGACGAATACCCCCGGGGAAACTACCCCCGGACAACTACCCCCAAGGACAACTACCCCTGGACAACTACCCCCATACAAATACCCCCTAGGACAACTACCCGCGGACAAATACCCCCTAGGATAGTTTTCCGGGGGTAGCTTCCGGGGGTACTGTTGTCCTAGGGGTAGTCGTCCTAGAGGGTGGTTTCCCTAAGGGGTAGTTTTCCTAGAGGGGTAATTGACTGGGGGTGGTTATCCGGGGTGGATGTCCAAGGGGGTATGTGTCCTAGAACCCTTAGGTGTTACATTGGTAACGCTCCTGTAAAAAAAAAAAAAAAAAACTAGTTAAAATGCTCCCCATGGAGAGGAGCATGTACTGAATAGCAATTGAATCCAATGACTGGGGTAATAATCATGCTGTAGACGCTTTAGTAAGTTAATTGATAAAAACATAGTGCATACTGAAAACTATTACCTTAGTGTATTATGATCCAAACCTACACATTAGATAATATGATCAAATTATAAGATTATATCAAAACAGCGAACTTACTTCAAGAACATCGCAAATGAACCACTGATGCCCTAATCCCTCCTTGGTGGATTAAACATTTAATCTTCATTTTGATTTTATTTTATTTTTGCATTTTTTCCAATTACAATAAATGTATAACAATTATTATCAACTGAACACATAAGAATTCAACATCATCATCAGGTACACTAAAAACACAATATGTCAAAGTAATACAGTGACATCATTTATCCAGATGTTAACATCCCATTTTCTTGTTTGCTCCTTCCTTTCCGGGAGTACTACTAATGAACGTGCAAAAAATATCAGTAGAAAGTTTTCCTACAGTAACTGGCAACGGAATAACCTAAAACTAGCGGTGGATATACATTACACACATACACACACACGCGCGCGCACATCCGCACACAAACAGATTTTCTTTATAAAATTAACGCCTGATTTTTCAAACGTACCTGACAAACGAAACTGCATGAATTAGAAAAGTAAAGTTCTCTTTTAACTCACTTAAAAATAATGAACGTATGATTAACTCTCTCTCTCTCTCTCTCTTTCTCTCTCTCTTGTATGCTTTTTCCAACATAGTAGATACGATTGACTGAGAAAAAAGATAACCATTAGAAAAAGATTTCATTTATGAAACTGTGACGATTCTAGGAGAATCAGGGTTCGAACTGTAAACAAGACAGCCAGCTTCTATACAAATATTAGTCGTATTTTACTCTGCAAATAACCTTAGAGAAATTTAGGAAAAATGCGTCGGGTATTTTGTTTTCAACCCATTTCTCCTTACTTGGGCAACCCCCCACAGCAGACACACACTCTTTAATAACAAACTATGGGGGGGGGGGGGAAGAGAGAGAGGAAAGAGAGAAATCATCTAAAAATGGTAATTTCAAATGTCTATCGCACATACCGCAGAAATTATGTTCGCACAACATAATGCATCATTATAATTTTCGAACATTTTCATTGGGTGCGTGATGGACGCTCGAAATAGGGACTTTTAGATTTACACGACGAGAGCGTGGACTGCCGCGTGTGACGTCACATTACCTTACAAGGATGTCACATGTTGCGGTCCACGTTCTCGTCGTGTAAATCTAAAAGTCCCTAATATCTTAGGCTGATTTTCCGGCAATCTTACGATCGTCTTCGACTTACCTGAGTATCTCTGACAACAAGATGTATCTCGTGATCGGGTAGGATGTCACTCCTGTTGTTAAGATCAGCTACTGCTATGTGCATAGCAGCCATGCTCTGGTTGGCAAACTCCTCTGCCCAGTCGCCGTTGCTACTCAGCGGCAATAGAACACCAATATAAAGGGGGATCAACCCGGTTACATTAGATACACTGCCGTCACTTTCTTCCACTTCAAAGTGGCCCGATACCCCAGAGATCATCAGCACCACGCCTATAGTTACGGCACACACCATCAGACATCCTCCGTTAAAGACTCCTTCACGTCGCCAAATCATCGCAAAGAGTAATGAGTTCAGTTATAAGGTAAGTAGGCTAACCCTTCGTGAAATCTTAGTTTTTGTAGGTGGTCGCTGAGACAGAATTAATAAAATCAGTTCCTACACCACTGCACCATCGGCCATGTCTTGAATCGTCAATTCATTTGGATTATATAAAGAAAGAAGGCTTATGCAAAGACAAGCTCGACCGACTTTGCTGACTGCAGGTACGTGATGAAATACGCATGCAAACGAGTCTAAACATCCACGGAAAGGATGTTACCAACGCTCGTCTCCTGATCGTCACAATCAGACAAGAGTTGCAATATTATCCCGAGATGAATTCTGATCATTATGTAATAAGAAGACGGAGAACTCTGATTTACGGTAGAACGGCTAACCCTAAACAATAGCTTCGCACCAATGGGATTGGAGGATGTGCTCATGCGCGGTACAGACTGAGGGCAACGAACGTATCTCATCGTTTTCTCATCATCGTCTTGACAGAACAACAATCCCTTGTGAAACCCTTCCTCACATTCTCTCACTCACTCTCTCTCTCTCTCTCTCTCTCTCTCTCTTTCTCTCCCTCTCTCTCTCTCTCACACACACACTGACTCACTCTTTCTCACTCTTTCTGTCTGTCTCTCTCTCTCTCACTTTCTCTCTCTCTCTCTCTCTCTCTCTCTCTCTCTTTCTGTCCCTCTCTCTCTTTCTCATTCTCTCACTCACTCTCTCTCTCTCTCGCTCGCTCTCCTCTCTACCTTCCCTTTGTTCCTTTTGTGCTCGCCCACTTTTCTATCCGTCCTTTTCACCATCTCTGATTCTAATAATTAATTAGGTGATTTGCAGCAGATGTGCTTTTGTCATGTTTATTCTTTATTAATTTATCCTGCCCTGTTTATCTTGTACAAACATAATTCATTCGTAATGTTCTTCCCCTAAGCGCTTTCTCCCTTGGAGCACTATTCAAATTATATCATGGATAGCATATTATTACCGGTCAAAAAAGAGAAAAGGCCCTCCTGAAAAAACGAACGTATCTCATTATTTTCATCATCGTCAAAAAAGAACGTCATTAGGCTTCTGTATTACTCCTTCCTCATATTCTCTCACTCTCTCTCTCTCTCTCTTTCTCTATCCATTTCCTTTCTTCTATTTTTTCTCGACCGCTTTTCTATCCCTCTCTTTCACCATCTCTGGTCATTAATTAGATGAGTTGCAGCGGATGTGCAGATCACCTCTTGAATTTCACTCAGACTTTCATCAGTCTACTCTACTCCTCTGATTGTTCTGCTTTCCTCTTGTCTAGCACTATGAACATGACGGACAAAGAAAGAGGACAAAATATACAGTTCCTCATTCTACCCTCAATAATTGCTGTGGTAGACAAAGGGATATCCCTTCACTGTTATTATGTAAAAATGTGTAGAACATGTGAATATGCATGTGACACCTGTTCTACACATTTTTACATAATAGCAGTGAAGGGATGTTCCTGTGTCTACCACAGCAATTGTTGAGGGTAATATGAGGGACTGTATATTTTGTCCTCATTCTTTGTCCGTCATGTTCATAGTGAGGGCAGCGGCTTGATTCCAGTCCTTCTCTATCACGTCCCTGTATCAAGGTTGGGTTTCCTTTGAACGTGTACAGGGCTAGGGTGCGACTCTCCTACACATGGGACCTCTAGTTAACGTTCTCTCCGAGGAACAGAGTTCTTTCATTGTGGTCTGCTCAGCGTAAGATTTGTGTCACACTACCTCCTTAAACGAGTCAACGTTTATAGAGGGAAAAATGACAGCGTGTTTTTCATTTTAAAAATCTTCTTACTAATAACATATTATTCTGGAAGTTTATTATATGAAATGAAAAGCTTCCGAACAGACTTTTTGCTCATCATTTTAGTCACTTCAGGAGTGTGTAAATATTTCATATTAAGCCTCGGTCACAATTGCCATTACGAACTGCTACAAACGCCGTACGAACGATTTTCAGACAATGAAAATTCGGGAAGACAATGGAAAACAGCGTGATTCGTACGAAATAATCGTTTGTACGAACCTTTGTGACCGTAGCTTAACATACATCTCTTATCTCTAACGACAAACAACCTTCAAATACCAAATCTAACACAAGACTCTGGGAAACTCAGACATCTTTTTGTACTGTCATACAGACGTTCTTTAATATAAATCAGTATACATGTATTATCATATCAGACTGACATCCAACAATATAATGAAAGCGTTTCATAAACATTATCATAACTACATAATATATACATAGTTGTTATACTTAACTCGTCTAAAGAAATGTCCATTAGATTTGTTTTCTATGATAATATTTCACTTTTATATGGCGCTAATACATCGACGACGTCTCTAAATGCTTTACAACTAAAGTATTACCCCGGTTATCAGACTCTGGCTTGCTTGCCTGCACACAAAGTATTCACATTCTCCACTCCCTGGGGAGCATTCCAGCCAGGCGCTATTTTATAGACGCTCACAATGCTGATCAAACTACATTAACGTTTGCATCCTATCGGGTTTCCCATTTAACACCGCATGGTGGAGGGTGGCAAATGTAGATTACCGTCTTGCTAAAGGACGTTACAGCCGGGGTAGGATTTGAACCCCGTACCTTTTGCTCTGCAGTCGGGTGACTTATCCACTAAACCACATCTCTTCAATATGCTATGATATTCTGCAACGACCCAACGTTCAACCAGACATCAAGTTGTTTTCAATGAAAGCAAGAAAAATCAGAAAGATTGAAGAAAGTTTGAGAAAATCTTGGAGGATAAGAAATGTATTAATTTGGAAGATGAAATCAATTGAACATAAATGGGAAAGTTTCTTCTTTATTTCTCTTGCATGAAACTCTCCGTTCGTTTTGTCATTGGGAAAGTGTCAAAACAATCCCTTCTATTTTCACGAATGGTAAATATTTCAAAGACGTGTGCGCCAAAACATGTGACTAGTAGTACAGTGGAAATCATTATAACTAGGTCATTGGGACCATGAGAATTACCTTGATATGTCAGGGTAAAAAAAAAAATTTGAACAGCTGGGACCAGCAAAATTACGTTCTTATAACGATACTTTGTTGTAACTATAGATTTTGTGTTTTTTTTATATCAGAGCTTGTTATAATGAGGTTAAACTGTATAACTAGGTGACAGACGTGAGAGAAAAATTAAAGTGCGAAAAAATATTACGAAAAATATTTTTGTGACAAAACTTGAAATCTATGTCATTTCTGGTACGAGAGGAAAGGAAATTTGCCAATTGGATTTTGACCAAGCAACTGAAACTTTCCTGTCCGTTGGATTGTTTCGTACATTTGTTGACCTCGTTTTTCACATTTTCCTGCTTTCATAAAAGTACACTTGTTGTAATGTTGACTTCCCTGTTGCGCAACCAATGGACATTTTATATCCACATGTCATATATTACTATGCATCTACATGCTTTTCCAATGCCTTTACATGCATTTTCAATGCCTTTACATGCATTTTCAATGCCTTTCAAAATAGAAAGTAATAATCAATGTCACAAAATATGAAAATGATAATAAATGTCAAATAACTATATCACATTATTCAATATACATGCATTTAACTTTGTCTACTATGCCATGACAAGAAAATTGGTTCTTTCTTAACAATTGGTTTCAAATTACTTGTTTTGGTTAACTTCCTCTTGTTGTGCTGCAAGCTTCTTCAGCCCTATGTCGTCGGTGGTGCTGTTGTTGCTGATGCAGTACGATAGGGTATAGTGGGGTAGGGTGGAGTGGGATAGTGCATTGAAGAAGAAAGAGTATATATTGTCCCAAGTCTATGTTCATGAAGTTATCACGTTCAGTGCTTATTATATGTAAACATAAGGCAGATCTAACTTTCATAACAGGCTACAGCATACCCGGCCCCTCTACTCCGGGGTCGGAGGGACCGCATGCGTGTTCCCAAAATGTCCGGTAAAGGGGTTCTTTTCACGCACCAAAGTCCGGCTCGTAGTACACAAAAATCCGGCCCGTATTGACATTACACAACGGACTGAGGGGGGGGGGGGGTGTTTTCAAAAGGAGGGAACATGCATACGTGTACCCTAAATAAAACTAAGTGGGGGGGGGGGACAGCATAGGTCTGAAGAGGCTTGCAGCACAGCAAGTGAAAGCTTACCAAAACAGGTCATTTTTCCACTAATTGTGCAAGAAGACAGAACCAATTTTCAAGTTACATCACCAAGATCAGATAAACCTCTTTGGTGATATTATGTTATGACAAGTTTATGCACACATACTGTACAAATGCATTCAATAAACAGTAAATATCTTATCCCGTCCGTTACACATGCAGTGTAAAGTTCCTCTATATCGTAATTACAATTATAATCATATCCATATGGTTTTAATGCATGTACTTTTCATATTTTCAGAGCAAATAGACCATGCATTCTCCAGTAAAGTGTTCAATTCAAGTAGCACAAATGACACAAAAATATTGACCACAACAAAATCATAAAAATAATTTAGATTCCCAAACTTCGATACTAACTGGTCATGATTTGGCGACATGCTTTCAAAGCGCCAAGGTGAGAATGTGAAAGCATAATATTGCTTGATAGTACACTTTATTATTGGAAAATGATGCAATTAATTTAATGGAGAATAAGAGAAGCCTTTGATTTATTTACACAATTATTTAACCCATTGCCTACTTGAACCGCGTGGTTTCTATATAAAAGCCTATGGAAATTTTGTATTTTTGTATTTATTAACATTTATTTCCTCCTCAATAGTACAATATGAAACACTTTGGCCCGAATTCACAAAGGAGGTTTAGATTTAACCCATGGTTTAAAGCTTCATTTACATAACCCATGGTTTAAAATAAGCGTGACAGAGGTCAGAGGTCAGAGGTCAGAGGTCCAATATTAGACGCGCACAAGGCAAGGTTCACTAATTTTGCGCTAATTTTTAAGCCATGGGTTATGTAAATAAGGGTTTAAACCATGGGTTAAATCTTAACATCCTTTGTGAATTTGAGCCAATGTATATATAAATGATATATGTAACAATGATTTCAACATAGAGTATACAGTAAATAATTCATATACGAAAGGGGCGAAAACCCCAAAAGCATATAGCTTGAGTTAGGAACGCCCATAATAAGTTAACACAGTTACTGAGAGAACAATATAGATATTATTATGAAAATTACATATTGTATAACAGAACGTTGATATAGGAAAGAAACAATAGTAAATGGAAGAAGAAAAAAGATGAGTGCATTAAGCAGTCAGTAGGTTACCTGTGGGAAACACATCAATAAAAACAATGCTTAGCTGGTGACATAGGGGCACAAACAAGGTATGTCCATCTTTTTTTGCCTTGGTGAAAGAAAATTTCTACATTTTGCACAGCCTCTGACCACATACATTTCAAACAAACGACTCCTAAGTTAACTTAATAAGACCTTTTCTTTTTTTGAACACTTTAGCGGAAGATGTGCCACATACGTGAAATATTCAGGCAACAGAGCATTTATATAAGGCAGTATAGTTCTAAGTTTCATAAAAAGTCTACTACAGTCAAACCTGTCTATAGCGACCACCCAAGGGAAACACAAAAAGTGGCCTTTGTAGGCAGGTAGTCTTTGTAGACAGGTTCCTTTAGTACATGATTCAATGAGAAAACATTTTCAAGGGCCCATGTGGCCTTTGTAGACAGGTGGTCTTTGTAGACAGGTGGTCACTAAAGCAGGTTTGACTGTATCTACATACATGTACATAGACATCTAGGGTATGCATTTACTTGTTAAGTACATAACAAAATAGTCCATTCACATCTTCAAGCGATAAAGGGTTTCAAAAGAATTCTCCATTTGTCATTGTCATCCGTGCTACATGCATTACAATGCTCAACATGAGTCATATTCAATCTCTTCTGTTGTTTTTAAAGACCATATGCATTTTTGGCAGCAATAAGATAATTGACATGAAACATGTTGAATATTGTCTCAAATTGTTTTCCCGGTATCAAAAGCTACGTGTGCAAGATCATTCAATATTCCATCCATGATTTCCAGTGAAGTTTAGTGTATATATCTGAAAGGAAAACTAGATTATGGCAGTATTACTCAATTTTTTTTCTCTGTATAAAACGATACACATGCGTCTTTGTGCGAGATCATTCAGTACTCCGTCCATAATTTCTGCCCAGCCCAGCCCCCCCCCCCCCCTCTCTTCGGAGTCGGATGGACTGCATGCGTGTTCCCCAAATCTCTGGTAAAGGGGTACTTTTTCGCACAACGAAGTTTGGCCCGCAATTGACGCTCACACCAGATATACATGTAGGGGGGTGTTTTAAGAAAGAGGAAACATGTATACACGTACCCTAAATAACACTGAGTGGGGGACGGGGATTTTTGTGGGTTTTTTGTATAAATATCTAATATATCTAAATATCCCTCTGATTAAAATATTTAAGGGAAACAAACCATTTAGCCTTTATAGACATCTGGTATTTCCATACAGGTGGTCATTCAAACAGGTTTGACTGTATTTGCATTTCATCATCTTAAACCAAAGAAACCAAATGAAATGTTTTTTGGAGGGCTTACTAAATCTATACATGTCCTTTAAAGGCAGGCTTTACTACTTCAGCCAGAAGGGATTAGACCACACAGCGAGCCAGTGAGGTCACTGTGACAGGTGGCTATCTCATTAACTCAGCTCTCATTTAACATAAGAAAAAGAGGATCATGGGGGACCAACAGGCACCGATTTGGAAAGTTTTCTAAAAGGAGGGAGCAAGTAGCTACAAGTAGGACAGTGGGGCTTTAAGTTGGAGCTTGTCACTTGAATGAAGAGGAAACAAAGCTGAGCTATTGTACATTTACATGTATGATTCAATGAACAGCAACATGATGTATGCGATTTGACAAAGCTAGAGCAAATTACATTTTCATCCAGATCAATTATATCTTGTTTCATTTCCTTTTACAATAATCATGTACAAAGCATAAAAAAGGAACATGTATATCTGAAACTTGATTAATTGAAATGCCTTGAGCATGTGATTTCAAGGGTATTTGGCACCTTACTTATTATACTGTTATTATTATGATTATTATTATTATGATATTATTATTATGATTATTACTTTTGTAATTATTATGGTTACCGGTACCATTATTATGATAATTATAATCATTATCATTGTTATTATTGTTATCAGTAATACTATTATCATCATTATTACTATCATTATTATGTTTCGTTGGAATATGCATTTTCATTTTTGTTTTCTTCCTCAATATTTCAGTTTTGGTTGCAGTGAATTTCATGGCAGTTGACAAACAAAAAATTGATCATGTTTGTGTTGCCCACTAATCTAAAGGATTCATAGAGAAGCGGTAAAATAGACCCATATTAAACAGCAAATAGGAATAAAATTTGTTTGTAGTACATATTAATATTCTGTTGTAAGATGTTCCGCAAATCCACAGGCTTTATAGACAAACATGGTAAAGATCAACAGATAGGTAAATTATTGATTATCTGATATCTATATACATATAAACTATTTTGCTGTAAGCTGTCTAACTAATCTAAAGGCTTATAAAATAATTTGTTGTTAAAGCACATAAAAACAGCACAGAGAAGTAAACTGTGCTTGTATTTGAATCCACTTAAATACCAATTTAATTAGTAGTAAGATGACCATTTAAACCATTTTATACCATTGTATATACATCTCATGGTATACCATAATAGAATCATATACCGCATACACATGAGTGCCAAACTATGTGGATAAACTTTCCTATATACACCGACAAGTACATGAAAATATTACAAAATATATAACTTAATTTATTACAATCCCTTTTGCAATCCAAATTAAGCACACTTGTGGATGCAAGGGTGTGTATAACTGATAATTCTCAGAATGATTATTATATCACAAGCAACAAATTAAACAATTAAAACTGCCTTCCTGGAGAAATGGAAAAGAGCACAGAGTAGGGATAACTAACAAAAGATAAATTTGCATTTATAGATAGAAGAAAACAATTCACGAAACGGGGGAGAGATTTGAATGAATCTGCATTTCTAGATTTAATCCATGGGCTTTGGCTTACCAAAGTCAATGATAAGCATTTCACATTGTTAATATAATAGGGGAAAATATGATTATACTAATTTAGAAACTGCTTCAGGAAAAGAATCACTTTTTTTAAATACATGAAAAAAGGCCTATATTTAATCCCAAAAGGGGCATTTTTATTTTGGTACTTTCCCAAAGAGAGTGGGAGTGTCTTTCTTCTGGATTTTGATTTACGCATAATGAGAATGAAGAAAGTCACAACTGTCAGTTCAAAACAAAAGCTCCTTTAATAGATTTCGTAGAAGATCCGTAAATGCTTTAATTAAAATAGAAGAAAAAACAATGACATGAGAGGTTCATAATTGCCAACATTTCACACACACAAAAAAGAATCTCTCGTACCAAAATTAGGAAAACAGTTTATTAGTTATCCTTTTATAAAGAGTTTGTAGAAGAGATATTAGTTTTAAGGCCAAAAAGTATGAATCGTTTTTTCCAATATAGGAGTGGTTGACAGGTATGAAAGTACAGTTTAACAGACAGGGAAAGGCAAGGCTTTTATACACATGAACATTACTAGAGACAACTTCTGTTAAACCTGAACACCCCCATGAGACTCAGGTGAGATCTCCCAAATGATACCATTTAGTGGTTTCTTTGGTCAGGTCCATTTTGTTGAGAGGGATGTTTGTGGCACCCAGGAAGGCGTTCTCTTTGAGTAGATCAGAGTTCCATACAGTGAGATGTAGAGTTCTTCTCTCTATCTCCTTATCTGAGTACTTGTACACCAGCTGTATAAATAAAAATAGTGTAGATATAATGACTGCTGTGAGAGGAATAGTTGTTTTATAGGCTCAAGGGGATGTTACATCCTGATATCACCCTGAGGCGTGCCGAGGGATGATATCAGGATGCACCGGTGAATAAAGAAATCTTTCTTGTGTTTGCATTACTTCTAGCATTTCCATGTTAAGGATATTTTGTTCATATTCATTAAATAATTTCTTTTGCTTTTTTTTGAGTACTTTTACACCAGCTGTTTAACAAGAAATTAATAAAAATATTTACCTGTGAATAAATAAATCCTTCTTGTGTTTGTACTACTTTTTAGCATTTCCATCTTAAGGATATTTATGTAATATTCATTAAATAATATTTTATGTTTCTTTTGTTTTGCATTTTGGATTAATTTTCAGCAATTGAAGACAAGGGGACATTTCTTAAATACTTCAAAGCTTATTATAATAGAAACATTGAATATTAAAATGGGACACACCATCATTTGGAATATATTCCTTCTCATATATTTTTTTCTCTTCTTTTTTTTTGTTGGTGGGTGGGGGGGGGGGGGGGGCCTTTCATTGAATCCAAAGAATTTTCGCCCTAAATGTTGAAAACAAGTTAAAGGGATAGTTGAGTTCTGTTTTCAGACCGCAAATGCCTTCAAAGTGCATGGTTATTGCTCTCATTGTTATTGATGACATTTCTAGTGCCCGTTTAGAACCTAAAATTGCTATGAAGATAATTTTTGACCCCAAAATGTGTGAAATTTAACCAATACGATCATACCAATTCAGCTCCACTTTCAAAAAAATACGGTGACCGTTAATTATTTAATTAAAAATAACATAACATGGGCCGGCTGGTTGTGCGTATTATAACCAACAACAAAAAAACAATAAAAATCAAACATCGGCATTGGCTGAAACACGACGTAAAAGGTGCTATTTTTTTTTTCAACGTTTTTTTTAAATTATCTAATATTTGTGGTGGAACATATTAGTATAAGTATTAGAAATCGTTATATTAATGGATATTACAGCCGTTTCTGAACCAATTTTGTTCTAACAAAGATGATTTGGTCATTTAAATTTAAATTTGACACTCAGTTTTTCATTATCTCACAAAAAATTGTTTTGAGTAGCGCCCTCTGCAACAGAACTCAACTATCCCTGTAACGATACCTGTCTATCAAAATACACAGGAAATGCTTAAGAGCTTAAAAATGTAACAAAGTTATAATTGAATCTTTGGGGACTAGAATGCAAAAAAATAATAATAAGCACAGAAAATATAACGGGGTTATAATTAAACCTCAGGGACTAAAAAGCACAAGATCTTCATTAGCACAAAAAAATATGACAAAGTTATAATTGAATCTTTGGGGACTAGAATGCAACAAAATTAATCAGCACAAACAAATAAAATGACGATATAATTGAATCTATGGGGACTAATATGCAATATTTTTTTCTCCATATTTGTTGGTGCTTTTGAGAAAAAAATGTGAATACATGTGTGATGAGCCATAGGGGACTGCAAATACATACGTGTTATTCCAAATGTTTTTTGTTTTTTTTACCTTTTAAGTTAAAGGGGAAGTCTACCCTGGTTTTAAGTTGTTTTAATAAAAGCAGGAAAACTGAGAGAAAAAGGACAGTGAAAGTTTGAGCAAAGACCAATTCAAAATATGACAGTTTTTATTTTTTTGAAGCTGCAATCTTTTTAACACACATTGGCACCTCTGTAACATATCTTGCGAGCTCCTCTCCCTGTATTAAAGAACTTTACAAATTTATATTTTCCCTTAAGAAAATTTCAATCATACATTCACCCTAAATATAATTATGGCAAATATGCGTTGATACAATCCCTGTATGAAACTTATGTATTCCATCATCAATAACTAAGAAAATGAAATTTTATGAAATTTTCAGTACAGAGCAAATTGGAGAGCTCGCAGGATACGTCAGTGTTAAACCAATTTGTGTTTCACGGATGACAACTTCAAACATTCATAATTTTCCTAATTCTAATCAGATATTGCCCAAACTTTCACTCATCTGTTTCTCTCATTTTTCTGCTTTTCTTAAAACTAAGTTAATACCGAGTTAATATCAGGGTAGACTTCCCCTTTAAGTCACAAGTGTAGATGCATTTTAAGTCAACTGCATAACCTGATTACGTGACTTGTATAACTCGACTTTAAAAGATTTTTGGTCTACTAGCCAGAAAAAAATGACAATTTGGGTACCAGTCAAAGAGCAGACATGTTTATACTGGTCAGGGAAAAAAAATACTTTACACATTTTGGGGGCTACTTCTCAAGCTTGCTTGCATGAAAATAACACTCTTTAATTTGTTTTGCATTGAACTCTATGCAAATTTCTGGGGGCTCTTTAATGAATTTCGGGGCCCAAGCCCACGGGTATTTTTTCCACTGTTACTGTTACAATTCTGTTACAATTCACAGCCAACTGGGCCCAGTTAGTTCCATAACAATTATCAATAACAAGATAAGATAACTGTTATAAACTACTGTAATCCTTACATTTGATTGGCTACATCTGTGGCAGATGTTACCGATAACAAGTTTATAAAACAGGCCTCTGATCTTATTTTTAGACTGGATGTCCCCAAACATCCTTAAAAAATGATGTGATTATTTCACATGCCTAATCATAACCTTAATTAGACAAAATAAACATTTCTCAAATTTCAAAGCTTATCTAAAACCATATAGCTTTCATCATCAGCGTTTAAAGTTCATTTGTCCCACATTGTGGGGTTGGACATTTCACTTCCTTAATGGCTGCTTTCCAAGCTTTCCTGTCTGTGGGATCCATATGACTGATACCCGACTTGCATATTGCAAGTATGTTATGTCAAGATTTGATTTGATATTTAATATTGTGTGAATGGTTAATGACCACTGTTGTCGGAGCAAGAAACCAATGTCAATTGCACCAAAAAAATATTCCATGTCTTGGTTCAATTCATTTGAAACATGTCACAGTAATAAACTATTACAATTTTTGACCGCCATGACAACGATGAGAGCATCAATTATGCACGCAAAAGTTTCTGGTTTTCAGAGTAATTGTATTGCAATTTCTTTCACATGCTGGCAATATTACAGTCATATTAAGTGTGTGGTAGTACTCAAGCAGACTTTTATATGGAGCAGGAAAAACAATTCCAGCTCAAACCTACCATTTCATTGTACGTTGGGTTGCGTGTCTTGCGGACGACCCTCGTCTTTCTCTTGGTTGACTTCTGCGGGTCGGGGGTCAAATACGTCTTGACATACGGGTCAGGGTCGCCTCCATCCGTCGAACCCTAAGCATTGATTGAAGAAGAAATTTAAAAGATTTCTGGATGCAAACAAATATCATACATAACTACAGAAAACACATACCTGCCAACATTCATAAGCAAGAAATCAGTGAAAAAAAATACATGGGGGCTTAGGGTAAATTTGCCCCCAAAATTCCCAAAAGAGCCCCCGAAAATCAGGGAAATAAACCCCATAAATTTCAATAATTTCCCATAGAGTTCAATGCAAAACAAATTTCAGAGTGTTATTTTTATGCAGGCAAGCTAGAAAAGTAGCCCTCGAAAAATAAATATTGATTTTTTCCCTGCAAGAAATCTGTATCCAAGGCCTTACCATGGCCATGTATTCAGCAGCAGTGTAAATACGCAAATTCTCAAATCGCGGCACATGGTAAAACAAGCCAAATTTGGCTATTTAAAAAAAATATATTATTTGGTCATTCAGAATTTTGAAAAATCAGAATATTCCAAATTTGTAGGTCCTCACAATTCAGAAAATCAGAATATTCTGATTAAATCGGAACAGTCAGCAGGTATGAAGACAGCCTTGATATACATGTTCAATACATTAAATAAAAAATTTACATGCACATGGGTATAACATATACTTCAGTGTCAGATTTTCCATGCAATCTGAATCAGTAGGAAGCTATTAAACTTTATAGGTAAAGACCAGTTTTGGAAACGCCCCTCTCTCAAAAAATGAAATGGAAGTTCTTATTACCAATCATGTGAAAGAATATGTGTTGACTAATACGTGATCATACAAATTTTGCCGAGAAACCGCCTACTAAGTGATATATTTTGTAAATTATCATATCTATTTGGACCTGATAAATATAACACACGTGTCGCGCACATGTGTGGGGTAGTCCCATATACATTTTTCGGTGTACAGTGCTTGATCGATTCCACAACGTTCCTTTCACAATGCAATCGCACGACCATAACTGGTCTTCATCTTTAATATCAGCCCATTGGATAGGATTAGATTATTGGACAAACTTTTTTTTGATAGACCCCAACTATTTTAGCATTCCACATGTGAGGATTTTCAGGAGTAGAAAAATGATCTGGAGGGTGTTTCACAAACCCTTTTTCCAATGACAAATAACAAATATCAGTAACAAATCTGCTGATAACCAATCAGAAGCAAGGATTTCAGTAGCTTATAACAATCACAGTCATTTGTCACTGATGACAAGTTTTGTGAAACACCCCCATGGTGTTCTTACCAAGTCTTTGGCATGTATGACCATAATGAAGAGCGCCCCCTGTCTGTGCTGGATGGTTAGTTTGACCTGACCTCCGACCTGACCTCCTTTGGTATGAACAACACTCTCTTCTTCCTCTTCAATGGCACTGGCTGTAATTCACATAGAAAAGAAATCAAATTTCACGATAGAGCTTGATTTCAATGATCAAGTTTATTCTATCACGATAGCTCTATCGGTAAAGGTCACGCCACTTTTCCTAAAACTTTTAATAACTGAGATTGCTGGAAAATTGACATAGTGGAAGTAACAACAAATTTATGATATAATCCATTTGCTGCTTGTAAGTATCGGCTTGCATGGTAATGTAGATACATAGTAGGCTTGCGGGTGCACCATGTGAGAGAGAGAGAGAGGATTGAGACTACACCAACAGTCCTTTTCAGGACTACACACCCTCAAGAAAGATTACTGAGAGTCTTTTTCAGGACTCCTCAATCCTCCCTCTCTCTCTCACATGGTGCACACGCAAGCCTACTGTATAAAATATATTTGTTTTGCATAATATCTTTCTTTTTTTTTATTCACAGGAACAATGTTGTAGACTTCCAACTGTAGAAAGTGCTTTGACCTCTCACCTTTGACCTTGTTACAGGTTGCCTGACCTGCATCCTTTTCGTCTCTCAGGGATGGATGGAAGAATGTGTAGACTAGGTCACACTGCATGAGGGATAGGAAGAAGGGAAGACGTTAGAAGTCAAGGTACCATGCACAATGAGGAATGCATGGTACTTAAAGGGAGTGTATCATGGGAAATACTGGTTAACGCCACCTACGTCTTCTTTTGAACAACTACACCTAAACAAATGGACTTGATTAACTGGGTCAGCTGCGCTAAACTGGGTCGGCGCGCGCCAGCTAGTGCTGTAAGTCAGACGCCATGTTCGTGCTCGGTTTCGTGTATGTTGCACGCACGTGAATGCTGCGGTTGCGTCGTCCGTAATCGTATTATACCCGATTGGCCCCGAGTAGGGCCACGGGAAAGACACATAGTCTCGTCATGACACACTCCCTTTAATTAATCTCTCTTCACATGCCAGACAAGTACTCTCTGTGTGTAACAATATATCAATTGCCCATTTGTGTTTCATTGATGACAACTTCACAAATTCACAGCTGTCCTATTTTCAATGGGATATTGCTCAAACTTTCGCGAATTTGTTTCTCTCATTTGTCTGCTTTTATTAAAACCAACTTTATATCAGGGTGGACTTCCCCTTTACATTATGGTATCACGTGAAGCAATCTTTCGAGATTATCATCTTGTAATATTTTACAATTGAGGAAATCGGTAACCTGATCAAGCAAACTGTAAACAGAATTTATGAAATAAAACACTAGTGCCAATCACATTGACATACACGATAGCATTAAGGTGACCTATTTGTTCAAACAATTACAAAAACAGTAGTAAGTGTAGACAAATAAGAAAAAGAAGGGGAAGTGGAAGGAAGTGAAAGGAAGAATAGATGTCAATATAACTGCTCTCACAACGCTCTCACAACTTAATTGAATCTACTAAAGTAAACTTCAATATACAACTGGAAATTAAAGCTTGAATCTATAGTTTCAGGGGAAAAAACATAATGAAAAGGAATTCCATTAATTCCATAAAGGTTTGAGGGACTAGAAATTCATACCTACCAACATTTGAAAATAAGAATTAGGAATTTTTAGCACGGTATGCCTTCAAAAATAAGAAATCGCACTTGCAGCGGCAGTGTAACTGGGAATACCAGGTAAATCTGTACCAAAAAGCGAATACGAATTCGCTGCTCGATCATGCAGCCATTCAACGCACACAAAATGTGAAGTCTCAAATCGCGGCACATGATAAAACAAGCTTAATTTGGCTTTAGTACAAAAAAACAACAACAACAACAAAAATCGAAATTTTGAAAAAACAGAATATTTTAGATTTTCAGGTCCTAGAAATCCAGAAAAACAGAATATTCTGGATTATTCGTAAGGGTTGGCAGGTATGGAAATTATAAATAAAGACCTACCTGGGACACTTCTGGAGGCATAGAAAACAGCCATCTGAGGTACCTCTCCAGCTCTTTCTTCCTGCGTTCGGCCACCTGCTTGACATGGGTACGACCAACCCTTCGATGGGACAGCAGAGGGGGCAGGCCGAACGTGGGGTAGAGAAGTCCGAGCTTATCGCGAAGCTCTCCAAACTCGCTGTATCGACGGAAGATGAACAAAGGAACCGTGGAACCCGTCCGAAGGAGCCTTACAATGTAGACCTACATTGGAGCAGATTTGATACAAATTAATCATTTTTATGACACAAATATGAGTATTTCCTACCCTTCGATTGGAGAGAAGAGGGGATAGGCTGTACTGGGGGAAGAGAAGGACTAGCTTATCATAAAGATCTTCAAATTAACTGTTGAGCCGGCTTGCAGTAGCCATACGATGTAGACATACATGTACACGGATGGCAGATTTCATTTACATAAATGTTTCTGAAATATACAATGTAGATAGAAACTAGATGGACCTTCGATCGCGCGCAGTCGAAAATGATGCCTCCGCCAAGGAGCAATTTTACAAACCAAAACAGAAGCGAGCTATTTTTGCAAACATAATGAGCCCTGTGACCTGTGGCATTTGACCTCGTTACCCCCAAATTTAATCAGTTCATTGGCTCTGCAAGATAAATACATAACCCAAGGTTGACGGGAATCCATCAATGAGTTCTTGAGATAACGGGATCACGAGCTATGTCTGCATACATAATGAGCCTTGTGACCTTTGACCTTGGATTTTGCGACCCCAAAATCTAAACAGTTCATTGGCTTTGCAAGGTTCATATATGACCCAAGTTTGGCGGGAATCCATCAATGGGTTCTTGATATAACGCGATTACGAGAACGGGACGTACGGACGTACACTGTACATAAGTACGGACAGACGGACAACCCGAAAACATAATGCCTCCGGCTACTTTGTAGCGGAGGCATAATAAAGCTCATCATTATCAAATCACTGTTGAGCCAGCTTGCAGTAGCCATACGAAATTTCATAGATAAGAATAAGAGCAATAACCATGCACTTTGAAGGTATTTGCAGTCAGAAAACAGTACTCAACTATCCCTTTAAGGAGAAGGAATATGATACTCACATAGTACTTTTCTGTTTCATATCTCTTCTGAATTCCAAACACTTTAGCCTCTTGTATCTTCCCGTCCGTGGCAAGGCTGTCAATCAAAACATAAAGAAATCAGATGCTGCTTGTAAGTGTCGGCTTGCATGGTGATGTAGATATACGGTAGGCTTGCGGGTGCACCATGTGAGAGAGAGAGCGACGACGGATAGTCAACCTGTTCGAAACGTCGAGCCACTCCCGCCACCCATCCTTTCCAAGCGCTATAGTTCTCCTTAGAACTTTAAGCTTAGAAAGATAACCAACAGTCTTTTTCAAGACTACACACCAACAGTCCTTTTCAGGACTTCTCAATCCTCCCTCTCTCTCTCTCACATGGTGCATCCGCAAGCCTACTGTACATATAAAGAAATCATTAAATACACTTTTTGTTAAAGACTTGGACACTAAAGCTGAATAAGAAGCTAATTTAGATTTCCCCTGCCCTGCTTGAGAAAAAATAACATATCGAGGGGTCACCTTGGCAACAGTGCGTAACCCAATACATACTGTAATTTCCACTTCGCAGAGAGAGGACTTGATGAACAGCGCAGCTATTTACAGGACCATACTGCTACAGATGACCTGAGATGGCGCTAGATTCGATTTTGCAGTAGTTCTTTTAGTATGGTATAACTTTAAAGAGGATGGTGTACTTACGTGTATCTCTTGGGTGCGAAGGAGAGTTCAGTGCTGCTTGAAGCTGAGAAGCTCATCTGAGCCAGGTTATGAAAGAAAAAGTTGATCTGGGTTGACTTGGCTCCAAGACTTGCCTCTATCATCCTAAACAACAACGAATCCAAGGAGATATACGTTATTCTCAAGCATTTGAAGCCTTTCTGCACTAGTTTGGCCAGGAGGGATTAGGCCTCCCTGCAAGGTCACTGACAGGTGGTTATCTCATCAAATCAGCTCTCAATTAACATAAGAAAAAGGGGACCATGGGGGACCAACATTCACAGATTAGGCATTGTTTGTTATATAGAGGACGCAAGTAGTGCAGTGGGGCTTTATATATGCATAGTAGTCGACTCTCATGGGGAATTTTGTACCATTCAGGTGTTTACCCTATAACAGGTGTTGTCAATCACCAGGTTTAGCCATCAGTTTTAAGACCAACAAGCCTTATGTTATGCGTTGCTTTTTCCCCCTATTCCTCCCCCCCCCCCCCCACAATATGGTAAAGTCATTATCTTACATTTTCCTCACCTGAAAATGCAGAGGGGCAAAGAAACCAACCATCACTAAATTCCATCAGAAGTCTATCCCAGAATTCAATCATAATATTTTGAGCACTTTGTAGGCACTATTCACCAATGGTATACACACTTCAAGATCAAAATAGTTGAATAACTATTAAAGGGAAATCATCTTCTCAATTTTTCAGAGAATTTTTTATTTTTTTCTCTGTTGGTATTAACTCATATCCTGCCATGAGACTGCTAGCGTGCTATAATAGTGCTCTGTGCACGCGAGCGTGCTATCGATTGACTGCTACGTTCAAGCTAGCGAGCCATCGCTACTCTGCTTTGTGCACGCTAGCACGCATATGTAATAACAGTTATTGTTCATGCCCACTGCACCGTGCTGAGTGCTTTTGCAGCGCTATTGAAAGTACCATCGCGTGCATCAGATTATCAGCTTTGAATTACCCGTCTTTGTATACAACAGTCAGATTGGATTTTTGCGAGTAATTCAGCGATTTATTTTTTGTAAAGATTTAAATAACATGCACTTGAACCAACCCTTAAATTAACTTGGCACACAGGAGATTTGTGGCTGGCACAATAGGGATTAGCACTGTGGCATTGGGTGCATTGTATGGGTGGCAGCTTAAGAGTTAAAGAGACAAATCATTGTGTTACCTTGTGAACATTGCAGTAGCCTCAACATCACTAGCCTGTGGCTTGAGAGCATTCTGAACATACTTCAAGTCCTCTGCCTTTGATAACTGGGCGATACCGGTATTCAGCATCTACATCAATATATCAACAACAACAAATTAAAATTAAAGATAAAGAACAGGTTTGGAAACGCCCCCCTCTCAAAAAATGAAATGGAAGCTCTTATTACCAATCATGTGAAAGAATATGTTTTGACTAATACGTGATCATACAAATTTTGCAGAGAAACCGCCTACTAATTGATATATTTGGTAAGTTATTATATCTATTCAGACCTGATAGATATAACGCATGTGTCGCGCACATGAGTGTAGTCCCATATACATCTTTCTGTGTGCAGTGCTTGTTACTTTATCAAGACTGGGCCAAATTTATTATGATTTTGATGACTCCAGAACCTTGCAGTGCACACCAATACTTACATGCTACATGATCGACTTTTTCTGATCCATTCCACACCTTTTCTTTCACAATGCAATCGCATGACCAGAACTCAACTTTATCTTTAAGAATAATATAATACAGTCAAACCTGCTTTAGTGACCACCTCTCTACAAAGGCCACATTTTCTTGTTTCCCTTGAAACATGTACTATAGGAACCTGTACATAAATACCACCTGCCTATAAAGACAAATATTCTTGTCTCCCTTGCGTGGTCTTTATAGAGAGGTTTCACTGTATAACCATTCAGAAATTGTTTTTCACTGGTCAAAGTTAACAGATCAGTTTTCAAGAAGAAATAACCATGATCATAGACAATTAAGAGAATGGTAAAATATAGTCACAACAGCTTTAGTTGGGTAAGTTAAATACACAAAATCAGTTTTGTAAGATGAGGATGTCGACAGAGCGAGAGAGGAGAAGAGGACCAAAGGTAGGCAGAAGGTGGGTAGAGCAGTGAAGAACAGATAGAGAGAGAGAGAAAGAGAGAGAGAGAGAGAGAGAGAGAGTGTGTGAGCCAAGAGTTACAGGAAGTAGAAAGCTGTGTATATTGGCATAATGAGGCCACATCAATCTTTCAAGTTCAGAGATCTAGGAATGAGCAATAATGTATTTGAGGTATTCATGTCTGGCACTTTAAAACTGCATTAGACAAGGCTGCTTCAACACAGGAAGAGAGGTCTGAGAGCAAATGACCCACATTGCAAAAGACTCTTACTTCTAAGTTAAAGAGATGTGCAAAGCATGAAATCCCATTTTTTTAAACAGTCATATGACAACTGGCTACCCATCTGAACTACAGCCCCCTAAATTGTAGTCAAATCACAGGTTACTCTCTCTCTCTCTTGGAGAAGCCCCCACCCATACCCCTTCCAAGATAACAGCCTATGGGACGACTACCCTTCTCAGACATTTAACTCACTACAGGATATACCCTACTAAAATGATAACGAACAACTACGGTATGCATCCCCCCCCCCCTCCCCCTCCCCAATAATCTTCTGATAACTTCCTGTAATTACGTAAAAGAAGGTGGAGAAGTTAAGTCTTTTGGGTAATTGCGTGGGATATAATTAGCCTTGGAGGAGTTTTCTATGAGATAGTTTTCCAACAGTAATTGCCCTCACAGGGAAGGTTGTCCCTGGGGGGTGTTTCATAAAGCTGTTCGTAAAGTTACGCATGACTTTACGAACGACTTCAATATGAAGTGCCAGATAGGATGCCCAAAGTATTTCCTGATGTTTTAACAAAGTGTGACTATATTTCCAATAACCTCAATTAAATTATGGTAAAAAACATACTTTGCATTAAAAATGTTTGTTATTATGAGAATGTTAATCTACATCTGCACAGTTCAACTTAAGTTGATGCAGTTAAAATGATTGAGCATCCCATTTGGCTTTTCAAATTTAAGTCATTCGTAAATTCATGCGCAACTTTACGAACAGCTTTATGAAACACCCTCCATAGTTGATTTACTGGGGGTAATAAAAATAGACTTTTTTTGTAATGGTTGGAAATTAAGCCCTGATATACAATATTGTTTTGAATGGGAGCAGCAGGGAATTTATTTTCCCTAAATTTTCACACATTCTTCAATTCTCTCCTCCCTTATTATTCCATCCATCCATCCATACATTCATTTAGTGAGGATGTTTAAGAATGAGAAAACTTACCAATCCAAAGAGATTGAAGAAGAGGTTAGCATGCCGCCTGACAAGGTTGAAACCTTCACAGCAAAGGTCAATGAACTCCTGGAATCGACTGCTTGTCTTCCCTCCCCCGTTGATCACATAAGCCATGTCAGAGGTCAACACAAAGGGTGTGCGGTCTCTGAAATAACAGAGAGAAAATGGTTGAGAAATGGAAACAATGAACAGAACTGATCCGAACAACTATAACTAAGAATGGAACTTCTAGTTCTTTTAGCTTGACAGTAATTGGAATGAAATGAAGTTTGTTGAATAGTATGTCATTGTTTGATGTTTGATGATTTTTTACATAACTGTTAAGAAAGGTTAGTCATGGAGGGGACTGCTATCAACAATCCAAAGTGTCAGATTTGTGGGTTTTATAACACCAAATACCTCTCCTTTTGACCACACCCACATCTTGATCACACCCTCCTCTTGACCACACCCTCCTTTTGACCACACCCTCCTTATGACCACACCCTCCTTATGACCACACCCTCCTCTTGATCACACCCTCATTTTGACCACACCCTCTTTTTGACCATACCCTCCTTTTGAACACACCCACCTCTTGACGTTGCCAAACATCTGGGCATTCCCGAGGAATTTGCCAAAGTCGACGTGAAACATGTGACCTGTCTTGGTGACCATGATGTTATCGTTATGGCGATCACCGATGCCTAGTACGTACGTAGCAACACAGTATCCTGCACAGGAGAAGGTGAAGTTCTCCACTGCCTAAAATGAGAAAGAGCAATAAAGGGTGATGTTATTTCATTAAAGTGACTCTGTAACATTGCCTCAGATTCTGAAAGAAAATCCTGGATTTAGCTCATACTGCAATCATAATTATAAACCTTTAGGTCAGTCAGGAATCCTGATCGCCAAAAGCCGATCGCCTGTCTGATTATTAAGATATTTATGGTTGGAAATCTATTGGGGAAAATGAGTATGGTGAAACCGGTCACTCAAAGATTTTTACTTTTTTGAGGCACTTCATGATCGATTTGAAGCACACTTTTTTCAGGGCTCCATCACAGACACTGATATGCATATCAGATTTAACATTGTTTAATAAACGATGACTTTAAGAAAAAACTTTCTGACCTTCTGATAGTTGAGTTCATCATCATTATCATCATCATCATCACCATCACTATCACTTTATATTTTTTTTTACCGGCGCCGACCATCACTGGCTTTTCTGTTAGGAATCATCATTATTTTTGTAATGTCTTTTATAGGATAGCTTGTTGCTTTAACTTGATTTCATGCAACTTACCCAACTAAAGCTGTTATGAATTAATTTTACCATTACTGTAATTGTCTATGATTATGATAATGTACAGGTGTCATGGTCGAGTGGATATGTCACCGGACTGTGGATCACAACTATATATCTGTAAAGCGCTTTGAGAGGGCCTGCGGTCCTGAACAGCGATATATAAGCACAAACTATAATCATCCAACGACGATGGAAAACGCCAATAAATTCAACAATAACAACATTATTACAATATATTTTATCACCTGACAAAGTTTAGCAGCGGCACACGAAACGTCGTGATCTTTTAGATCCCTTGTTGACCATACATTGCGAGACAAACGAATGTCACTAGCGATATTATTTTCGAAACGTAATTATCACTATTATTTATTTGTTGAATATTGATCTGTAAGCTTTTACTAGTGAAAAACGAATTTCCAAATGGATAATAAATGCTAAATTTCAATTTCAATTGCCATTATCATTATCATTGTCATGATTTGTCGTTTTCACTCTGCCTCCGTCCTTACCTTCTGATAGTTGAGTTCCGTTGGGTTATGTTTCTGGAGCCATTCTGCAAGGACCTTATCCTTGAAGGATCCCGTTACCCCATGCTCTACCTGGATCTTACGAAGGGTCTCCGACTCCGGAACCAGCTCCACTAGACCTGGTCAAAAAGAAACATAATGCTAATACCCAGATCTTATATAACCACACCTGATAGTATAGAGATATCTACTATTTTGAGAGCCAGACCTCGAATATTAAAGCAGTCGATTTGTCTTTTATATGCCGAATTGAAACAAAAATCTACGAAGAATTATTACCTTATTGTTTTATTGAGTAAAGATTGGTTAAAACATCACAGAAAACCTGAGACACTGTCTGTTAATCATCGCTGGAAAAATGACTGAAAGTTTCAATCATTTGGGAACATTTGGGAATCGCAGACAAAAAGCACTATGTGGTGTCCGTGCTCGCACAAAGACACATAACCAATGGGGATCGCAGCATGAGGGCATATTTTAAAAGACTATAGACCGGTAGGCTGGTATGAGGGCACTTTTACCAATCAGATGGCTAGATTTCGAAAGTGAGGTGTATAATCAAATCTATTACCAAGAAACCTCATAGTCATTTCTATTACAGTCAAACCTGTCTATAGGGACCACCCAAGGGAAACACAAAAAGTGGCCTTTGAAGACAGGTGGTCTTTGTAGACAGGTGGTCACTAAAGCAGGTTTGACTGTACCACAATAGTCCTAGCTTACCTCTATGTATCCCTGTGGTCATACATCTGAAAGTAACCATCCTCAGATCTAGACCATCAGCTAGCCAGAGTTTATCCATGATCCGAATCATCTGCATGGTCAGCATGTCCTGCCTCATATCCTCACCTTCCTGAAACAACAACAAACACAAACTTAATAAAAAGGGGTTAATTTCTGGGCCCTACTTCATAAAACTTGTGATCAATAACAAGATACGATAATTGTTATTGGCTACTAAAATTCTTTCATTTGATTGGGTGTCAGTAGATTTGTCATAGCTCTGTGGCAGATGTTATTTTTATGTAAAGGCACCGTCTTAAAAACAGTTTCAATTAATCGCAACTATGTACATAGGAGATAGGAGACTGTAAACTTGCGGTTGATTAGACCACCTGCGATTGATCCGTATCAATCGCAAATCTTTATAGGTCGAGTTCTGGTCATGTAATAAGATTTTGAAAGCAACTGTCTGACAGCAATATGAAAATATTGATTGTGTAGTACATACAACTTGGTGTATGGTGTGAGGTTCCAAAATCATCAACTGGTAAGAAATTGACTCAATTTTGATGAAAAGCACAAGCAGTGCACACGGAAATGGGTATATGGGACTACACAAATGTGAGGCATCCCTGTTTGGTCCAAACACTTGAGCTCTTTCTCGTCATATTTCAAATATGAGGGTATAAAAAGAGCAAAAATTTTCTGTGGCCAAATTTTCAACATGTAGTTCACACAGAAATGGGTATCATGACAAAGTTTTAACGAGAGAAACGAAAGTGGGGTCCAGATACCCCACCTGATTTACATTGATTCCTGTGTTAGAGTGGTGGGGTATAAAGGTAAGGACCAGTATTGGAAACGCCCCAATTTCAAAAAATGAAATGGAAGATCTTATTACCAATCATGTGAAAGAATATGTTTTGAATATTACATGATGATAAAATTTTTGACGGGAAACCGCCTACTAATTGATATGTTTGGTAAATTAGTGTATCTCTTGCTTGCTGAGAGATACAAATGCACGTGTCGCGCACGTGTGTGTAGTCCCATATACATCTTTCTGTGTACAGTGCTTGATAAATTTTTTGACGGGAAACCGCCTACTAATTGATATATTTGGTAAATTAGTGTATCTCTTGCTTGTTGAGAGATACAAATGCACGTGTCGCGCACGTGTGTGTAGTCCCATATACATCTTTCTGTGTACAGTGCTTCTAACTTTATGAAGACTTGGCCAAATTTCTTATCATTTTGATGATTCCAGAACCTTGCATTACATCTACATGTATGCTAGATGATCAACCTTTTCTGATCGATTTCACAACGTTTCTTCCAAAATGCAATCGCATGACCATAACTGGTCTTTAGCTTTAAGGAGAGCTTTTCGTAATGTATGGGACTACACACACATATTAGGCATGACTCTTTTGTCCAAACACTATCTCTTGTCATGTTTCACATATTAGGGTATGGGAAGAGCATTACTTTTCTCAGTGGACATTTCATCTAAGACTTTCTATGACTAATATAAGAAAATTCTAAAATTATTTTGTCCCCCTTTAGCAAAAGTCGATCCTTCTCTCTTAGCCTACCTTGAACATGATAACAATTACTACAATGAAACTTCAGTGGTACAGTGAAGGATATCATAATCATCATCATCCTCATCACCATCACCCTCATCATCATCACCATCATCATCATCATCACCATTATCATCACTTATCATCAGCTTTGTCATCACCATCACCATCACCATTATCACCATCACCATCACCATCACCATCACCATCATCATCATCACCACCACCATTACCACCACCACCATCATCATCATCACCATCATCACCACCATCATCATCATCATCATCATCACCACCATCACCACCACCATCATCATCATCATCATCATCACCACCACCACCACCACCACCACCACCACCACCACCACCATCATCATCATCATCATCATCATTATCATCATCATTATCATCACCATCTTTCCTCATCATAAGAAAGATCACAAATTATTTTTCCCCTTTAGCAAAACCCCACCCTCCTCTCTTAGCCTACCTTGAACATGATAACAATGTCCTCTCCATGGGAATCTATATCATCATCATCATCATCATCAACCTCATCATCACCATCATCACCATCATCGTCATCATCACCATCGTCATCATCATCTTTGTCATCACCATCATCATCATCCTCATCCTCATCGTCATCATCATCTTTGTCATCACTATCATCACCGTCATCATCATCATCATCATCATCATCGTCGTCATCATCATCATCATCACCATCACTACCACCACCACCACCACCACCACCACCATCATCATCATCATCACCACCACCACCACCATCATCATCATCATCAACGTCATCACCATCTTTTCCTCATTATAAGAAAGATCACAAGTTATTTTTCCCCTTTAGCAAAACTCCACCCTTCTCTCTTTAATAGCCTACCTTGAACATGATAACAATGTCCTCTCCGAGGGTATCTATATTACGGCAATGAAGCTTCAGTGGTACGGTGAAGGACGTGAAGTATGAACATGCCTAGAAAAAAGAAAAAAAGAGTAAAGACGTCATGTCACTTTTACCTGCAGCTGAAGGAAATAAATCATGTATGTAAAAAGCTTGAAAAGCTTTATGTATACCGGTACTGCAAATGAATGCTCCCTAGGGAGTGGAGAATGTGCGTACATTGTGTGCAGGTAAGCCTGAATCAGATGACCGAGGTAATGATATAATTGCAGGGCCCTCCGGGATAACAGTATGAATACTGCTGAGGCTACACTGGGTAAACAAGACATATTATTATTATTATTATTATTATACCTTTAACTTAATATTCGACATGGTTGTTGAGGGAGGGATCTAAATAATAAGGTGACAGTGTCAGAATATAAATTAAGACTTGTCTGGATTACTCCTGATTGTATGAAGGATTTGTGTTTCCTATATTTTGATATTTTTCAATACAACATTACATTTATTACATTATATGGTGATCTGAATAACTATTATGTCGATTTTATAAACTATTTTTTAAAGACTTAATATGTCTTTCTACGTTAGCTGCCCTGCATGGACCATTAATAAGGTCAAATCCTGGGCTTTTCTCATTATGCTCTCATGTTCTTTGTATGCCACCACCTGTCATAGTGTCTCTGATTCTTTACTGCTGATGTATCAATAAAGTGATGTACCAAATCATATAAACAATTCTAGCTTAAAGGTAAAGACCAGTTTTGGAAACGCCCCCCTCTCAAAAAATAAAATGGAAGCTCTCATTACCAATCATGTGAAAGAATGTTTTGACTAATACGTGATACAAATTTTGCAGAGGAACCGCCTACTAATTGATATATTTGGTAAAATATTATATCTATTTGGACCTGATGGATATCATGCACATGTCGCGCACATGTCGCGTAGTCCCATATACATCTTTCTGTGCCAGACTGGGCCAAATTTCTTATCATTTTGATGATGCCAGAACCTTGCAGACCACACCAATACTTATATGCTAGATGATCAACCTTTTCTGATTAATTCCACAATGTTTCTTTCACAATGCAATCGCATAACCAGAACTGGTCTTTATCTTTAACAAACTTCAGACCTCTATATATCAGTACAATGTAATAAAATTACTAAGTCAATAGAGACGACTTAAAGCCATCAGTTCCCTGGCTGTTTAATACAAGCATATACATGCTTTCTTAGCAGTCAGGTAAAATAAAACATCAACCAAACACTGTTCAAGGACAATAGAAATGTTGTCTTCATCGAAATGCATGTTTTGTACACAGATCTCTAAGGCAGGTTTTCAGGGGTGATAGTGAGCAATTAAAAAAAAAAAAAAAAAAAAATATTTTTCCCTCAACCACGCCCCCCTTGAGTAAAAAAAAAAAAAAAAGATTTGGAGGGAAAATGGCATTTAACAACATTCCCCCCTTTTGAGTAAGAAGAATTGGGAAATAATAGGGAAGAAAAGAGAAAATAAGGGAAACATCAGGATAAATTCAGGAAGAAAAAAAAAGAAGAAAAAAAATTGGGGAAAAAATATCAGGCCTGGGTTTCACTGCATTTAGTACATACCTGTACATCAATACCATTGATTTCCAAACTTGGATTGGTGGGTAGACGAACTTGCTGAGATAAGTCTGCAGGAAGTGTGCCCAGAGCTTTATGAAGAAGAGCCTGGGAGAGAGAAGAGGGAGAGAATGTGGGGATGGTAAAAGGTTTACAGGGCCTAAAAATTGATGCATGGGTATGCAACATCTTTTGTTGGTTTTAAATTGTAATTGACAATTGTTTGAGTAATGTGCAAAATACAGAAACAGGAAAAGGAAATGAAGAAATGGTAGATTTCCATATCCAAACAGGTCCAAAAGTACTTTTGGAATCTTATACAATACAAGTGATATGTTGGGGAGAAAATATAAACATGTCATATATTTACAGGTAGAATTCTCGGAATCAAATGAAAAATGCCATTATCAACATCATCATTGTCACCATCATCATCATCATCGCCGGTGTCATTATTATCATATGAATACATATCATATATTTACAGGTAGAATTCTTGGAATCAAATGAAAAATGCCATTATCAACATCATCATTGTCACCATCATCATCATCATCGCCGGTGTCATTATTATCATATGAATATATATCATATATTTACGGGTAGAATTCTCGGAATCATATGAAAAATGCCATTATCAACATCATCATCATCATCACCATCATCATCATTGTCATCATCATCATCATTGTCATCATCATCATCATTGTCATCATCCCCATCATCATCATTGTCATCATCATCATCATTGTCATCATCCCCATCATCATCATTGTCATTATTATCATATGAATATATGTCATATATTTAGAGGAAGAATTCTCAGAATGAAATGAAAGATTATAGCTTACCGGTCTCACAGAGTCTTTAGCGGCTTTGACCTGCTCAGCGATGTTACTCAGGTTCATCATGAGCGCATCCTGCTTTCTGAACTGCTGACGCAACCCTCGGCCGCACACGCTGAGCAGAGCACACAGTACCATCTCAGCTCTCTGACTGAACTTATGATCATGCTTGCTATCGTGAAGGTACCTGAAAAATGAAAAATAATAATAATAATGGTGGCTTCTTATATAGCGCACATGTCCGTCATGTTGTGACCCTCCTGACGCTCCTGACGCTGCCCAAATGAAGAGAAGTGACCAATTCATCTTTTTTTGACATACAAATTTTGTAATTTTCAACTCAATTTGTAATCAAGCTATCTACTATATGCATGTACTGTAGGTCTCCAATCTATTCTTGACCACCACAAAGACAATTGTCATAAATGACACTAAGTAAAGGCACAAACCAGCTTGGTTCTCTGACTAAACTTATGATCATGCTTGCTGTCATGAAGGTACCTACAAACAATGGAGAAAAGTGATCATTTCACGATATTTCTTCCACAAATTTTCATCTTTTCCAACTAAACTAGATTCACTATATAGGTCCACAATCCATTCATAAATGACACTTAGTAAAGGCATAAACCATCTCGGCCCTTTGACTATACTTATGATCATGCTTGCTATCGCAATGATATGTACATGTACATGTACTCACTCATTAGGTTTTAAAAATGAACAGAAATCATACCTGATAGGATTAACAAGTATTGGTCAAATAAACATGAATCGATATGTTTATTTTACAAAGTGTAGTTCCATACTCTTCTTTTCTCTCACTTTCCTTCTACTCTTTCTTTTTTTTTTCTATATCTCTCAGTGCAATATGTGAACATAATTTGACCCTATTTAAAGGATACTTCATTACTTTGATTGCAGTATTGTTTTAATTGTGAATGTTTTCACATTGTATGATAATTGTTACAACATTGATGTTCAAGTGAAGTTGTTATTATCTTGTAAACTGAATGTAATTCAGCGTATGGGCTGCCGGGTTCAGTATTTTTATAAACAATGCAATAATCATTATTTAACGACTGCTTGAAAAAGGAACAAATACTTATGCTCACAATCATGCTCGGTCATTGCATCAATGGAGCAGATTAATACAACATTATACAGATACAGAGAGTGATGTGCAAAGATTAAACCTAAAATTGCTTCTTCAACTTACCAGTAAAGATACTGCGCAATCCGAATGCTACTAAGGGCCCGCTCAATGAGAAAGCTGGCTAAGGCTGAGTCGTGGTAGCTCTCGTACTTCAGTGCCTAGAAAAAAGGCCAGCAAACAATTTTTTGTTTATTTATCTTGTTTTTTTCTCTTTTTTTTTGTAAACATTATTTTGATAAATGATGTCATATAAAATTAACAACTAAAAATATTCACACACTTACCAAGTTTTGTTATTTGTCAAGTTACCGTATGTGAACAAATAATTTGTCCAAATTTACCATAGGCCATGTACTATAGCTGCTCCTGACATATTGACACAACCAGTAGGTAGCTGGGCTAGGCTTCTCTCAAGGCACAATAATTTGTTGATAAAGTGTCAAATTAGGGTCTGTGCTTGCAGACTAGCCTCTGGCTGTGTCTGGAGTAGCTAAAGTACAGAGCCTGTAGAAGTATGCAGTCAGCCTAGTCTTACAGAGCAGACACTGTTACACAAAGCGACTGACAAGTGTTTGTTCATGGAAACTATCAGCATCACTCCAGGGGGGCGTTTCACAAAACTTGCCATCAGTGACAAATGACATTTTTTGTTATAAGCTACTGAAATACTTGCTTCTGATTGGTTATCAGCAGATTTGTCACTGATTTTTGTCATTTGTCATTGAAAAAAGGCTTTGTGAAACGGATCCCAGTTGATGTTTTACGGAGAAGGTTGACCAGGGGAGGTCTGAGCTTACTTGAACAAGCTGTGGCAAGTAATCGCAGAGTTCATCGTCCTCTAAGGGTTGGATCCACTCGACGGCCTTTGACCTCACATGTTGGTCAGCAAACCTAGGTCAAACATACAAAGGTCAAATAATTCATTTAATACATAATAATAATAATAATAATAATAATCTTTTAAAGTCCACTCCAAATTGTTAAACCGGTTCTGTATCCCTTATTGTTGAACGCCAAACAAGATAGCAGCAACTCCTGTCTTTTAACGTCTTTTGGTATGACGCGGCCGGGGTTCGAACCAACGACCTCCCGGTTGTGAGGCAGACGCTCTACTGACTGAGCCAACACACCATGTGTGCATACCTAGCAACCTTTCACAGCAAAAGTTTGGAATCGCTCGTGGCAAAATTAGGAATACAGTCTATTTTGTATACTTTTCACACAGAATATTTCAGAAAAAGAGAAGAATCAAGGGTTCAAAAAAATAGCTTGAAGGCCAAGATATAGGAATCATTCCTCCGAGATAGGAATAGTTGGCAGCTATGTAAATAGCTTATATATACCCATAAAACATATCACACAACATACTTACTAGTGAAAGGAAAATAAAAGCTGAAAAATTAACTCTTCAAGGTTCATGAATAGAAGTTTTGAATGCTGGTGTCACGTAAGGGGATAAATACTTACTACACATCACCTATTAAAAACATTAAATCCACTCTTGAAATGATACTACACTCCTCTGACTACCTCTTGTCAATTCAAATTTGTGGAAGTGTAGGTTCTCTTATAACGGCACCAAATATGAAACACCCTCCATTTTTTGTTGGTCTGAATTCCACTTTGATTGATTTTTTCAAAAGAAAGTAAAGACACACCTCTTCGATTATTGTATGCTTTAAAAAAAAAATTGGGGGTGGGGGGTCTTTTTAGCATTAATTTATCATGAAAAGCACATTAAGCAATATTTCATTAGATTTTGTGCTTTATATATAAACATTTGTATGTATATTATGAATGTATGTATCTGTTTGGAAACAGAAGGATGTTTACTCTGTAAACTAATACATGATAATGCTCTCCTGGCTCCAACACACACAATATAAACAATGTTTTTGCTGAATCACTTTATGCATGGTAATGAGCCATGAAGATGACGGAGGGTGAAGGCACTATGAACATGACGGACAAAGAAAGCGGACAAAATATACAGTTCCTCAGGTAGACAAAGGAACATCCCTTCACTGCTATTATGTTAAAATGTGTAGAACAGGTGAATATGCATGTGACACCTGTCCTACACAATTTTTACATAATAGCAGTGAAGGGATGTTCCTTTGTCTACCTGAGGAACTGTATATTTTGTCCGCTTTCTTTGTCCATCATATTCATAGTGAGGACCTAGACCTACCTGGGATGCAGTAGCTGGAGGGCATCCAAGGGGTCCAGAGGAATCCATTCCTCCATCAGAGCATAGATATCAGCTAGACACGCCCAATCCCAGCTAGCAGCTACCTGAAGCACACGCGCTAGTGCCCAGCTGATACGGGTACAGAAGTGACGCTTGTTCCACAGAAAAGTAGCATCATCCTCCCTCAGGCTGGTAAAGGTAATATTAAAGCAGTTGATTTATATTAAATCCACACTGTACTACTTGTAGCTACTTGCTCCCTCTACCAAGAAAACTTCCCCAATCGGTGCCTGTTGGTCCCCCATGATCCTCTTTTTCTTATGTTAACTGAGAGCTGAGTTAATGAGATGGCTACCTGTCAGTGACCTCGCTGTGTGGTCTAATCCCTTCTGGCTGAACTAGTACAGTCGACCTTTAAAGGCATCGTTTAACAATGTTAAATCTGAGATGCACGGCCCTACGTGTTATCAGTCTGTGATATGGTGTAATATTGAAACCCTGAACAAATTGTGCTTCAAAATGATCATGAAGTGCCTCAAAAAAGTAAAAATCTTTGAGTGACCCGTTCTACCATACTCATTTTACTCAATAGACTGTAGTGTTAGGAAATCAAAATTTGAAATTTCAATTTCAAATCATGAATATCTTGATAATCAGACAGGAGATCAGCTTGTAAAAGTCATGGGATTCCTGACTGATTGACCTAAAGGTTTATAGTTATGATTGCAGCATGAGCTAAATCCAGGATTTTGTTTCGGAATCTAAGGCAATGTTACCGAGTCAATTTAAACCTAAACCTCAAGAATATCATAAAGTAATACACAAACACAATTTGGTGGTTTTGAGGTAAATTGTGGTCACCAGGGGGTGTTTCACAAAGATCCTAAGTTAAACTTATATCTAAGTTCGACTTAAAAAATATGGAAAACGGTTAGCATCATTGAAAATATTTTGTGAAAGTTATTTCAAAAGGCATAAAATGTTGATTCAAATCATTCATATTTTCTATTATCAAGGAGACTTCATGTTCTTGATGTGGAATTTAGGAAAAGTCTAAAATACTTCAATTTTTGCTTTTGGAAATATTTAATGTTAAAGCTACAAATGGCTCTCCATAATTTTCAAGTCCAACTTAGAGTCAAGTTTGACTTAGGATCTTTGTGAAATCATTCATATTTTCTATTATCAAGGAGATTTCATGTTCTTGATGTGGAATTTATGAAAAGTCTAAAATACTTCAATTTTTGCTTTTGGAAATATTTAATTCTAAAGCTACAAATGGCTCTCCATAATTTTTAAGTCCAACTTAGGATCTTTGTGAACCCCCCCCCCCCCTGAATATTCAACAAGGATAAAGACTTAGATGATGCTTGTAAATGTCGGCTTGCATGGTGATGTAGATATACAGTAGGCTTGCGGGTGCACCATGTGAGAGAGAGGGAGGACTGAGCAGTCCTGAGAAGTACTCTCAGTAATCTTTCTTGAGGGTTTGTAGTCCTGAAAAGGACTGTTTGGTATAGTCTTGATAAAGTCTTGTATATAACTTACGGAGATAGCGAGTCTTTCTTGAGGATACCATGAAGTCTATACTGTTCATGTTCTTCCAGAGCTGTGAAACTGGTGGGTCGGTTGACCGCTTTCTTAGGCTCGATTGGAGGGAAGATCACTACCTGCTTGAACGTTGGGAAGTCAACCTGAGAAATAAATCATTGGATACAAACACCATGTATTTAAAGAAAAAATGTCAAGACCAGGGGGTGTTCCACATAGACTAAGATTAATTTAAAGCCCCATTGTCCTACTTGTAGCTACTTGCTCCCTCTATATAGAAAACTTCCCCAATAGGTGCCTGTTGGTCCCCATGATCCTCTTTTTCTTATGTTAGTTGAGAGCTGACTTAATGAGATAGCCACCTGTCAGTAACCTTGCTGAGTGGTCTAATCCCTTCTGGCCCCGTAGTATTGACGGTCTTTAAGTTGGACTTGAAGTATGGCAGGCCGTTCATGCCACTAGTTCCTCTAACCATTCCTGGCATTGGTTTCTCAAGGGACGTACAAATTGTGGTTTCAAATCTACAGAATGTACCTTTTTTTGATAGTTCATATTGAAGAGGAAAATGTTATCTAAAGATCATAATTGTGAGAGACCAATGCTGAGAGCAACCAGTGGCATGAATGGCCTGCCATAGTTCAAGTCCAACTTAGGTCGATCTTAGTCTTTGCGAAACACCCCCAGTTTCTTTCCTTAAAATAGGAATATTCAGGGACTCAGTGGTTACAGCAGTAGGAACTTGGAGATCACAGGTTCAATCTTTGTTCTGTATGCTAATGTTCCAGTATAAGGCCGGAATTATCAACTAGCTTGGGTTAAGACAATAATTATCAAAAGTCTGTTCTTCTTATAAGTATGCTATGTACAGTCCTACATCAAATCTTTTAATTGAATATTTTCAACAGTTATGTAAATTTAATATAGTATTGCTGTATACTATTTAACTTATAATTGACTAACCCACCTGTAGAATAGCACTGTCTGGACTGAGCAGGTTGGAGGCACATGTCCCGATGGGGTTTGCCCGACTCTCTGGCCATAGTCCTAGCAGCTGACTGCCTGTTAGGAGAACACTGCACAGAGAAGATGGGATCGGGAATTACGATGGCAGATTTAAAAGAAAATACTTGTGGAAACTTTGTTATCTTTCATGTCAGTGAGATGTATTTTTTACTTGTCAAAATGGAAGAATATCTGGTGCTCTCGCAGACTTTCTGAACTATAGGTGTACAAGGCCCGTTATGCACAGATATGAAGAAATGACAAGTCCTACTTTTATACCATGTCATAATAATCCCTATATTAAAACTAAAAGAAAATATATTTTAATGAGAATTTCCCAAGATTTCTTTTAAAAGTGAAGATGAAATCTTACTGGCAGCCAGTTATTTTATTAACATCAATACAGATTTCCAAATACTTTCATCATTTTTTAAAATGAAATGTAATTTAATCTCATTTATCCTTATCATCTTCCATATATTTATCATCAGTATAACAATAACTTCCATTGTCATGATCATCGTCATCAACATCAGCATCATCGTCACCATTTTCATCATCATCATCGTCATCATCATCATCATCATCATCATCACCACTACCAACATAACCATCACCATCATCATCACCATCATCATCATCAACATCTTCATCACCATCATCATCATCATCATCATCATCATCATCATCATCATCAACATCATCATCAACATCAGCATCATCGTCACCATTTTCATCATCATCATCGTCATCAACATCAGCATCATCGTCACCATTTTCATCATCATCGTCATCATCATCATCATCATCATCATCACCACTACCAACATAACCATCACCATCATCATCACCATCATCAACATCAACATCATCATCATCATCAACATCTTCATCACCATCATCTTCATCATTATCATCATCATCATCATCATCAACATCATCATCAACATCATCATTATCATCATCATTCAACATCACTGCAATCATCATAATCATCATCACTTAAAAGTGGTAAGATTACCTTCTAAAGTTGAAGAGCGGGACAGCTACCCATCCCCGCACTGTCCTCTCCCCACTGTTCATATCCACTCCACACAGTGTCAAACATATTCTAGCTTCCCTTGGCAATCTACTGATAGGGATCGGTAGCTCCACACTGCAACGGGTAAGAGAAATTAAGACATTGAACTCATTAGTGTACATTCAATAATTGAGGGGCCCGTCTTATAAAGGGTTCTTGATATTATCCGCAACTTATTTGCGATTGATATCAATCGCAACTATGTACATAAGAGATAGGTGACAGCAAACTTGAGATTGATTGGAGGACTTCAATCTTAACTCCTCTTAAGACGGGGCCCAGAACAATATTTATCCTTGGTAAATGTAGAGTACATTATCTGTCTGGAGCTATAGGGGTGTTAACTCTTAATCCTTAGCAAATGTACATGTGTGGAGTACAATATCGGTCTGGTGGCACAAGGGTACTAGCTACATGTATGTGTGAAGTATTTGAGTTAATGTCCTTGTGGTCCCGAACATGTCCCTTGCTCAACTCATTAGGTTACGATACCAAAGAAATTACTGCAACCAAATATTCCCATTTATATGAATAAAAACAGAAGTCTATGTTTCCTTTCAAAGAATGTGTACATTCCCAGTTTGAGCAGTCTAGGGCCAATTTCATTAATACCTTTGTGGCCCCAATCATGTCACTTGTTACACTTATTACTGTAGGTTACAATAATCAAGAAATGACTGGAACCAAATATTCACATTTATATGAATAAACCATAAGTCTATGATTCCTTTCAAAGAATGTATACATTCCCTGTTTCAATGGTCTACGGCTCATTTCGATTTGATGATCATAGCATTATTAAACTGGTATTCCAATGATCTGAGAGTATAGGAATTTTACATACAGAAATGTATTTTGTTGTTGCTGTTTTTTTGTCTATCAATTTAGTATTTGCACAGGTAGCTGATATTTTGTAGCAAGAACCCTGATTTTACAGACAACCTGTTTTTGAAGAGACTAAATAAAGCCATAAAATAATTTTTGAGTATTTGCTGCCCGACCTATTTGCTGCTGCTGAAAACTTGTAATAGAATAATAATAATAATAATAATAATATGTCTTGTTTATCCAGGGTAGCCTCATCAGTATTCATACTGAGGGCCCTGCAATCATATTAGTACCCCGGTCATCGGATTCAGGCTGACCCGCACACAATGTATGAACATTCTTCACTCCCGGGGGAGCATTCCAGCCAGGTGTCATTTTTACAAGAAGTATGACATGAATGACTTACTCTTCATGCCAAGTGACCTTGTCAAAGAATCCATTTGAAATCTTGGACGGCCATGTATCAACCTGGGTGTGGAGAGGCTGTCCACCGTAAAATACCTGACAGGTTACTGCAAACATGTCATGACTGAGAAGATAAAAAAAATAGAGAAAAGATATGATTATTAGCTTGAGAGAGGGACATAAAATATAGAGACAAAAGGAACACACCAAAGAATCCATTTGAAATCTTGGACGGCCATGTCTCAACCTGGGTGTGGAGAGGTTGTCCACCGTAAAATACCTGACAGGTGACTGCAAACATGTCATGACTGAGCAGCCGAGAAAAAGACTCTGAATTATCTTTTGAAGAGCTAGTACGACGGAACCTCTTTATAAAGAAAACTGTTAAAACAAATATGTCATACCAGGTCCAGATGGACATTTTTAGATATGAGCCCTTTGTAGGACTTTTGAAATTAGATATTAGGCAGCCACCTGTTTATAGTGTCAGATCATAGCTTTATTATAATAATAATAATAATACTCAGTTTTTATATAGCGCTTATTAGAATCACTAAGCGCTTCCAAACTGGGAGATTTTTACCCCGACTTTAGCTGTGCTGCCATTTTGGAGCTCTAGCATTTCAAAGAATTAATTCCAGCCAGGTACTCATTTACATGGGTTGAGTGTGGCAAATGTAGATCAATGTCTTACCAAAGGGCATTAGTGCAGCAGCGGGTCTCGAACCGTGGACCTTGTGATCGACAGTCCGGCGACTTAACCACTCGACCATGGCACCTTATGATAAGGTTTCTTTTAATATGGGAAGGAAGTTCCTTGGTAACAGGCACTTTTGCTATAACAGGGTTCCACTGCATTATAATTTCTACCCAGTCACCCTCAATTCAATTCAATTCAATTTCGGATTTTAATATCAACATATACAATGTACGATGCAGTAGTCCAAGGACCAATAATGCAATGTTTACATAAAATGTGCATAAAAACAGGAATGATCATATAAATCTACAATAAAAATGATAAAAGATAAAGTTAACATAATTGTTCATACCTCAAGCTATATACCTATTTCTGCTAAATGATAATAGATGGATGTTTAACCTTTAACAGTAACTTGAAATGTTGAACCAATTATTGCAAGTAAACAATCAATTTGATGAAGGATCTTTTCTTACGAATTCTTCCACTGTAGGGGAAGCCGATGTGCTGAAGCTATCTTGACTCTCAAGCACTGTCCCATGGTGGTGATGTCTTCCAGCCCCGCCTCGATAGTCCCCATCTTAGAAGAGGCCACGCCCGGCGACAGCTCCGGTCCTAGGTCGGTATCGAAGGCCTGGCAGTAGATATCAACAAGCTGAAGCACGGCATCGGTCAGACGTTCCAGGGCAAGGAGAGGGGAGTGACCGGTCTGGAGGATCTTGACCGCCATAGTGACGCTGTTGGATTCTACCTTGGCCAGAGTGGCACAGATTGCCTTGACAGTCTGGACTAGGGGACCCACGTAAGGTTGATGGGACTTGGCCTGGAAGGACAAGATTGGAATTACCATATTAGTACAGTCAAACCTGCTTTAGTGACCACCTGTCTACAAAGGCCACCTGTCTACAAAGACCACCTGTCTACAAAGGCCACATTTGTTGTTTTCCTTGAAAATGGTTTCCCATTGAATCATGTACTGAAGGAACCTGTCTACAAAGACCACCTGCCTACAAAGGCCACTTTTTGTGTTTCCCTTGGGCGGTCGTTGTAGACAGGTTTCACTGTACATACCTGCCAACCTTGCACAGCAATAATTTAGGAAGTTCTCAAGGCAAAATTAGGAATACAGTGTGTTTTGTACACTTTCTACGCAGAGGTTTTCAGAAAAAGTGAGGAACCTAAGGTTTATGACATTAGTTTGAAGAACCTCCCAAACAGGTATCATTCCTCCTCGATAGGAATTGCTGGCAGACATGTTCGTACCGGGGAGATAAATTGTCTGTTTGTAGTCAGAAGGGCAACTCTGTTTTAAAAGTATGTAAGTTCATGTCCTGATTCCAAACTGGCAGCATTATCCACACCAAGTCAAATGAAAATAAACCATGAGTTAAAGAGATATATACAACATTCCTCTAAGGTGTTGCATGTATTTGCTAACATTATAAAAGGGGTATAGACTAGCCTACATCTGGCTTTCATTATCAAAGCTTATTTTAGAGAGAACTTTCTTATCCATGCTTGCATTTTGAAATATAACTGTGTTTTAATATTGGGGAAGCTCTATGGGTAAAGAAACCTTCAACAATTATTAAAACTATTTCTATTTGGACAACAATCCCCTTACATGTACATTCCAGCATAAGGTTGGTCTCTTGTATAATTTCCATGCACTATATACTGCACACTGTACATAAATGGGGAAAAGTCATATTAGAAGCTGAATGGATACATAATGCACAACCAGTGGTTGTCAAAGAAAATATACAAAAATGAAAGATCACAAATTTTACTACAACGTATCTTGCTTTGCCTGCATGCAAGACTATGAAACCTAGACAGTCGACATTTGCTAATAGGCAACAAGCGTAAGGCCCCCTTTTGTCATAAAAAGCTTAAACTACAATGATACTTGGACAACTCATTATTAGTTTTAAGACGGAAGGTCTGAAGACTAACCTCAACTGCTTTCTTGAGTTTCTCTGACTCTGTGGTGAATGCATCCATCAAGACGTTGATTCCCATCCTGATACATAAAGAAGATTAGAGATTATTGGTTGTACATTATAATAATAATCATTATTAGATCAATAAATATAGCCTAACTGCTATATAAATATACTCTACAGCGCTGTGATGAAAACATAACTTCTAACAGTGCCGCTTTACAGATACACAATACAAATACAAGAGCTCCTTAAAACAAGTGTGTCTTCAACAAAACTTTGAAGACAGCAAGGAGTGAAGCTTTTCTTATGTCTTATTATTATACATTGTATTCATTGAGTGTATTAATACAAGCTTTAACTTAAAAGAGATGATGAAGTTTCAACTTGTTAGATAAAGCTTTGATGACCATTAACACAGAGGTAGCTTAGCAAAGTGGACTGGCACGAAAAGACTTGTCCAGAACGCAAACTGCATAATTGTTGAATATCATAATTTCATCACACAGAGGTAGAAACACATTATTAGGATATGGAGTTGCTAAATGCATATATAACACCTTAATGAGGCTTGGTGTTGGCTAATGTTAGCTCTCCCTCCCTCCGTCCCTCCCTCCCTCCGTCCCTCCCTCCCTCCGTCCGTCCCTCCCTCCCTCCCTCCCTCCCTCCCTCCCTCCCTCTCTTTCTTTGCCTGTCTATCTAATAGAATACTTACTTTGATACTGATGTAGTAACAGGCCTGTCAAAGAGATTTGAGAACGTACTCATCCCCACATCACCATTATCATCAGCACTCTGTAGAACAGAATCATCATAAAATATATTTTATTATATCCTGCATCAAATGTATTGGTTTTGATTTGTCGAGAGCTCTTTACGTGACCAGAAATATTTCAACTATTTATAACGTTGCTCTGAAAAATTACTATTTGGGAGTACTATTTGGGAATTGAAAATTCAGCAAGCGTACAGGATTTCAAATGCCTCCAGCTGGCAACTCCCGTTGTGTGACAGTGCTAACGACATGCAATTTACGCTGAGCCGCAGTAACTGCACTACACTACTTCAGTACCTCAAGCACCAACTAAACATATTTACATAGAGGTACTTCTATGTTTCATTTGGTCTACTTCTTGTAAAAAAAAATTTAAAAAATTGATTTAGGATATACAACAAATATTATTTGCCTTCTTTTCGAGGTAATGGTTAAAACTATTCACCTTGGTGACTTCAATAGAACTATTGGAGTCACCTCTTGCCAATAGTTTTAACCAGAACCTCCTAAGACAGTGTATATTTGTATATAATATTATATTTTTGATCAATGAAATCCTGTTCAGAGATTGGCCAACATAGCATCATGTGACCAAACATAACATTGCTATGATGTAACTGTGACGTCATCCATGGAATAGTGCACTATACCATGGCACTATACCATGGATGACGTCATATATATGCGATTGATCAAGATCAATTTGCTATCGGTCGCGGTCGCGGTACTGTCGTCTGTGTTGTTCTCATTGCACTCTACACTACTTCAGTGGCAGTAAACATTATTATAAGTAGTATTATAATTATTTTTTATAAAGGGTTTTTTTTTAAATATAAAACAAATATATCATGCACTATTTCAAGCCACTAGTAAAATTATGGATTCCTCGGCGACAGAAATAGTGCTATTCCTTCCACCTCGATCCATAATTTCAACTAGAGTCTCTCAGTGCTTGGTATATTTGTTTATTATATCATACTATACAAATGTACATCGTAATATTATGCTAAATTGTGTTCATTCATTCTGGATTGTTTATCCTGCAGTGGATTGATTGTTTGAACCAGTAACTTGGTTTGGAACCCAGGAGCTCCCGGTTACAAGACCGACCACTGCTCTCTACCACTGAGCCATCAGGCCTCTTCAAAATACATTTTTATAGGTGGATAATAATAATAATAATAGGCATTTGTATAGCGCCAACTATCTAGACAATGCTATTCCGAGGCGCACGAGAAAAATAGAAAGAATGAGAAAGTTTGGATGAGTGTCATAGTGCCAAGTACAGGTATTGTTAAAAAAGATAAGATTTCAGCTTGGATTTAAAGGTCTCTCAGGAAGTTATGATTCTCAAATTAAATGGTAAATTATTCCAAAGACAAGGTGCTGCAGATGAAAAAGCCCTTTCACCACAGGCTACTCGTGTCTTTTGGATCTTGAGAAGATGCTGGTGTGATGATCTTAGACTACGAGCTGGATACAAAATTTACAGTGGAAAGTGTACATATATCCTGGAAACTTACAGTTCTAGCGAGAGATAAATTCATTTTCTCCCGTCGGGTGAGGGTAAGACGAACATCTCGGTCAAACTTGTAGCATTCCTGGACATACTCGTAATCCCCTAGACTGGTCTCACTAAAAATAAAATATAATTAAAAAAAACATAACAAAACAATACGATAAACATGTATTCTTTATAAATAGAATTTGCCTTTTCATGAATAAATTTTTTTCATTTTCATTTTTTGAATTTTGTTGCGCATTTGTCACGTTTGGACCTGACTCTGAGTTACTTAAAATGTACGGGTACTTGTTTTGTAGAGTTACCAGTAGTATTTTTTATACCCTGTTTTCATGATTTGTTGCTATTTCTTGTTTTTCTGTACATATATTATAATGCATATGGTATCTTTTTTTTTTTTTAGGAATAGGAATATTTTTTTTTTGTTAAAGTAAAGAGCCAACATGAACAAAGGCTCAAATATTTCACAAAATCGGATTCACTCAGCATCTATTCAATTTAAAAAATCTTACATTATAGTGCAATGACACTATGAGTGTGTTATTAAATCATTGTAATAAAACAGATAAATTGCATATTAGCTGTCAAAATAAATGCTCTTGTTAGAATCTTTATTTTGAGACCAAGCTAACATTTTATTACTTCATTGTATTATGCAGTAATCTGTGACACCATATTACAATGTATGGGTTTGAGTCTTAAAGGGGTACCCTAAATAGCAGATTTATTGCCTTTATCTAAAGGGCAAACATTTGCATGTATTGTCTGTTTGGAGCCAGAAGGCAGAGATGCCAATCTCTTGACACAAAATCCTAAAAAATCAGATTTTCACGAAAACTTGACACGACTAATGGCCGGTTTGCCCTGGGCCAGTAACATTTCAGAAAAATGTGATACTGGTACGTACAGTCAAGTAAAATGTTTGCTCTTTCATTAAAATTTTAAGTTTTTGTTGGGGTTGCAGGGGTTTACTTGTACCCATTTCTATGCGATTCCATTGTTTTTATGGGTATAATTTTTTTTTTTTTTTTTTTTGTGATATCGTATTATCATATTCCACTCTTATTATCGTACTAAATACGATTAAATCGTACTGGTTGGCATCTCTGAGAAGGGCATTAACTCATATACTTTAATACAGGGTTAGCTCCCTTCTGGCTTTGAACAGATGTATCATGCTCTACAAGAAATCAGACAGTAAAGATAAGCTTGAGTTCTGGTAAAAAAAGAAAATGAATTCTCACAGAATCAAACGAAAATTACACTGAATGTTGAAGATTACAAATAAATGTCATTTGCCAAACAATTTTGGTAGAAAATGTACATGTATGCTGGCTGAGTAATGAGCATAGAAAGATAAAGAAATCAAGGTAAGTATAGCCCCGACACCATTTGTGTAGTCCCATACACATCTTTCTGTGTACAGTCTTTTTTACTTTACCAAGACTGGGCCAAATGTATTATGATTTCGATGACTCTAGAACCTTGCAGTACACACCAATACTTACATGCTACATGATCAACTTTTTCCGATCCATTCCACACCTTTTCTTTCACAATGCAATCGCATGACCAGAACTCAACTTTGTCTTTAACCGATTCTTAACGACTAGACTTACTTGTGCATGTATTCAGAATATCCTGGTACTTTGAGAACGTAAGAATCGCTTGAAATATCAATGTCACCCTCTACATGGCACAGCGCTTGACTGATCACGTGTTGGATCGAAGTTTTCACTGGGAGGGGGGCAAAAAGAAATACCATTACAGTTTTAATGGAACTACAAAGCACAGCGCTTGACTGCTCCTGTGTTGAATTGACGTTTTCACTGGGAGGGGGGCAAAAAGAAATACCATCACAGTTTTAATGGAACATGCATTTCGTATTCTGCATAGCAATATTTCCTCAATCATCCTGCATCGCACAAGATTGGCCTATCTATCTATTATGTTATGTTATGTTTTTGTCTTTAACTTTTTAATATACATACTGTTGTGCAGTAAATTAAATATACAGATTAGTGAGAAGCTTCTGTGTATACTTATGGTAGATGTATTTATACTTCAAAATTGTCGTTCATTTCTAGTTGGGTAACATTTTGCTGTATAGTTTTTATTTGGATTGATTAAAAACCTCAAACAAATCTTTAAAGGTGCTTATTAAAGCTCCACCGCACTAGTTTGGCCAGGTAGGATTAGACCTCCTTGCATGCTCTCAATCAACATAAGAAAAAGAGGATCATGGGGGACCAATGATCACCGATTAGGCATTGTTTGCTATAAAGAGGGCACAAGTAGCTATAAGAAGTGCAGTGGAGCTTTCAGGGGTGATAGTGAGCACTAAAAAAATGGCATCTAAAAACATTCCCCCCCCCCCCCCCCCCCCTTTTGAGTAAGAAAATAGGGGTAAACAAATTTTTTTTTTTTTTTAAATCAGGAAAAAAAAAAGAAAAAAAAAATCAGGAAACCGATTTTAAAATCGGGTAGTTATCAGGACTGAGCTTTAAAGGGTGCTTACTTACCATCACAAGTGAAAGTAATTGGTCCACTATCGTTTGGTCTGAGGAGAACAACCTTGACACTCGTCTCCATGTCTTCTTGCATCCTCTTTGAGAAGATCAGAGAACTCACAAAGCCTCGGTTTGTTAGGGTATCGATGCTAGGATAATTCTTCCGTAACCTAGCAACAGGATAAATGAAAAAAGGATCTTTTACTTTAATACATTATTATCAGTGATTGTATGTTTATATTTGATGGTCATGCCTTTTGTATATTTGACTACATGAATGTACATGTATTACAATAGTAATTCTGAGTTTGTGATTTATATATATTTATATCTATATATTTTTTTTTTTTTTTTTTTTTCTCTAACGTTCTTTCACCTTTGCATCATAAGTAAGAAAATGCTCACAAATTATGTTTCACTTTTCCCCAGAACTCAACCTTCTCTTTAAGCCATTGGCTACTGAATTCATTCATTGCCATAGGCTTAATACAGGGGCCACCGGTTCCAAAGGCAATGGGTTAATATTGTACCGGGCATGGTGGCTCAGTGGTTAGAGCGCCCGCCTCATGAACGGGAGGTCGTGGGTTCGAACCCCAGCCAAGTCATACCAAAGACTTATAACAATGGGACCTTCTGCCTTCTAGCTAGGCGCTCAGCAAATTAGATTAGAAAAGGGGAGTATGTTATGCAGGGCCCGCTGGAAGAGCAGTTTCATAACTGAAGTGGCTACTCTGGGTAAATAAAGCGCTATTATTATTATGATTATTGCTATACTGACCTGCTGACTGTCTGAGCGAATGTTTCACCCTCCTCATCACGCTGAGATGCCAGGTCAAATAATCCGTCACCAAAGAACACCTTGTCGGGCTGTAAAAACAAAAATCAGTACAACCATGACAAGAAATATACATGTAAAAATAAAAAGAAGAAGGAGAGGAAGAAACTTGATGATTATTTATGAGCACTATAAAAAACAAAAAGTACTTTAAATGTTCCATAGTGCTTACGAAATCACAGAATGAGGAGAGAAACATGAACCTCATAAAATATGGCTATGGCTTGGTATGGCTAGTGAACAAAAGCAACATTGACAGGGCTCTTTTAATAGCCTCTTTGATCTAATGCGAGATAAATTACACTCCAATTATTGATTTTAAAACTTCACCAACAAAATTTCAAGCTAAAGCCCTATACAGAGGTCAATATTTTCATGTAATAGTTGTGTAACCAATACAAACAAGAATATCGCCCAGTACCTACTAAAATAATCAGGGAACTTGGTGATCATTGGTAATCAGATATTAAATCAATGATACAGCTTTGGTTTATTTCTCTTCAAAGAGGAAAAGCCAATTTTGAAAAGTGGCCTACATGTTGAATCGAAGATTTCCATACCTTAGACTTTTTGGCTGATGCAGTAGAGACGGCTGATTTAGGTATCCATGGCTCAGGTTCAGCCACCTCCACGGCTGCACCTTTAGCGCCGTACAAACTCCTTGGTCTCTTCCCTGCTTGCTCCGATTCCTCAACCTCAATGGACGTTGGTCTCTGTCCACTTTCAGACTGCTTAGCCTTCCGGGGTCTTACTTGTGGATCTTCTGACGTTGACTCAGTGCTGCCCGCGTCCGCCGCAGAGGTGCCTGTCTGCTGGCTTTGGGACTCACTAGGAACAGGTCCTGGAGTTGGTCCTGGAGTTGGTTCTGGAGTTGGCTCAGGAGCCTGTGGCTGCAAGGGGTCAAAGTAGCTAAAGTCAAAGAAGTCAGCTTGGTCAGCCAGGCTGGAACGGAAGAACATCAAGTCGTTGGAATCTATAGAGTCGCTGGGAGTTGTTGCAGGTGGTGCAAATGGAAGTCTGTCTCCCGGCTGGGGCATGGATTGGGAACTGGCCTGAGAAGCAAAGCCAAAGCTAGAGATACTTTGAGAAATGGATGTATTTGTTTCCATGGTTCCAAAGCTTGGGTTGCTATGGATGCGTCGCATGCTGCTGGATGAGGAGGTCGCTTCCAGATGGAAGCCTATGTGACTCTGCTGGCTCCTACGGGCTTTTGGTGGGAGAGGTGGCGGCTGTTCTGAGATACCTGATGCTAAAGTGCTCTTATGGGTGGATGTTATTTGCTCAAATGTTGGAGCAAGGTTTATCAGGCTTAAACCACCATCTCCAGATTTGGTTGTTGAAGAGTCTTTCTGAATGTTTCCAGCAGGCTTTGATCCTCCTATTTCTACACCAAGTGATGACATAAGGTCAGAAAAAGTCTCCTGATTGGCATTGTTGCCTTCAGCAGGAGTTGTTGTTGCTGACTTTGACGTCTTGCGATGGCTCGTTTCTGGACTCGAAGGCGAAGATCGACTCATTTGCTTCTGAGAATGCGATACACTAAGCACTTGGCCAAATCTATCCGCACTGCTATTCGATGCTGCAAAACTGGTTCTTGTTTGATGAAATCTTGACAATGCTGTAGCTTGATTGTTCAAAGGTAGAAATGAAGGGGCAAAGGGGTTCCTGGAGGGGGTCTCCATGCTTGGTTGTACCATGCTTCCACCTTTGGGTTGTCTCATAGACTGGCTAGACCTAGCTAATCCCTGTCCCATACCAAAGCCATGAGGACTCTTCAAAGGCATCCCACTCTGGCCAGGACTTGGCAAAGGCCCTGCACCAGGTGGTTGCGTACTTGCGTTTCCTGCAGTAGGCCCACTGTAGTTCTTCATAACATGATCAAATCCAAAAGACATGAGATCCAACTCTGCAGCGCTGCTTCCGCTCGAAGTGCCTCTGAATAAATCATCTGCTTTTGGAGTGGACGATGACAAGTTGCTCTGTTGGACTGATGCAGGTTTTGCTCCACGTGGCACTGCTGAAGAGCAAGATTTGGTGACTGCTACAGGCTTTTTCTCACTGAAGGTTTTCGTCGGCAGGGAGGGTATACCGAAGCGTTTCCGTCTGAGCTCATCCATGCGTTCTGTCTCAAGACTGAGGGCCATCGCCCTTTGAATATCCGCGTCAAGCTGGTCATCTGGACTGGAACCGCTGACCCCTTGACCTCCGTGGTGCATCCCATCACTAGTGGTACTCATCTTGACTGGTGTAATATCACTTCTCACCACACAGGAGAACCAATCAAAGACATCAGTAGCAAAATGAGAACCAGTCTCTCAGTGGTTCCCTGACAAACAACGTTTGAAGATTGCAATGTACTGTACTGCTCCCAACTATCGCTTCTCAGACTGATTTAAATTCTGTTTTTTAGAATCGTTTCCAAAACTGAGACATAAAAAGGTTGAACTTTGACACTGAACTGATTATGTTCCAATCACAAGTCAGTGCTGTTCAATTTCCTGAACTATTTGTTCCAGTTGCTTCACATACAGTGCTATTGCGATCAGTCACGCCAAATGAACTATATATCTCAATGTGCTTGATGACTGCTTGATAACCACTTCTCCTGTAGCAGGATTCCTTGAGATATGCCAGTCTTTCACCCACGCTCTCATAGCTGTCAAGGGTCTATCACTGCTCAATCCACAGAGGACCTGCAAAACAGTAGAGTGAATATGGTGTTAGTGAAATATGAAACAAAAACTGAAAGCAAACACAGGAAATCATAAAAACTTAAGATATTTAGAAGAATAGACTGGGCAGCGATTCAAACTCACATTCCTCATTTTGTGATCAAAAGGATAAGAGCAAACTATTAAAAGGTTTGACGTATACATGTACATGAAACATATCCCTATTGAAAAATGCAATAATCCTACAAATGCCACAAATATATGTGAACAGAGATAATTGTACATGTACATTTATATTTCATTGTTTACTTCACAAATATCGAAGAGGAAGTACACATACTGTACAGTGTAGATGAACATTCCATATCAAATTGTAGATTAGTCATAACTGTACAGCAAAACTGAATTTATCATAAGTTTAGTGTTTTTAGTATCATTGGTTAACCTCATGGTTGTTAAATGTACAGACTACAGTGTACACTGTAATATTTGCATCCAATTTGTCTTTGTGTGTATTTGATTAGTTATTGGTAGCCATGGATTCTGAATTTCTGAAAATGATTTTCTTTTTTCTCTTTAAAGGCCCACTGCACTACTTGTAGCTACTTGCGCCCTCTATATAACAAACAATGCCTAATCGGTGACCATTGGTCCCCCATGATCCTCTTTTTCTTATGTTAACTGAGAGCTGAGTTGATGAGATAACCACCTGTCCAGTGACCTTGCAGGGCAGTCTAATCCCTCCTGTAAACTACGGCAGATAAGCTTTAAGAAACAATTTTATAGGTCATACAATGTGATTTACACTGAATTAAATAACACATGTACATGTTTCATTTACAATACAACTTTGGTATAGAATGTATCACACATGTACATGTACATGTACACAGAATGAATAGATTGAACAGTATTTAAAGGTATAGACCAGTTTTGGAAACTCTCTTCTCTCAAAAAATGAAATTGAAGCTCTTATTACCAATCATGTGAAAGAATATGTTTTTACTAAATACGTGATACAAATTTTGCCAAGAAGCCGCCTACTAATTGATATTTTTGGTAAATTAGTATAATCTATTTGGACCTGATAGATATCGCGCACGTGTTGCGCACATGTCGCGTAGTCCCATAGACATCTTTCTGTGTACAGTGCTTGTAACTTTACCAAGACTGGGTCAAATTTATTATCATTTGAATTTTGATGATTCCAGAACCTTGCAGTACACACCAATGCTTATATGCTAGATGATCAACCTTTTCTGATCGATTCCATAACGTTTCTTTCACAATGCAATCGCATGACCTGAACTGATCTTTACCTTTAAAGAAAGGAAAGAAATATCTTTATGGAAATCCGCTCATTAACAATACTGTCTGTTTGGAGCCAGAAGGGCATTAACTCATACACTCTAACACAGAGTTAACAACCTTTTGACAATATCATAAAGTCATCCCATGCGTGTCCATATGGTGGTTATCACAAAAACTTTGTTTATTTACATTTTGTTGGTAAATTCCAAGGTCCAACCAACCATATAATTAATAGGAGGATTCATAACTGTGCATGTACAACGTAAACATAGGCCTGCACACAATGTAATTCATCATTCTGAAGGGCTCTTAACCTCTTACAGACAGTTTATCTTTAAAAGTCAGTTTCGATGTTTGATTTCTGACAAGTCAATTTGAGGACAAATGTTCATAATGCATATTGCAGGTGATTTATAAAATGTATTTTTTTAAAGACGATGTCCCATTTAAAATGGGTAATCTCCAAGATCAACACAATGCACTATATTTGTAGCGTTATTACAAATGTACATTGTATCTGTTTCGCCTGATATTCATTTTCTCATTTTCAGTGTAGATACATTCATACAAATGTACATGTACATGTACATCTCTCTTGATATACATGTACAGTGTACATTGTAAATGTAACACAAGTTCAGCTTGAGTACATATTTAGAGGAAACAATACATGTAAATCTTTATGGAAATATAATAAAAATATATTTCTTGGAAAAATCACCATGCATCTACAATGTACATAAGCCCACCCAGAACGGACAGGACTACTTGGTAACCTGCAGGATACAAAAATCTACATTGTGTTAGTTTTTCCTTCTTTCTTTTTCCCATTTTAATTCCTTGTTTTGGTTATTAAAATTAAAAAGATGGGATTGGAAAAAGGAGGAAAAAAAGAGAGAGAAGCCTATGCTTTTTTTTATAGTACTGTTATCCACATTATATAAATGGTATTTAAAATAGAGAAAAAAGAGAAAGGAAATCAATATCAAGAATAAAGGCGTTGATGATTAAATAGTCAGTTCTTGGCTGATTGCCATTACAACAACAACAACAAAAACAATAAACAACAACAATAAAATTATACACAACACATGACCAAATTCAATTGAATATCCCCCATATCATTTTGAATTCTTGTTACATGTACATCAATCCTCTAGCTGTTTCAAAGAAAGTACAGTGTCTGTCTGTGTCTTGTCTACACATGTGTACTGTATGTATGTTAGTAATTTGTTCAAGTCTAGTGGAGTCGTACTGGAAGGAAGTAAGGTATTAATCTTCCAAATGAGGAAATTAGCTTGGCAGTGCTCAGAGAAACTACATGTAAACCCCATCCTCGTCTGCAAGGTAACAACTTTATCTGTGTCTCGCGACCTCTCTTAAATAGCACATCAGGGTTTTCTAAAGGTCTATGAAATGAATCATCTTTTCCTCCTTTAAAGATAAACATGAGTTCTGGTAAAAAAAAAAGAAAATGAATTCTCACAGAATCAAACAAAACTTACACTGAACGTTCAAGATTACAATAAATGCCATGTGCCAAACAATTTTGGAAGAAAAAGTATACTGGTGGAGTAATGGGCATAGAAAGATAAGGAAATCAAGGTGTAGGCCCCCGACACCATTTGTGTAGTCCCATACATGTATACATCTTTCTGTCTACAATGCTTGTTACTTTACCAAGACTGGGCCAAATTTATTATGATTTTGATGACTCCAGAACCTTGCAGTACACACCAATACTTACTGTACATGTACATGCTACAATGTACATGATCAACTTGTTCTGATCCATTCTACACCTTTTCTTTCACAATGCAATCGCATGACCAGAACTCAACTTCATCTTTAAATAGCAGATCAGGGTTTTCTAAAGGTCTATGAAATGAATCATCTTTTCCTTCTTTAACTGGCAACAATTAGCAGAATTCATCCACTCTTTAATACTTTAAACAAATAAACAAACATTCATAACTTCCTTGTAATTGTTTTTTCCATATCTTTGAATTTCACCACTTGAGTTTTTTCTAAGATTTCTGCATGAATACAATTTCTTTGTTAAAAATGTCGGATTACAATGTATGATAAATTAAAGCCTAAAGGGGTTTTCTAAAGGTCTATGAAATGGATCAGCTTTTCCTCCTTTAACTTGCAACAATTAGCCGATTTCTCCACTCTGTAATACTTTAAACAAACATTCATAACTTCCTTGTAATTGTTTTTTCCATTTCTTTGAATTTCACCACTTGAGTTTTTTCTAAGATTTTCTGCATGAATACAATTTCTTTGTTAAAAATGTCGGATTACAATGTACATGTATGATAAATTAAAGCCTAAAGGGGTCACAACCAAATACATGTAGTCCTAAGTCTGCTTCTCCCCAAAATATATATGTAAATGCAGAATTACACATCTGTTTCATTGCATCTCCTTTCATCAAAGTACATGTAGTATTGGGACAGACACACCAAAGTTACCCTAAAAGTTAAAAAATATATATTGAAAAGCACATTTTGCTCTCTCAACTGAAATGTATACTGCTTAGACTCTACAAAGGAAGTTCCATGTAAAGTTGGTATCCTGTTAATCGCACGTCGAGAGGATACAACCAGGAGAGAGATACGGATCAACTACAGTACACTGTAGGCCTCAAGGCCCTCAAGTACTATGTATAGGCCTGTTTTCATCAGCTCAAGTTTGCCAAACGACCCGCTATTTTAACTATCCCAATCGCAAATCAGCCAGTTAATTTCTGTCCTCATCAGCCCGCAGCTGCAATTAGCGGGATATTTGGTTGAGAAAATATCCTGAGAAATGTTGGTCTCGTTTCCAAAATATCCCGTTATTTGGGAAATAGCGGGCTAATTTGTGCCCGTCCGAGCTAGTTTGTGATGAGCATATTGGTCTGGTGAGGACGCAACTTCAAGCTTTGGAATAAGTCTGAATATAGCGGGTTATTTGGCAAACTCGAGCTGATGAAGACAAGCCTATAGACATTTTCACTTGAAGGTTGTACATGTACACCTGTTCATGTACATCACACAGATATTTTTGTATTAAACTTCATTTCAAACGCATTTAAGTAATAATGTAAATTTGTATGCTGTAGTAAGTAGTAACAGTACACAATACATGTAAATGCCCTCTGTTCGGTGTTCAAATGCTCATCATCATATGGCACACTTGGACAAAGGTTTATCTGTCTGCAAAGTGGTGTCGGCCATTTCAAGGCCAACATATTTAGATAGGGCTTGGCCCAAAGTCCAGCTTGTAGTGTGGTGCAGAGGAGCAAACAGCAGACCACATTATCACAACTGCCCCCTGTTTAAGCCAAACGGCATCTCTGGGCTGATGGAAGCGGACGAGACCACTAGGAAATGGCTGCTTCACAAAACTTTAGAAACTTAAAAGATTTTGTTCTCGACATAAGCGAAAAGAAGAATAAGAGAAATTGTATACTAATGTAATCTTTCATACATATATGTTTGGTACAATCTCAGGCACAAAGATTTTAAACACGGAAATTAAAACTCATATTTTCAGTATGCCTACTTGCAAATTGCATGCTTGCAAGATGCACTGTTCATTCTACATGAAGATGTTGCAGATCGAGGTCTTCACTCTTCATCCACTTTGAGCTCTAGTGCTCTTGTGATGTATAATGTCCTGGTACATGCATGGTGCATCCGCAAGCCAACTGTATACTTGTTACGAGTCGGCCAAATGAACCAATCCATGTCTTCTATGTACACATACCTCTCCTTCTCTATCCATACATTTTTCAGGTAATATAGAATATCCATTTTGATTGGGGGGAGGGCGTGATGGCTCAGTGGTAGAGCAGTGGTCTTGTAACCGAGAGGACCTGGGTTTGAAACCAAGCCAACGCGCTTGTGCCCTTTGGTAAGGCATTAATTAATCCTTATTACCGAGTCCTTTGGCGAGGGCTTAAAGCCGTGGTCCCCTCACTCCCCTGGTTGCTTACCTACGAGCAAATACATGTTTTCTTAGCAGTCAGGTAAAAAATCATTTGTTTTACCTGAAAGGGGAAACGGGGGAGGGGGGATGGGGTGCTCTGTTTTCATTATTAACCTACAATGTACAACTACACACATTAGAGTTGCCTTTTCCTATAATAATCATCATTGACAACGCTATTACCTACAGGGTCAGGGTGTATCACCTTCTTTTAAATTATTATTCATTTTATATTTATATTAAGTATTAAAAACTTAATCCACGTGAATTCTGTTAGAATGCTGACTATGATTTTGTCACTTCATAAAATCCCATAACCTTAGAGCGGTTAAAGCGCTTACATGTAACCTGCATGTGGGACTATTCTTGCGCAGCACTACATTTGTATGCGTAAATGCATATAGAGGTAAGTGTGCTTATCTATAATGTGTGGGCACTAAATTAAGCCTATTAAAGTTGAGATTAATCAGCCTTACTGTCACGAAACGATCTTGAATGAAATCTTTTTACATCAAATAACAAGGATTTAGGAGTTTCTCAACAAATGATGCATGTTGCTGTTTGTATTTCACACAAAGCTGTTAGGCTGAGTGCGATAGATACACACAGCCTCAACTCAAGTGCGGATAGATCGTGTAATAAACTCATGCGCATGCATCATTTCATTCATTTATATACTATTACCATCTACAGTGTAACAATGTCACATGTGTACATGTACATGTGTATGTACATGAGCACTGTAGACTGATGAAGACGAGTATTAAAAAACAATAAATATAAATTTGATGAGCATGCTCTCTTTGGTCATTACTCAAAACTTACTGGATGTCACAACCGTTCTCATAAGATTTCTTCAAATGAGCAATCAAAACTATATTGTAATAACATATTAAAACATGCTTTCTGAAGTACTTAATAGACTGTACATGTACTTGAAACAATTGAGAGAACTGTCAAATCAATAGATAGTGTAATAATATTGAAAGTGAAACTAATTCAAACTATACAAAGTATAATTCGTCCTTGTTTTCACGAAGTGACGGTAGTGAGGAAAATCGTAACGCAAAGTGAATGCAATTTTTTTTCACTACCGTCACTTCGTGAAAACAGCGACGAATTACTCATTGGATGTACATGGTATCTAATACAAATGACCTTTTTGTGGTTAACAATGTATTGTATTGAAACTAATTACATGTACATGGAGATTTACCCTGAATTCATGTACATTGTATGATTGGGGGGGGGGGGGTTGAGTGTCCAGACAATAAACAAAAAAAGCTTCTCTTTAGCCTTTGTTTTTAATAAAAAAAAATATTCATCATATAGCACTAACCATCATGAATATTTGTCATTTATAATATTGTCCAACATAATTATGATTAATGAAATATTGCTTGTAAACTTCTTCAAATGGCCGTTTTAAATAATCGTCCCAAATACACAACCTGCCCGTACAAACAATGGGGATTAAATGTTTGATTACTTGTGCAAAGGCACATGATACATGTGGCAATACACCAGTTTACAGTTGTGTGCGCCATTTTAAACAAGGCCAATGACCTAGAGGTCATATATTTATGCGTAAATTAAGATTGCGCCCATGCAAATTATGATAATATCACTGCCTACGCGCTGTGTTGTGCGCGCAAATCATCATTTGCATGGGCGCAATCTTAATTTACGCATAAATCATCATTTGCATGGGCGCAATCTTAATTTACGCATAAATACCACTGGTCAAAGGTTATTGGGCCCGCTTCTGGGGCCAATGACCCCGCTTCCGGGGCCTATGACCCGAGGTCAACTGTCTGCGCATGCGCACTGATACAACTGTAAACTGGTGTATTACTTTAGTGTACCTAGGCGCATGCATGGAGCTATACGTGTACCTATGGTTTAAAATTTACACATTTTTGGTTACCGGTAAATTCTTGACAGATTTCAAAGTGCTTTGTACGGGGAGAAAGAACTGTCCACTACCAGTGGGGACGCTGGCCCGAAAATAAGGATCTATCCTCATAAACGAGGATATCCTCATAAATGTGGACAAACCGCGTCCTAAAAAATAGGTACCGTCGCATTTTTGCAGACATCTTTTTTATTCAGCGCTCTGCGGACGCAGGGTTACCCATCCGCGCGCTGGCAATGCGAAAAACATCTTCTGCATATAAATGAAATACCCCCAGTTCACTGTCTACTTTTACAAGCTCCTCCTGAGGATTTATCGTTCATAACGTGACAGTCTATGTGTTGCGGAAGTGACACACGGAGCATCATCACGGAATCAGTTTTTCGCATCACCGACGCATGGATCGGTAATATCGTCCACGAAAATGGGGATGATTCTTAGATTTTTAGTAAAAGATTTGTCCACGTTTATGATGAGGACATCCTCGTTTATGCTTACGATCCTTATTTTCGGACAAGCGCCCCTACCGACTACTCACTAGCAAGTTTGCAAGGTTCGTCGGGTGCGGGAGTGGATGCATGCACTCTTCACGCAGAAGTATGGGTGCTGACGAGTGACGGGCTATCCTTGGTAATAATTTGATATCAATATCATATTTCGTATTATCCTGCACTCAGTCTCAGGAGTCAGGCCTCGACTTAAGGCTTAACCTAACTCTTACAGTAGTAGAATAGATCTAGAATAGTCTAGACCCTAGACCCCTAGTGAAAGAAAGTAGATCTAGATCTAGCCTAAAGTCTAGGCCTAGATCTATTCTAGATCTAGAATAGTGATTGCAACTTTCAAAAATTCAGAACTTTCTAAGTAATGTGTTGTCCAATTTTATTTCAACTTTCACCAGTTTATGCTTCTCTGATTTTTCTGCTCTTTTCAGAAAAATTTGCTCTCAAGGTCGGGTCTCCCTTAGTTTAAGTATTTACACTCAATACTCAACGTCAGTGCAGTTCCCGACTCCCATTCAAAAAATCTAAACCAGGCAACAAGATCAAACAACATCATTTCAGAACATGAATTTATAATTATGAGGTAAAAATAAAATCTAAATAATCTAGACTCTAGATTGATAATCATAATTTCTGTAAATTTGTGCCACATACATGTACATTGTACGTACCACATAATTCCTCTGCAAGAGTTAATTCAGTGACACAGTCCACACTTACCGAATGAAACGTGATAATTTGCTCGTTAAATGATTCTGTTTCTGTTTCTGTTTCTGTTTCTGCCGGTAGGTACGTAGACAGCTCTCCTGATCCTTCGCCAAAATAAAATTTGGTTTAGTTTTTATGATATGAGGGTGTATAGGAAATGACCTCGCCCTATAAAATAATCAGTAAGTATACTCGTACTCTCGCACGAGTCATAACGCCGTCGATTGCGTGTACAACAGAGGTGTGTAGTATATGAGTCGAGTTTGTATTTGGTCGAATAAAGTATAAGGCAATTCTGAATCGCACATTTTGTATTTTCTACAAGCTTAGAGGGTATTAGTCGGCTGGGCGTATTAATTAGATCAGTCTATGGCATAGAGATATCTCTATGGTCTATGGTCAAAAGCAAACCACAAAAACTAATAAAGGGCGTTTCGGAGTGTCATATTTCACTCTGCTTCGTTACCATGTCAATGAACCTTTGTAAATGATCATGAAATAATTTCTCTTTTAAATTGTATTTAGAAAATTCTGGCGAACGTTAGAATAAATCAATGAGACGGAGAAATGGATCGATATGATAAATAGTCAAATAGACAGACTGAATTCAAGATTATCACAGGCGCCTACCATCACCATAATCACCACCATATCATCATCATAACATCATCATTAGCATCATTAGGCGCCGGAAGTTGGGGGCAGGGGTGGTCGTGAAATAATTTGGAGATTCTGGCGAACGTTAGAATAATTGAGACGGTCGCCCCCCCCCCCCCCCCCACAAAAAAAAAAATCGAAAAAGTGGGGGGGGGGCAAACGCATTTCCCCCCCCCCCCCTCCTCCCCCCCCCCCCCCCCCTCCCCCCCCCCAAAAAAAATAGCAGTAAAGGAGTAAAAATGGTTTGTGTTTTTCAACATGAATTGATTCACATAAAAATTATATTCCATTAAAAGAAAAGGAGAGTACAAAAGAATCAAATTTCCTAAACATTCCGCATGCCCCTATCAATGGTGGGCGTTATAATAGCGATACGCGCATATATTCGAAATATTGAGAGAGGAATGGAAAGCGTGTGTGTTTTTATATTTTATTATAGGGGTGAGAAGACATGGACCCCTGAACACTGGCTTTAAATCAATACCTTAAAGGTAAAGACCAGTATTGGAAACGCCCCAATTTCAAAAAATGAAATGGAAGCTCTCATAACCAATCATGTAAAAGAATATGTTTTGACTAATACATGATGATAACAAATTTGCCGGGAAACCGCCTACTAATTCATATATTTGGTAAATTTGTTTCTCTCATGGTTTGTGAGAGATATAGGGTAGTCCCATATACATCTTTCTGTGTATAGTGCTTATAACTTTACGAAGAATGGGCCAAATTTCTTATCATGTTGATGATTCCAGAACCTTGCAGATGCTAGATGCTAGATGATCAACCTTTCCTGATCGATTCCACAACGTTTCTTTCACAATGCAATCGCTTGACCATAACTGGTCTTTACCTTTAAGCCCCTGAGCTTCAGGGGGCTCAGCCCCCTGGCCTCCGCCATTTAGTTACCTGGCAGAGTCACAAATAAGGTATCGAAATATGCTCATCCGATCGTAATGATGATGCCTAAAACCCCCTGAGCTTCCGGGGGCTCCGCCCCTGGACCCCACGCCAACTTATGCTCCACTCGGCTCACTCTATCTGATCGTTAAAAATCCTCTTTGGAAAACGTTTCGCGGGGCCTCTATGTAACATGTAAGAGTGGTGGAGTTGCAGATTTTTCTTCTGTCCCCAAACGTTTTTGCTCATTACGCCACTGCCCCTGGAAGGTGAGCCCCCTGGAATGTTTGCCCCCCCCCCCCATCCCAAACTGCTTACGGCGCGTCGGATCATCATCATCATCAATTCATTATGATATTAACACCACCATTAAATTTGGGCCTATATGAAGAGCTTGATTCCAAAAGGAGCTAAATCCATATTTTATCAAAATGGAGTTATTTGTCTTAAAATAATGATTTCCTACATGGGGACAAAATGCACTATATCAACTTCGAAAATTTCACCAGAAAGTATGAAAAAAATTTGGTACAATATCATGTTTCATTCCAAAAGGAGATAAATCCAAATCGGTTTCATTCCAAAAGGAGCTAAATCCACTTTGGGTACTTCTGAGTAAATCACCTTTTTTTCCCTCCACTTTCCCTTTAGCAATGTACCTTCATGTTGTTATATACGTTAAAGGTGTCGCCCTGGACCAATAATATATGATAAGAAAACAAATCTACCAGTTATTTCTGATTTTTACTAAATTTTTAGATTTTGTGGATTTAGCTCCTTTTGGAATGAAACATGGATTTAGCTCCTTTTGAAATGAAACGGATTTAGCTCCTTTTGGAATGAAAATGTGATATGTTGTCTACTTTCTTTTTTTAGTTGTGATTTCATTATTATTATTTAAAAGGAAAGGTTTGCTACTAAATTTTAATAAATTTCAGTGACTTTATTGAGAAAATATGAAATTTTCCAGGTACAATATCATGTTTCATTCCAAAAGGAGCTAAATCCACGAAAACAAAAATTCTAAAAATTTAGTAAAAATCAGGAAAAACTGGTAGACTTTTTCTTATCATGTTTTATTGGTCAAGGGTGATACCTTTAAAATATATAACAACATTAAGGTCCATGGCTTAAGGGAAAGTGGAGAAATAAAAAAAGTCGATTTACTCAGAAGTACCCAAAGTGGATTTAGCTCCTTTTGGAATGAAACTCTTCATATCATCAGTAGCACCACCGCCTCCATCATCATCATCGTGGGCCATTGTAAGCGAACACGGGAAAAATAGGTGAAAGGGGCGGGGGCCCATCAAAGGTCATCATTGGAAAGTAAAATAGACACTTACCAAAGAAACAAGTGGAACTTTTACTTCGAAGGAAAAAATCAATTATCAATGAGGAAAAGATGCAATTGTCCAAGTAAAAATGACACTTATCAGAGTGAACATAGAATATACTATATAGAATATAAGAATATTTCTATTTTGTCTACATTTTTTTTTATGGTTCTTTTATGATTATAAACAAAACGATATAGTTTTCTCATAATTTTTATTATATATGTATATATTACGTATATTTACAATATGTGACCCAAACAAATGTCCGTGTATTGTTAAGAATTCGGTTGAATAAAAGAATTAGGCTATTATTGAATTGAATTGAATTGAATTGAAAAGACGCACCGTAAGAGGTGAAGGGGTACTTGTGAAAGTAAAAGGTGCTCCTATCATAATTGAAAAGGGACACTTATCAAAAATATAAAGGGGCACTTTCAAAAAGGTAATTTTGGGCGTACTTCAAAAAAGTTGCGGTTACTGCGCCTCTTTCCCCCCCCCCCCCCCCCCCCGAACGCCGCCTCTGTTAATAAAAAAAAATCAACATTACCCGAGATTACTTGTGCAATGTCTCCCTCTTTTGACAAGAACTCTCAAATTTTGGGTCTTCCTCCGCACAGAAAAGTTTGGTGCACAAATTTCTTGCACACAAAGAAAATTATTCAGACCGCAAATTTCAGCTGCCCTCTACTTGTTGTCTAGCTGTGCATACAGAGATAATATCCTATTATTCAGGTTTTCTAGGAAATTATTAGTGTACCTTTTCATTATGTTTGATAATAACACATTGAAAGGTACTGATTTACAATAAAAAGTTGGATTAGAAAAAAAAAAGAAATGTTTGTATCGCCCGTTTCCGCTGACAGAAACCGCAGCTTATAGTACACATAATATTCTTTCACTTCGCTGTGGTATGTATTTTTCTCACTTTAATTAGAGTACATCCTTGCAATTATAGTTATAAATGGTATAATCTAAAACCACATCACTTTATAGTCGGAATTTTGACAGGGTCACCTAAAAGGCATTTCATATTGTGCACTTGCCCCACTTGCCACGTAGGCCTACTGGAAGAATAAGCAGATTATAACTTTCAAAATAAGTGATCGGGAAGTATTACAAACGCGCCGTGGTTTGCAATTCTCTCGGACTACACAGTGATACTCAGGAAATAATCAATAGCTACTCCTTTCTTGTTTCATACAAAATGTTAATCTATAGTACTGAACACAATGTATTGTATGTTTTAATTCTAAACTAACTATCTACTCTACTGATCTTAAAGCCCCACTGTCCTACTTGTAGCTACTTGCTCCCTCTATAAAGAAAACTTCCCCAATCGGTGTCTGTTGATCCCCCAGGAACCTCTTTTTAGTTGAGAGCTGAGTTAATGAGATAGCCACCTGTCAGTGACCTCGCTGTGTGGTCTTATCCCTTTTGACCCTGTAGTATTGACGGTCTTTAAACGGTTGATATAACGTATTCAGGAGTCATTTCTCTTTCTTCTTTTTTTTTTGTTGCTCATTTCACCACTGACTGCAACTCATTTTTGTTTCACCTTCCTATTTTGGGGATGCGTCAGAATTATGAGACAGCCTTTGATTAGAGTTAGGCCAACCTGCAAAATATGGCGAATAGTAAGCTGGGCAAGCACAAACTAAAGAAACAAAAAGATCGCCATGTTGTGACCAGCCGAAACCAAGTCGGCCAAACTCTGTGTCATGGCTCTGAGTAAAGCGCCCCCATGGACAAGGTGCCTTGTGAAGGTCACAGAAAAGCTAATTTGACAGTCTAAACAAGAGAAGCGGTTGGTCTCGTAGGCCCGTCGTTTTCGTGGGCCTATCGGAACGTTCTTCTTTTCGGACTCGAGCACTGTCTTCATCGTAAACCTCATTTCGGTCTCTGAGATAATTAACTCCTTTAAAAAAGTTACCAACATGAAAGTTTTGATGTACAGTATTTCCATTAAATTTTCCTTTAAGAATAATTCGTCGAAACAACAGATTACAACTTAATCTGGTCCTACCAACGAGAACATTACAATCTAATTAATGCGAATACTATGTATACCATATTGAATAATGTAAACAAATGCAATTAAAAAGGATTGACATTTTAAATACTGCTTCCATGCTGTATTTACGTAATTATGGAGTCCATTTCTTCTCTACATCACTTTGAGAGTGAAAACTACAGAGCAAATTACAAAAGCACTTCAGTATGTTTTTTACTGATTGAATCAAAAGTAGTCCATCCTATAAACAGGCACTTCTTTACAACTATTACCTGACTGTCATGAGGCTGCTGTTTACCACAAGTTTTCTTATTCCGGCTGCTCCATCAATATCAACAAATTCTTTGGGGTTATTTTTTTTTTTTGGAGCAGGAAATCGTTCTTTTGTGTAATTGATTAGAGTGCATGAACAATACAATAAAACGTGTTGTACGCCGGCTTCATAGAATCGATTCGGAATTTCATGCAAAACGTTTGCTCTTTTGTGAATTTTCCCTGTTCTTTCTTCTTTAAAGTGAAAATCGGTGCTCTGTTTACATACGTGTAGTACCTGAATGGATGAGAAGAGATGAGAGAGGGAATGAGTGATAGGAAGAGATCAAGCCGGAAGAGTAAAAATTGAGAATTTGGAGAAAGATGATTTCGAGTATAGGTTCATGAGATGTAACAAGCATTTAAGAATAGAAGAAGAGATTTATTACAGAAATGGTTATCAGGTTTGGTAGACTAATACGTTTGGTAGAGAGAGAGGGGAGAGAGAGGAGAGAGAGAATGAGAGAGAGATGGGGTGAGAGAGAGAGAGAGAGAGAGAGGGAGAGAGAGGAGAAGAGAGAGAGAGGATAGAAGGTAGGGGACGTATAGTGACGAATGGAGGGAGAAATAGTGAGAGAAAGAGAGGGTAATGATGAAGAGAGAGAGAAAGAGAGAGAGAGAGAGAGAGAGAGAGATAGAGGAAGGAGTGGAGTGAGAGAGAGAGAGAAACAGATAGAGGAAATAGGGGAAGGAAGGGAGGGAGAGAGAGAGAACTATAGAGAAAGGATGAAGGAGTGGAGTAAGAGAGAGAAACAGATAGAGGACATAGGGGAAGGAAGGGAGGGAGAGAGAAAAAAGAGAGGGAGAGAGAGAGAGAGAGAGAGAGAGAGAGAGGGGGAGAGAGAAAGAGAGAGGGAGAGAGAGACAGACAGACAGACAGGGAGAGACATTCCAGGTGTAAAGTCACTGCACTTTGCAACAGGTATAAAGAGATTTGATCTCCTTTCAATCTCTAACTGAAAAATGAAGAACATTCTTTTGCGCTTCGCCTGAGCATTGAATCATTGCAAAATAACAGAACAGCATTCTCTCATAATCATGACTTGTGATCAGAGCCAGAGAGCGTTAATTCATATCATTTTAACACACATTGTATTGCCCCTTTGGATCTCAACTTGTCCGAAAAAGATTATGTCAATGGACAGTGGCGAAGCGTGGGCTCAGTCACGGGGGGGGGGGGGGGGGGGCGCCAGTCATTAGTCACCTAGATTAGAGTTTTCAACCTTTTTAGTGAAGGCACCCTCTTCAATTAAATACGGACGGGCACATTTTCGCATGAGAGCTGAGAAGGACTAGCTCTTGCCCGAAAAATATTCTATCTGGATCCCAAATATTACGAGCGAGCGAAGAGAGACAGCAAAAGAAATGACATTTTGGTTTAATATGCCAAAATGTTACTTAGTCATCAATATACGATAGATAAAATGTAAAATTCCAGTTGGAAGCATCCTGATTTATCAGTTTTGTGAGAAGTGAAACGAACAAGGAGGTAAAATACAGTTTGTTGTTGTAAATTTTTTATTTCGATATGAAAATACAATGAA